TAACAATAATAACAATAACAATGATAATATTATAAACTCGGAAACACGAATATTGTAGTATGATGATATGGCTGATTTTGTTATATATATATATATATATATATATATATATATATATATATATATATATATATATATATATATGCTAACTAGGTATAGAAAAAATGTATATTGCTATATATAGAAAAAATATACATATATATATATACATATCTTCGAGACGTACACATTCACATACGTACACACTTGTGCGTGAACAAAGACGATAACCACGTGAAGCAATAGAGCTATAAAGAAATTTCATATAAAATATATATACGGCAACATGTGGTCAAGACAAATTCACATACATATGCTCACTTGTGGTCAATAGAAATTCAGACAGTAGGCGTGCATATTCATAAACACTCACAAATTGTTTTGCTAAATCAATAATTGTAATTTATTAATGTTGTTTAACACTTTTTAGAAGCTTTAGATTTTTATTCAATTCGGTACTAAATCCACGTTCTTAATATTTGCTTTTTTGAAAAAAAAATCTGTTTTTGGCGTTCAAAAATTTGCAAAATAGGAAAAAAGGAAAATGAGAGAAAAAACGCGAGAATAAGTTGAAGAAATAGGAATTTTGGGGGACGTTATCATAAATAAGAATTTGGGAAGGAATCGGGAAAGACAAACAAAAAATGAGAGGGAATTGGGAATTTAAATCCCCGCTCACTTCTAATCTGAACGTTGACCAGTCAGCAATTGCGTCATTACAACACATTTTCTGCGATGTAAACAATCGCCCCAGAGTATTCCGTCAGCACCAATTATAATGGATGCGTGACGTCATTACCTCTCTTGCTTCCCTCAGAGAGTGCAATGGGAAAGTAACGATGAGGCAATTCCAGTTTGAAATTTCAGAAATAATTTTTATTAATGAACTAATGTAACAACTGCAATTGTATTTAAATTCTAGATTAAAACTTTCTTTACATAATTTTTCTATTCCAAAAATAATCAATTCAAATTAATTTAATTTAAATTCAAAAAAGTGCGAACTTGCAAGAATTAATTTATATAGGATAGGCCTACATGTTTTGTAATTATATTTTACAAACTTTACAAATTTTAAAAACGGCCAATGTTGCTAGCTACTTCTAACAATTCGTTCTAAACAAACAAACCTTATAATTCCATCGTTGTATCTTGATTGAGAATATCTTTGGAAGTCGAAGAGTTTATCCAAGTACCAAGTGTTGTTGTTGACGGGCATGATGATCTTCCTGCCAGTTAAGTGGGAGAACCTTAAGAGGGCCGCCAACATGAAAAGGTGGTTGCCCGCCCGGTGGTCCCCACGCAACATACTCTCGCCTAATGTCACGTACGAACCGTTTGAAGTTTTTAACTCGTTTAATTTGTAGACAGTGAAAATTAACGTTTTTAAAATTAAACATAAAAAAATCAAATATTTAAATTTTTTCTTGTATGACTTAATCATTTTGTCTGGAAAACAGTTTTAAAGTTGATACATATAATCAGACTATCACTTTATAATAAAATCAGACTATCACTTTATAATATAATCAGACTATCACTTTATAATATAATCAGACAAACCGTTGAATTTTATAACAAATTTATTGCTGGAATCTGAGAAGTTAAATCAGACGAACATTACAAAAAGTTTAATAAATATTCTTCAACAGATGTAAATGCTGCAAAAATAATCAGTTTTGTATTAAAGCATGCTTTCAAATCATTAAACTCCATAACATTAATATTCCATAACCACGAATGGTTGAGAACAATGTAACAAGAACAGTATTAATTGTCAGTTGTAGAGTATTAATTACGCAAGCGGTGTATAACTTAATCGATTCAAGCATATGTATTTTAAAATTTAGTTAACTACTTCTAACTGATAAAACAAAATGGCAAATAAAATAATAAAATATAAACAATTAGTCTGTTATACAATTAAACATTGCTTCAACCGTTTCAGAATGTATGTTAATATGTATGCACATATGTATATGTGTACGTCTGTAATGTGTGATCGCTGAGTGGCCTATTTTTAATCTATTGATAACAGACCGAAGAGTCTATTGAAAACAGACTGATGAGCTTTTTGTCATTTACTGTTGGCATACTTAATTTTAAGAAATGTGATGTTTTATTTCACTCCTGCTGCCATTTTTCAACAATAAGATTGTTTGTTAAATTCTTCAAATCACTGGACGGAATTGGAACTCTAGATAATAGCATCAGATGAGCTTGAAAATCCATCTGATCTACCTTTTCATTTTTTTCAATTCCAATGTGGCTGGGAATCCACATTATAATTAATTTTTTGTTGCTATCCAGGATATTATAAATCTTATTTTGCATTTGAATTATTAATGGATTTAGGGCTGTGTATTGTTTCAAGGCTGATAGAGTAGACAAGGAATCCGAAAATATTATGAATTTATTTTTCTCTTAATTAATAATAAAGTTTAAAGCCATGTTTATAGCAAGGATCTCTGAGGTCTATATTGAAGAAGCTCCTGGTAGGTGCATCATTAATCCATGAACACGTTTCCTATGTCAGTAGGTCACCATTGCTGCAGACGTTGAATTTTCCCTTTTTGATCCATCCGTATATATTTGAATACAGTTTAAATTGTTATTAATTTTTTCTTTTACTAAGTTTTTTGCTATTTTTACATCATGGCCCATTCCTGTTATTGACGTATCAATTTCTGGGTGCTTTAGTAACAAAGTAGAAAATTCAAACTTTAATTCTTCCATGGTCTTTATATTTTTAATGTTTTTGATGAATTCATTTACTCTTATTAGAAATGATTTTGATTTTGGTGCCTTAGTTTTTACATCTGAGATTTAATTTTTAGAAAGTAATTTAAGGCAAATTTTTGGTGTCTTAAATTTAATGGCATTTCTCCTGCCAAAACATGGAGACTTATGGATGGTGATGTTCTGTATGCTCCTAGACACCTTCTTAACGATTCGTTGACTATTGAATGTAGAATCTTCATGTAGGATTTTCGTGTAGAGCCAACACTGCTCTTATAGTTGCATGGAAAATTGTTATCAGATGCTGTTGGTCTGCTCCCCATTTATTTTGGGATAACACTTTGATTAAATTGGATGCTTTTAGGTATTTTTTTTTGTTTCCAAAATGTGGGGAATGAAATTTAATTTTGAGTCTAATATTTTTTTTCAAATCTGCTGAAGTAATTAGTAAAAGCTGCTTGCTTGACTTTATCAACGTGGACCCCAGAGAGACTCAGCTATGGTCATTTAACACACATACATACTCACACACGCACATATATGCAAACAAACGAAAAAACAAAATTTTTTTATTTAAAAAATTTTTGAAAATTAAAAATGTAATTTTGTGGGCTTTTTTTTGAATAACGCACTTGAATCCGCAGCAAATCGCACAGACAAAATCCGCAAACCGTATGCATAATGTTTTTGAAAACGTTGTCGATCGGTTTTCTTAATAATTGAAAGAAATGGTTTTTCTGCGCCTGAAAAGGGAATGATTTTAAACAAAAAATGAAGACTTTTATATAACTCAACATGAACATCCGACTGCCTGCAATTTTCAAAATATTGTATTGTGATTGATAAAATTTTTCTTAACTTAGAACAAATAAGTTCAAAAAATGTTTTGAAATTTTATAACTTTCAAGCATAGCAAAACAGTAAATGTTATTAAAAAACGAAAAATCGAATATTGCTATTGTCTCTGACACTTTTCCAACTAGTTCAATTGTTTATTCAATTTCTCCGACAAACGCTAAAAAGCGTAGCATGCTGATGTAATATATCTAGCTATTTTTTTGCGAGATCAATTTTTAATCAATTAATTAAATTAAATTAGTTGATTTTGTAAAAAAAAAGAACATGCACGCGTACAAATTCAAGTACATTCAACCAAATGATATGTTAATGCAATAATGAAAAAAAGTAATTTAAATATTTAACAAAAGGTTCGTTAGTGAAAAATGGCCAGATATTTAACCGGAGCCGATTTAAAGTAATATAATTAAATTTAAAGTAAAGTACTTGTCGGAAATTCTCACTCGCTATAAATTCACGTATTTGTAGATTCAAGTCAACTTACAAACTTTTTTCTTTTTTATTCGGCAGAGTAACAGTAGGTCTCTATCGACCAAAAGTGTTTTTGTAAATTACTTTAAAAGAACACCTTAGTTTGCAATATTGTCTACTGGGATAATAATTGCACTATTACTCTGGCTTATGACCGCATACTACATTTTTATGGGACTAAAAAGGGGCGAAACGCGTCTAGCCTAGAGCGAGTTTGAGGTTCAGAGAAGTGCATCTTTGGTGTTGGTAAGAAATGGTGTACGTACTTTGTGTACTCATACTTGCACTGGCCGACCGTACTTGCGGGAGCAGGTCAGAAATTTGCATCCATATATATATATATATATATATATATATATATATATATATATATATATATATATATATATATATCAATAAATCAATAAATCTAAGCAGAGACTATAAACTATCTATAGCAAACCATTTAACAAAAAATAGGTAAGGTTAAAATGCATATAACTAGATAACAGGAACTCTAATAATTGGCCCTATGTAATCACATTTTTGGTAGTTTTAATGGTAGTCATGGGAATGAATGGTGCAGCGGATAGCTTTTGTTATATTAATGAATATGTCGAGGGCCAATAAATCTGCATTTTTATGTTTTATTCAAGTTATGACATTTCTCTATTTATTTATTTGTTTGTTATTTTAGTTGTGATTTGTTTCATGTTTCGATCGATGTTATGGTTTTGTTCTCCATGTTCATGCTGTTGGTGTCGTTCGTTGTTTGTGCTTGGATTTCGTCGTTTGTGTTGTTGTTGGTTGTTTTGTTTTCTGTGTTGTTGTTGTGTTGTTGGTTGTTTGTGCTGTTGTTGTGTTATTGTTTTTGTTGTCGTTAGTTATGTTGTTGTTTGTGTTGTTGTTGGTTATTTTGTTGTTTGTGTTGTTGGTGTTTTTGTTGTTTGTGTTGTTGTTGTGTTGCTGTTGTTGGTGTGTGCTTGTTGTTATTGATTTTTTATATATCATGTTATTGATTGTGTTGTCGATGTTGTTGGCGGTTTCGAACATCTGTTGTTAAGTTGCCAGTCTGGCACTAACAGTAAAAGTTAATTTTAATGTAAAGTAACGAAATTTTACATTTTAATGCAAAATTACATTTACATTTTAATGTAAAGTGTGCATTTGGCATTATCACAATTTACTCTGTAACTTAAATTACGCGAGAAGGCTTAGATATAATCCTGAAATAATATTAGCTTTGAACCAGCTTATAGTCACATTCATTCAAATACATCATGAATAATTTATAAACACCATCCAGTTTGGTACATGACATAATTCTAAATGAGTTATAATTCAGCCGAGAATAATTATTATTATCAATAATAATAATTGTTATAATTAATAATGATAATTGTTAATATCAATAATAATTAATAATAATAAGCTTTTGCTTTGAACATTTAAATTATTTCCGCAAATTCAATTTTCGTTTATTCGTGATTCATTTAGAGAAGAGCATGTAGAGCTAAACAATGCTCTCGCCTTTATCTTTTATTTCTCGGTTCTTCTTTTAATGAGTCTGTCGATTCTAGGTAAATCTCGTAGGTTAAGCTGTAACAGAAGTGCGAATGCGTTTGCATTTGAGATATCTTACGTTCTAATTTATAAGAATGACGAACAGGCCTGTAATTAAAGGACTTTTAATTTTTCCACTAAAATTAAAAGTCTACTAACCTTTTTTTATTTCATCTTAATTGTAAAAAGTTTTACAATATCATTACCCTTAATAATTTTAGTGTAGAGGTGATTTGAGTTAGTGATATGCAGAAGAATTCATTTTCAAAATATTAAATAATCTTTATTCACCAAGGAAAGTTTAAAGCTGAACCTTTTAATTACAAAATTTGAATTTCACGTGCTTTTAATTCTGTTGTCATCGAAAAGAATAAAGTGAAGATTTGAATGAAAATATTATGAGACCAACTTGGATTAAAAGAAACAAAAAATTACATTAAAACATTTTTCCTCGAGAGCCACGCATGTAAAACGATAAAATTGATCTTAATTTTGTAGTTGAATCAAATTTTTATTTAAAAAAAAATCTTTAGAAGGACAAATAACCTTGCTATTGTATCAAAAAACCTTGCTTGTGAATGTTTTCGAAAGTCGAAGAGTTTATCCAAGTACCAAGTGTTTTTGTTGTTGACGGGCATGATGACCTTCCTGTCAGTTAAGTAGGAGAACCTTAAGAGGGCCGCCAACATGAAGAGGTGGTTGCCCGCCCGGTGGTCCCCACGCAACATACTCTCGCATAACGTCACGTATGAATTGTGTGAAACTAGCAGTGATTTTAATGCATTTAGCTTCCAGAAGGATGAACAAAATAAAACACAGCAGATAACGAAGATTGAACATTTTACAGTTTTCTTCCTAATATTATTCATTGTAAATGCTGAAAACAAATTTAACGAAAGAATTATTAATCTTGTTAACGTTTAATAATGATATCAGGCGAACAGACACATGTTTTTTAATGATCGATGGCAGTTTGAAAAGTTCACAGGTGAACGCGAGACAAACGTGTGTCCACATCAGACGTGCAAGAATCTTAATGTAAACACACGTGCGTGCGTGTGTGCGTGTTGATGAATTTGTTGTCGGCTTATGATGATCTTGTTTGAAATAATAGATCTTAATGTTGATGTATTATAATTAAATTTTTAGACCTTCATTATGCAGTTTCGACAAACACAGAACTGCTCAAATGTTATTCTATACTTTTTAATCAAATTTCATGCCTGTTCCAAAAGCTGCATCCTTCGCACCACACGCGGTACGTATACATTATGTACATAAGCGCAAAAACCACAACACGCGCGTCTGGCGTATGATAGTCATTGAGCTTCGGACAGACAAAATTTAAACCAGGCCGTCACGTAATAAATACGCTAGACTCAGCACTTCTGAGCGACTGAGCTAGCTCGCCGACCAAATGCAGAGATATATTTGTAGCTTACTCAATCGGTTCGAACCCGAGCTCATCAGCTACACGTTCAAAATTTCAAATAGGTAGCGTGACTAAAATTATTTAGGCGCGAAATTATTTTTGTGCAAAAAGTTTTTTTTATCATTATTTATTTGCTAGAACTATTTGTAACTAAATTTTATTATTTCAATTTATTTCATCCATTGCATGATGATATACAATTTATTTCGTGATGAGTTGAAATGCTGACATTTTTTACACGCACATTTTAAAATTTTCAAACTTTTATAAGAAAATGGATATATTAAATAAAAATGCAACGAAAATGATTGATGTTTTTTATTATAAATAGGTATTTACTCGGCCAGTCTACCTGTTGTACACACCTCACGGTGGGCCGCTACCGAATTTCTCCTTCTACTTCTCCCGCATCCGACAATCCTGCAGCCCACAAACTTTTTTGGCTTTCGTTATCTGTTTTTAAATAATATTTATAATTAATTGTAATTACTCTGTCATATGTCATTTAATTATTTAGTTTTTTCAACATTTTCTAAGTTTTGGTTTGCCTTTGACGAAATTAATTTTATATGATACTTAAGTTTTGGATGATGTTTGTTTTCTATTTTGGAGCTGTGAGTGCAGGATGTCACGTTCAAAAGGGGGAAGAGTCAAGAAAAGGGATAAAATCCTATGTGACATCCAGTTTTTCTTCACATTTTCAATTTTTATTGTGAGTTGAAACAAATTTTGTGAGCACATTTCTATCAAAACAGGTTATAAAATATGGTGTGCTCAGAACTTCTTTGAGGCATTTTTAGTATGGTCATGTACGTGCTTATTCAGATTCAAGGCTGTTAGATGCAGTTGAGCAATAATTAGTGGTGGCCTGAATATTTTGCATGCAAAATATTCAATTGTTGGCAACTTTCCTCTTGAAGAGCGTTGAATCAGAAAATTATGACGTACTTTAGATGGGAGACGGTTTGGAAATTTTTAACAGTTTGTGAGAGGGCAGAGGAGGGGAGCCATGAAATAACAAAACAGCGAGACATTCTTCGCGGACAGTCCCTCAGGCGATACTTACAGAGACACTAGAAAAGAATTTGTGAGGAAAACATATTTTCGAATTGTTATTTTGAAAATAATAGATTTCAATCAATTAACAAATAACATAAATACCACAATTTCATTATAATTGAACAATAGTTTTAAAATATTGGCAATCAGTTAATGTAATTTTTTTCGTATAATTAATTTATTGTTTTTGGTGCAATTAATTTCCTTAACGCTGTTACAACTTTTAAAAGTTAATTTACTTAATTAAAAGCATTCGAAAAGGTGCATCTCTTTTTAAAAGTATAAAAAGCACAACACTTTTAGCAAAATGAGCTACAACTAATATAGATGATTGAGTAGATATCACTACAAACAGGTATTTCTTAAAAATCACGATCTTGAAAAACCGTTTTGAGAATATAAATAACTTTTTTTAAATTTTCAACGCCATTTTCAAAATCGGATCAAAAACTTCGACTCCTGCAAATACGTACTCCCCGCATCAGATGTTCAAAATGTTCAATAAACCAATAAGCCAAAGTTCAGTTTGAATTTATGAGGTTTCTATTGATGTTGCTTACCTAGATGTCCCAACAAATAATTACTATCATAGTATTAATATTAATTTTTGATATGACTGGATGACGAGGTGAACGGAGCTGTAAGGGAGCACAGGAAAAATGTAACACCCTTACGTTTTTGATTTTGTTGATTTTCTGCTTTTACTGTTGGTGGGGATGTTTTTCATTTTAGAATATGCAACTTTCGCCATAGATATTCTTCGTTTGATATCCACATCACATTTACAACCTGAAGTAATCAGACTTTCGAGATGATTGAAGCTGTTGACTTGTTTCACCTGTTTACCATTAAAGATTATGGAGCAGATCGGGACGGTTTTGCTTTTACTAATAACCATGCACTCTGTTTTGTTAATGTTAATTTGCAGGCCTTTACTTTCACTTTCCAAAACCAGTTTGGAAACAATGCTTTGCAGTTTTTCTATTGATTCCGCTATAGGAGCTGTATCATCAGCGTATCTTACATTGTTTATATTTACACCTCCAATGGATATTCCAGGTAGATCTTCCTTCTATCTTTCTCACAATGATCTCACTATAGAGATTGTACAGGTCTGGAGAGAACACACAGCCTTGCATTACACCTTTCTCTCTTTTGACAAAACTAGTCGTCTTGTTACCAACTTTCATCAGTGCTATTTTTCCCAATAGAGGTTTTTGATAACTCTCGTGTCTTTTCCATCAATGTCCAAAATTTTCACTATTTCCATAAGCTGCACGTGTTTCACGCTAGCAAAAGCTTTGGAGTAATCGAATTAATTATTTGATTGAACCTAAACGCCCCGGTTTACGATCGTCTTATTTCTCCATCGCTTGCGAAGTTCAGAGCGGATCTCAAGACCCATCTGTTTTCAAAATTCATTGAGGAGCGCTGTTGAACATCGCGGAAATAGCGCTTTATAAGCTAATTGATTGATTGATTGATTGATTGATTGATTGATTGATTGAATCGACAAAACATATAAACAAGTCTTCCTACATTTCAATCGCTCGTTCACTGATCATTCGTAGCATAAAGATAGCGCTTCTTGTGCCACAATCGTCAACAAAACCACTTTGATTATAATAAATTATCATTGGAAATACTAAATTTTGTATGAAATAATTTACATAAGATTTTATTTACCATACAGTTGCACATGTACCATTCTTGTCTTGCTGTGGCATCTTAAAATCATTATATATTCATAATAAATTCATAATAATTCGTAATCATAATATATTTTGTTGTCCAAGTGTACACGCCAATTAAACATGGGCTCTCAGACCGGCAATCAAAGATATTCCTAACTTTTAATTGGCGTCGTTGTCGTCAGTATTACCGATCATTGAAAAAGAAATTTTTTAGCACCTAACTAGACCGTTACTACTTAATTATATATTCCCCGGGTAATTTCACAACATCTCAATAAGTGCCCAACAGTTTGTGCTAATTTCCCAATTGTTTCTCAATGTTTTTATGTAGGTACATTCCGTAAATTTGTTTGTGTACGATTATTTCTTGATATCGAGTCAAAATTTGCCAATAAACTAATAGAGCATGCCTGTGTAGTATATACCGTGTAGGTCTGAACTCTGTACGTATTATATTGTTTGGAATGAATTGTTGTTTTATTTGTCTGTCCGTTCATTGTTTCATTTGTTCATAAACATAACATTAACAATGAAATTATTTTTACGTTTTTTTTCTTGAAAACAAAATTTGTATCATCATTTGAAACATGATAAAATCGAAATCTTTAAAAAAAAGAATTAATTTTTCAAAAACATTTTTCAAAAACAAATATTTCGTTTAACTGAATTTTTTTAATAATATTTATTAGCAGTTTAATGTCGTTTAATGTTCATCTACTTGATGATTGAAACATACTTGTTGCTGTTCTGCATCCGAAGCCATTAGCTGATTTGTGTTTGTCTAATATGTGTGAGAGGTTTCAAATTGATTATCTACTTGACAACTTCCGCTGATTTACTTATATAAAGGTTTTTCCTACTGTCTTTCAACACATTGCAACAAATCCAGGATTAAAAATGAATAAATTTCTAATATTTTGTTTTAGCGTTTCTGTTTTTCTATGCATGAAATCGGGCTTTTGCGATAACAGCCTTGAAAACAAACCTTTCGACCCGTACATGTTCCAGTCTTATACGGTTGCCAATTATTACTGTTACTGCCAAGATCGAAACCCAAAGTGTCCAGAGTTCTTTGAATGTTCAAGGAATGTCATGGAGTGCTACTGCAAGAGATGCTCGTGCTTTCCAAACATCATAACTCCGAGACGTTAATTTGATTGTTGTTTTGAACGTTAGATTGAATTCTTATTCATATATTATTTTTCATTTCAAAGGTTACAACTACAATGAAGCTGATGCAGCTCACGCTGATTATCTGGCTGGTCTGTGGAGACTTGAATACGATAATGATGGTATCTACTAAGCTGGAAAAATTAGCTCCAGAGTCTAAATAGACTGTGGTACGAACATAAAAGAAATCCACAAATTCTGTTATTAAACTTGTTTTACGATGTGAATTGTTTTATCCGAATAAAATCAATCTGAAAAGTTTATTTATCTACATTACTCTTTAGGTGTTTATCAATACCATAAACGTTACGATTAATAAAAATTAACGAACAAAATCGAGATATTTTTATTATTGTAGTTGCTGTAGGTTGTATGATAATGATTGAATGAATGAATGAATGAATGAATGAAGGAATGAATGAACGAACGAACGAACGAATGAATGAACGAACGAACGAATGAATGAATAAATGAATGAATCATTAACATTAGAGGTGATTTGATAACGATGTTTAACATGTTGAATGAAAAGGACCAACGAAGCTTGCCGGAATTATTGAGAACCACCAGACGAACAAGAGGACATGAGATGAGGCTAACAACACTGACATTCCATACGAACTTAAGAAAAAATTATTTTGTTAATAGAACTATTAATATTTGGAATAATTTGAATGATGATGATGTTAATTGCAGTGATTTGAATGAGTTTAAAAAAAAGTTGGATGATTTTCTTATGAATGCTAAATTTAAATACGATTGGAGAACAGAGTTGAAGTATGACTACTCTACTCGTGAATGCTGTTTATAGATTTTGGATGATGGTATAAATGTTTGTTTTGACATGATTGTCTTTAAGAGAGGAAGATATATATGAATGGTTGAAATTGGAATTTTTATGAAGAAATGTTTGCGTATATATATATATATATATATATATATATAAAGTTGAATTAATAATTGAAGTTATTCTCTTATATTTTTGTTTATTAATTAATTTATTTATTGTTTGATCTTTATGTATGAACAGAACATATTTACATATATTCATGTACATTGTTTATGTGTTAAAATTTTATAGTTAATTTTGTGTCGCAGGCATAGGGACATTTTGTCTTCGCCCATGTTTTTTCTTATAATAATAATAATATGTTTGTTAATGACGGTTTTGTCGTTGGTAGCGTCTTTATTATTGAAGTGGATTTTTGTGGCTTTTCATCTTTGTAGATTGTATTCTAGATTTTGTTGAGGATTCCTAGTTCTGTAATGAATGGAAGTATTATATTCGTGATATTTTGGTCGTGGAACAAATTTCGTTAATTTTTCTAATTAATTAATTTTTCGTTAATTTTAATTTAAGTTGGTCATATTTTGTGCATTCCATTGGGGTATGTTGGATTGGCAGGTTGATATTGCATTCGTTACAGTGGGGAGGGAGAAGGCTTTTTGTTGAGAATCCAAGAGTGCATTAAATTTGTGTGTCCTATTTTTATTCTGTTCATTTTAGTTTAGAAGAATCTGTTTATCTCTGAATATTTTGTTTGTCTTTTAGTTAATTTTGCTCTGGTTAGATGGTTGAAGCTATTGTACCTATTCCATTGTAACTGCTATTTTTCGGTGATGTAGTGTTTTACAGATTGTTTAATATTGTTTTTTGGAAACGGTTAGTTGAAAATTTGGAATGAGTTGACCAAGGAAGCTGCTTTATTTGCTTGCTGATTGCTGATTATTAAAGAGCGTTCTTGCTTCTAGACTTGATAATGAATCAGAAAATATTATGAGTTTGTTATTTTTCTTTTTAATTACACAGTTTAACCCCATGTTTATGGCTGTCAATGCTGCTGTGAAAATATGAAAATAGACTTTGGTTCACATGGATGTTGCATGAGTGTAATTTTATGATCGATGATTGCTGCCCCTGTCGCTGAGTTGTTCATTTTTGATTCTCGGTATATATTTGTGTTTTGTTTGAATATTTTTAAATTATTTTTTTAAACATAACTTTTAATTGGACTGCATCTTTTTTTGAGTTTTTCAACGAAACGACCCCAACTGCTCTACTGATGACTTGTAGTGGTATTGGCTTGGTAACATCCATCATCATTTTTAAGTTCTCGATTACCTCTAAGGCTTTTGATGCTAGATTTTGATTGGTTGTCTTCAGATATTGAAGCACTTAATTGGTTGGTTGCGATAAAACTTTGATGTAATAATTTAATAGTAATTTTAAATGTCGCTTTTCTGCTATAGTGTGGGACTAATTGAAGATGACGCTCTATATGCTCCTAGACATATTCTTAAATTCATTGATTATCAGTTCTATTAATTTTAAATAAGAACCTCTTGCTATATAATAAAAATCGATTTATTTTATATTTTGTACCAGGCATTAGATAAACTTTAAAATAATTTTTTGTCATCACCACTAGAATTAATGTTTAAGATGTTAATCATAATTAATTTTTTATTCTATTAACTTATTTGACTGCTAAACTTGTGTTTGAACATTCTACTTGTGAATCTTTTTCGGTTCCGTATGCACGCCAACAAGTTTTAAACATTTTACAAAAAATTAAGTTGATGTTACTTAAAAATAAAGTGCAGTAATATTTAAGACCTAGAAAAACACTAACCACAAGCTATCTGCAAGATAAACGTGACGTCAATGTTTACTTGTTTTGTCAATATTTACCTATGTAATTAAAAAGATGGAAAAATTTGTGGCATTCCTAACTTGTTAAAACTTGAAGTTAGTTGGCACTTCTTGCATAAATGTAAAATTTGTTTTCATGAGTTTCATTCCATAGTATTTATTCAAAATGTAAGTTTTTTTTGTTTCATTCAAGCAATTTTTTACTTAATGCTTTTAAAAAAAGCAAAATATAGCAGAATTTGTGAGTCGCCAATTTGGAAATAAAGCAGCGAGTGGCGTGTGATGGCGTTACCGTACAATAGCCTGGAACGATCGACTGGATTGTTCAAACAAGACAGAGTTAACGAAAATGATTTGATCCTCAGTGGAAGGAACTACTCCGCTCTGTGTGAAAGAGCATCAGCTCGTTGCAGTCCCAAAGCTCCGCCGTGCCAATACTCGGTTGGTTGGCTTCGTTAATGAGTAGCTCACATTGATAATTTAATAGAGAGTTGACATCATTATTCAGACACTGATATCTTTATATTGCTTCAACATTCGTAAATTAACAATGATTTTTAAAATTAATTTAAGAATTTCATCTCAGAGAGTTTAAGAAGATCTAAAAAAATTAATCTAAAAATTTGAACGCAAGTTGTTTAATAAGGACATGAACTTTGACTGGGATTACATTATCTAACAAAATGACTTATATACATATAATATATATATATATATATATATATATATATAATATAATATAATACATATACAATAGATATATACGTGTATATATAGTATGAGGTATATACTATATGTACAATATACAATTAACGTAAAGAAATCAGTTGACTGTTCCGAAAAACTGCAACAAAAGTACGAAGCGAGACAGGCCATGGCTGAAGCCGTGGAGAACGAGAAACGGAAAGTCGACCTAACAAACCACCTCCGTAAAAGTTGTGAGAGAAAAACAAAAATTGAAGAAGCAAAAAAAAAGTTGAACTCAAGAACGCAAGAAAAACTTTCTTTAAATGTTATTTTTATTTTTGCACTAATCATTATTAAGTTATTTACAAACATCAACATTTTCAATATGCCTAATTATGAACTGAAAAACATTCATCAAGCGAGCACTGCTATTTACGGAAGTCTTGCATCAGAACAAACAACAAACAGAAGAAAAAATTAGGCTGGATACGGAGTTGAAGCAAAGAGAGCACGAAATTGACTCGCAAAGTAACCTAGGCAGGATTCAAACGGACGATGTGAAAATTTCGAAAGCCAAAGAAAGAATGATGGACGTGGCATTGGCGAATATAAGAATGTATTTTATTTTAAAAATATAATGAATTAGTTTTTATTTCTTAAATTTTTCCTAGTGCCGAAGCTAACAGGAAAATCAAAAACGAAGAAAAACAGAAATACATCGAAGAAGGGCGAATTATCAGTCAGCTGACAAAAGTATTTTTTGATGAAACCAAAAAATTGGAAACAAAAAAATTAGATGTTAGAAGACAGTTAGACTTGGAAAATAAAAAGCAAATTGAACTGAAAGAAAAAACAAGACAATATCTCCTAGCGCTTGAAAAGGTCAATTATTATATAGAATCCCTGACTTCTTTTTATTGTAATATTGCCATTTATGTAGCGTGTTATGTATAATGCTGTTACGTTAACATTTAATATCTATATATTTGACAAAGGTGTTGTACTGTTCTTTTTATTACACTTTAAAATAAAATTAATATTTCAATTAAACAAACATATGAAGGCAGTTTGAAGAGAGAGACTCAACTCTTTTCGTGGATACGAAGAGGGAGATGTTTAAGTTGATGAACGACAAAAAACATCAAGAAAGGTATTATCAATTATTTGATCAATCCTTTGTTAAATTTTAGTGTATCATGCATATTATATCACAGACTGAATGATGAAAAATTGAACTTAGTTTGGAAAAACACTGAAAATTGGATAAAAAATTTGGAGCCAGAAGAAAAAAGACACAAGTGGTTGTGCGATGTTTACAAGAAGGAAAAAGAATTTGTGGAAGATGACGACAGAAGGAAGCAGAAATTAAAGAACACGCTTGACCATTTGGTTGTAAATTGGAATGAACAAGTTAGAAAAATATTAAAAAATTAAAATTGAAATGCTAGTGATCAATTGGAAGCTTAACTAGTGGGAGCGGCTCTGAGGCAAAATCCCATCATTAAAAGTTTCGGCTTAAACATGATTTTTTAGTCAATACAGCTTTTAAGACACAAATTTCGTAATACATAATGATCTTTTCAATGTAGAAATGATCAAAAAAAAAGTTGGTCAAGCAAAAATGACAACATTCTAGCAAAAGTCGGAGTGGTTACATCGTTGGACAATGTTGTTTTTTCATTATTAGTACTATTATTAACATTAGTGGTAGTAGTAGTAGTAGTAGTAATAATAATAATAATAATAATAATAATAATAATCATAGTTGTGATATTACAATTAGTAATAGTAATTGTAGTATTACTATTTATTATTTTCATTATTATACACATCAGCACTTAATAAATGTAATCTTGACTTTCAGACTTTTTCAAAAGCTGAAGCGAAATGTAAAGAGAAGTTGGAAGATGAACGATGTCTGAAGAAAAGAATTCAGTTGGACTGCAAAACAAAACGCGAAGATGATGAATGGAGAGACAGAAGATATTGCGCTGCCAAATTTGACGCAGAGTACAATTTGAGGAAGCAGGTTTTATTAGTGGTGTTGTCGACATATTTTTTGAAAACGCGTTTTCAATTATATTTTTGTGCATATGTTTCTTAAATTCACAATTTCATTGTCATATTCACACATTTCATTTTATATCTACAAAAAAAATAACTTTTCAAACAAACGCATTTTATTAAATAACCAGCCTAAACATATTTGCGATGTATATGGCTAACAGTTTTTGGTAGAATAAAATTATGAAATGTTTGACTCTGTGAGTTGCAGTGGTATTGCAATGGTTGCATAACCTTTGGATCAAAAAGTTTTAAATTTAAAAAAATGTTATTGTTTTCTTGACGTTCTTGCCATACGAAACTTTCAATAACAATTTGACCAGCCCTGTTTAAAAAACATTAATCTATTTGAACATAAGCCTCATTAACATGCCTATTTAGATGACTTTGCCGATCAGACGATAAATCATGACCCAACCTGATACTCTTTAGGTCGAATCACCATTTAGCGTTTAATTTTAAAAGCAGTTTTTATTTGTTTCTTCGATCAATAAACTGCCCAGTGTTAGAAAGATTGGTCTATTCTGCAACTTTTTCACAACGCTAAAACGTTCATCATTTCTTGAGACTACAACACAGAGGTAAATCTAGACAATAATGACGGGGTTCAAAATTTTTAAAATGTTGAAACTTGAAAGGGGGCAAAAAGTCAAAGTTTACCAGGAAAATTTAATGAAACTGTTGTCATAAAATTTGGATAACAGTTTTATTAAATTTTTGTGATAAACTTGGATAATAATTCTATTTTTATCAAATTTAACATTTTCCAGAAAATTCTATTTTAGTACATTATAATTACTAAATTTAATTATTTCTTGCAATATTATTTTTTGGTTACTTCAATTAAGTCATTTGTTTGTTTAATTTCAAATCTTGTAGAATGAAAAGAACAGAAACCAGCAAACAAATGAATTGGAGGAGAAACTACAAATTGAAAAATTGTTACAAAAATTTCACGAAAAAGGCGTCGAATTGGAAACTTTTAAACGTAATATTCTGCCAAAATTAAAATGTGAAGGAAAAAATACAATTCCTATCGAGAAAATAAGAATTGTTCATATCAATAACAATTAAAATAAAATGAATTTATTTTTTCAATGTTGAACGACTTGTTGTTGTTCGAACCTTCTTATCATTCCATATCCGTTGTTGGTATGTAAAATAAACCTTGAATGACATATTAATTTGCAAGATGTTTAGTTAAATTCATTAGTAATGTTAAAAATAAGATTATAATTTTTGAATTTTAAATAAAATTTGTTTAAGGAATTGATTCATAATAGCGATGGTATAACAAAAAGATGTTATAAAAGTTAACTATCAATCAATTTAATGAGAGATGAGACTTATTCTACCTACTTGCTATGCACGCTGTAACGAAGCACGACACACTCCCCACCACCATCGCCCTCGTCGCCAATTTCGGTATGATTGTCTTTCGCTCCGGAATCAAGACCGTGAACATTCCTATTTGAATGCCAATGGAGCCAAAGTTTGAGAAGCCACACAAGGCATAAGTAGAAATTACAACTGATCGTTCCTGTGTAGGAACAACAACGTGAGGTACTTTCTGTAATGCAATGGTTCATAATTTCGAATTTGGAACATACGTCAATGACCCCGCCCTCCAGCACGGTTGAGTTGCCGAATTGATCGTGCAACAAAATATCGAATCCATCTTTCACGGATGACCACGTCCCATTCTTGGCAATGTGTTCATTCAATTTTTTTCTGTTTTTTATTAAAGTTCCGAGTTCTTGGAAAGCCACAAATTCGTTTATGAAAGTTTTTACTCCAATTAGTTCTCCAACTTTTCTGCAGTCTTCTACTTTCACTCCCATTGTCAGTGCAAAGGGCCACAGCAAATAAGAAATAATATACTAAAACAAAAGAAACATACATAACTTTTTAAAAATTAAGTTTCTCAGCTCAACAGCGTCTTTAAAAAATAATTTATTGATACATTTTTTTCTTATGTTATTTATTTTTGAACATTAAACGAACTTGAAACGTGATGGTTTTTTTGCTTCCGACGCGTTTTCCAAACCAAACAAGAGTTTGGTTAACGGACTCGAGCAGCGATATGAAGGCAATGAGATTAGCCCCAATGATGGCGGCCAGGCTGATGGCAGAACCTGCACCAGCCGACGCAGCCTCAAAAATTGATTTTTCAGGGCTATAAAAATAAATTTCAATTTTTCAGGAGATTATCAAGTTTTTTTTGACAATTTATTTTATATAGCAAATTTGTTAACCAATGCGTTGAACAGCAAAGATAAGTTTTTGATTCTTTATATGACATTTACAAGTACCAATGCTCTAATGATTATGACTACAAAAATATTTCAGTAAAAAATATATAAATTTACGGTTTGAACTTGTTCACCGAGTCAACATTCATTGTGGGTTTCTCTGTTTCCGGATAAACCAACTTGGCAATCGCAAGAGCTGCCGGAGCAGACATGACTGATGCCGATATCAAGTGAGGTGCAGAAACCTTCAGCGGATTCATCAAATCAATTCTAAATATTAGTAGTTCAAAACTCTTAGACATTGTCAAATAAGAAAACATCAAATAATTTTTGACAAAAATAAAGATCCATAAAACTCTTCGTAAACTGACTCCAAAATATATGAATGCTGCCATGACACTTCCAGAAATGGTAGCAAACCCTCCGGCCATTATTGCATGTATTTCTGAATTTGTCAAACTCGGCAACATGGGCCTAATCAAAATAGGGCACTCACCCTAAACGTTGAATCAAAAAAAGTTTTAAAAGTTCACTTTTACACTTATCGTAATCTAATGTACTTTATAGATTTTAACTTTGGCTACGATGAACTAAAATATGCAATAACAAGTCATACAATTAAAATGTTTCAGTTTGGAAATGTTTTTCATATTGCCTGTCTACTTTAGTGTTTGAAATAGTAAAATAGATTGATAATAAACATAAAAAGTTTCATGAGAAGCAATTAATCATTGGTTTATTTCTATCTTATTTAATTTTTTATTGTGCAGTTCTGTCAAACGTAGATTTGCTTGCTAGTTGTTCTCTACTGGTAATTAAACTTTCGTGCCACAAAGGCTGTACACTATCCACACCATACGACGAACATGCACGTTATGCATGCACGCGCAAGCACCGCATTATACGCGTATGATGGTCCTTTAGTTTCTAACAGACATTATTCGAACCATGCCATCACGTAATAGCAGCGCGAGACATGGCACTTCTACCGACTGAGCTATCTCGGTGACTTTAATTTGCCACAACCCGTTATTTAACAAACACGCCAAATAAAAATCTTTAAACTTTAATATAATCTTAAATAAAATTTGTTGAATAAAAATAGCTGATTAAAGAATATAAATTGTAAAAAGTAGATAATTTTTCACATAAAATTAAAAAGTTGTTATTTTATACATCTTGAAAAACGCAAAACAATCTCACTGAACATTCAAACCACAAAAAAAAGACTGAGACAAAGAAGAAGCTGCATATGAATAAACTAATAAATAAAGGAGACTTGCATTGCGTTTGAAAACAAAAAAAAAAACATAAACATACTATTAATTAGCTATTGAAGTTATATAAAATCAATCTTCCTCGATGAAACCTAACCATCCCCATGAAGATGTTCGAGGCAGAAACGAAGGATTCGCAGGCAGACGTTCGTAGCAGGAACTGAATGACCTGAGCGACGGAGACGATCAACTTCTGCATGAGGCCCAGGTAGAAGAGAATGTTGATGGTCGAACTAACAAAAATTACTGTCGGAAGTATCTGCAATTAACATGCCTACTTATTATTCATCATTATTGACATTATTGTAATAATTATTATTATATCATTATTTGTATTACTATTATTATTCTTATCATAATTATTATTTTCGTGGCGCTTGTAAGAATAATAGGTTTAGCTCAGCAGCCTCGTTATTGCAACGAAACCAATACTCAACGAAACAGAAGACATTGAGTGCTAGAGAATACATCGAAACAAGTTGAAAAAAGTTTGCTGAAAAGCACGCTTATATACGTAAAATTGTACTCTTGTCTTAAATATCGAACAGAAAATTCATTCGCTTGTTGGGCTTCCTCCGTCAATCCTTCAATGAACGTCAATTTATTTGCCGCATTTATTGAGGAAATTTAAATTTAATAGTTAATGAACTTATTATTTTATTATATTTTTTTGTTTATTTATTAGTTTAATTAATTCAATAAAGTTTGTTAATTAACTTATACTTTGTCCTCAGAAATGAGCAATTATACAAACTTTAAGACACATCCTACAATGGGATGCTATCGAAAATCTGATTATAATATTTGAACAATAGAAGCAAACAAAAAAACTAATACTTTGGCCAGGTTACAATACAAAAATAAAAACAATGAATAACTGACTAACCTAACAAATTTAAGTCCACACATACATAAGCACACACATACATAAGCCACACATACATAAGTCCACATTTACATAAGCACACACATAAGTCCACACATACATAAGTACATACATTTATAAGCCGACGCACAAGCACATAGACAAAAACATACATTGAACTTCTCGACCGACTAAAACGCACATACAATAACGCTCACTGAATAACACGCGCTTAGACCCAAATGCACATAGAAACAAACGAACATTTTTGAATTTCAAGTCAATTAATTTTATCCTGATTAACAAATTTAGTCTTTTTGTTTATATCATTTTTTATGGTTTAAATTTCGGCATCAAGTTTAGGGCAATATTTTATTTTGCAGATTTGTAATACAAACGTATGTATACGTTTTTGAAAAACATGAAATATTTTTTCTGAGAAAAGATTATTTTTCCCTGAAATTAGAAGTTTCTGGCAAAGCTACTGGCTGTTTAAAATTGATTGATAATGTATTTATAATAAGAAGAAGACAAACTTTCATAGCAAAAATGTGATCTTCGTAATTATTTCCGAACAGGAACATACATCCTGAATCCACATAATTTAAATAATTTGTGATTCTCTCGCCCAGCCATTGGAACGCCAAATAACCCAACGACCATTTCAATATGATTATGGCCAAAAATAATTGCAACGCAAAGCCCCAGATAACTGTGTGCCATCTGACCTTAAATAAAAAGTTATTTGTAAGAAAATGGTTTGGTAATTGATTAATTTATGCAAATTATATGTTAGATTATCGTATATTTGAGTGGCCGCTCGTTAAAACAAATAGAATTAAATAGGATTCGAACATTAATCGTTGACCATGCCCGGAAACCGTCTGCGTCATTATACATCGTTTTTATTTCTCGCAAGTCAGTTAGGATCAGTACGTACTCGCCATGCAAATTAAAACAAATCTGCGACTGCAATGCTGTTCTTGCTTCCCACAAAGCGTTTATTGAAAGAAATACGATGTGAGAAGGAAGTGTCAGTAATGGAATTCTCTTTCAACTTTCTCTTGCATTCAAAATTAAATGACGTTAATGATTTTTGTTTGCTCATTAATAAATTTTCAATCAAAACCATGAATTGAAAGATATTAAAACGGTTTCTGAGATAATGTTATTATATAAACTCTATGCTTTAAAAAGCAATCAATTTTAATTGTTTTGAGCAATCCGATCCGAATAATTAATCTTGTGATTGATCTCATTTTTATTTTCATAAAACTTTTTCAACAAATTTGTAAAGTAAAAAACACCATCTGAACTGCTTAAAAGAGACACGAGGTTCTTTATTTAACCAGCAAACTCCCAGGTACTACCAGTTGCTTGAAAGCATCGGAATGTTATCGATATGATTTTTTTTAATGTCTTGGGATGTTTTAATTGGTTTTCGAGTTTTGTAAAAATGTATAATTAAACAATTGTCATAGAAATGATTGAATCGAAAATTTTTTTAGACGTTAGAGATGCTGATTCGCCGAGTGAGATGCTGAAATTTGAAAAAAGTAGCAATATGTCACATTTATAAAAAATATTCGGGACATTAAATTTTTTATTCACCAATCACAACTTTTGAAGTGCCGTTGCAAAGATTTTCTTTAGAGATTTAAGATTTTTACAAAATGTTGAACTGGCCACTATTTATTATTAAAATTTTCATATTTTTTTACAGTTGACTAAATTTAACAGTCGTGGGACCTAAAGATTCTTCTTAGCTACGCCTCTGAATAATATTTTATGAAAATTAAACTATATTTTGTTGGTTAAAAATTTGTTGGGAGAAAGAAAGTGGAACCTATTACAAAAATGATATGGATATTTCAAAGCACATTAACAATTTATCTCTTAGTTGCAAATAAACACACTATAACTGCTACACTTAAAGCTTTAAACAATATCATAGCTAAAAATAGTTTCAATTTTAGTCTAATTCATTAAAAATTGTTTTGTAATGGAGAACACAGCTTTTATTGTTTCAAAACTTTTTAGCATAAAAGTGAAGCACAACTTTGCAGAATATTATCCATTATATCTGAATAGGAAAAACAAGTCAGAGGCTGTCGTATTCTAAGCATGTGATCGCAAGTAAATTAAAAAAATAAATTTTTCATTAACCTTATCTGGATTTTTAGAAATCAAATACATTAGCCCACAATAAATGAAGAGACCACTCAGAGAAACTAAGTTGTATACGACGGCCCTGCCCTTATAGAAGTCAACAGCAAGCACCGTCACTGATAGGAATAATATGAAAAACAAAGAAAAGCTGAAAAAATTTAATTTTGTTTATTATTAGGTCAGTCGAATTTTCATTCCATGGCAATATCAATATCATAAAAAACATTGCAGTAATTAATTAATTAATTAATTGTAATAATTGTAAAGTTATAACATCAACAGATGAAAAATGCTCATACAAACAGATTGACGATCTTTTGGTATCTTCCAGCTTTAACGTACAACACTTGAAAACACAACGTCACGTTTAAATGAAGAAATTTCTTCATTGCTTTATATACGATGACTATAAATATGATGACAGTTATTCCTATTAATCGGAATGAGCCTGAAACAGAACAAAATAACATACCAGTCAATTCTTTTGTTAGTCGTTATAATTTTGCGGACCAACCTTCATCTCCGAATTTATACTTCATGGCAAAGATGAAATAAACTAAATATCCGCCTAGCACCAACACATACAAACACGTGACCATTTTTTCCTTGTGTTCAGAACAAAGTTTCTGAAGTTTGCAACACTTGAACGAAATATCGTCACTATCATGCTCGTTCTTCTCAGCCGATTCCAATGTGATGGAATCAGCTTCTGGAGTCACAGCGTTCGCTTTGGTTGGCACCTTCAAATAGCAAATGAACGTTATTAAGCTATAAATTCATTTATTCAATTTGCTCAGGTTATTTAAAAATTTACTAATAACAATCCTCGATTGATAATTAAATTTATTCCACAAATTAAAAAAAAATTGAAAAAGTGCAAGCCTCACTTGGCCGGATGCATTAGCATTCTCTTTAAGCTTGGGGTCTGTCCTCAACGCTTCAGTGGGGTTACTCAGTAAATTAGCACTTTCTTTACGCTTCGCCCCTGCAGTCTGTGCTGTTATGCTCGGTCGAGGAGCACTATCATTATGTTGTTGGGGGTCCATTGTGTTCACTGTATTTGATGGTTCTGTTAGGTTAGTGTAATTAACAATTTTAAAGTTTCATATATATATATATATATATACATATATATATATATATATATATATATATATATATATATACAAACATATTAACGCCAAACATTCGGTAGAATTTATAGAATATTGTAAAAATTATGGTCTATTACCAACATATATATATATATATATATATATATATATATATATATATATATATATATAAATTCTACCGAATGTTTGGCGTTAACGCCAAACATTTTACAATATTCTATAAGATTTTGTTACGGAGTGTTACGGGGGGGGAGGGGGGATTCAAAAATTGTTACGTAACATAGAAAAAAATGTTGTTTTTTATATTTTTCATTATTAATAAATTTAATTTTTCATTCTAAAACACAAATGCTAGTGTAGTTTTTATAGAATCTATGTTAATAAATGGTTAATGATCATATTTCTTTAAAATTGTCGTTTTCATCCATGAAACTTAGCAGTTATGAACATTCTGATAAAAAAACACGACGAATACAATGCATTTTCGTGACCGCGTGGTACATACGGAAAAAAATCAAAAAAAAAATTGTGCTTCTACTCTAAATTCAAAAATATTTTTACATAATGTTAACAAATGGTTAATTATCATATTTCTTTAAAATTGTCATTTTTACTCATGTTTTACTAAGTTTTTAAAAAAATATATAATACACCACTCGTAGCGAATTGCCTGCTGCAAATGTGACTCACAACAACATAGAAAAAATATTTTTATAATAATACACATTTCTTTTATCGCTTATAACAACCGAAAATTATATAGATAGGCGCATTTTCGAAAAATAAACAAAAATAACAACGACGAAAACGCGAATTTGCGATAGTAATGTTAAATCCCTTTCAGGAAAACGCGGTGAAGTTGAGCGCGCGCGCTATCGCATTTTTTAACGTTGTGCGACCTGCTATTATAGATTAAATAATGTTGAATTATATAAAAGTTAGTTTAATTAATATGTGGATGAATAAATGATGATTGAATGAAAGAATATAGGAAGAAAAATTTTTCTTGTGACAAGCTAAAAATCAAATTTGATCCAACGAGAGAAGAGTTATAAAAGGTTTAAAAAGTTAACTTTAGATTGCATAGTGTAGTTTAACGGTGACCGAAATTTTCAAGTTTGTGTTTCTCTTGCTGACATTTCTTTAAATTTTTAAAGTTCAAGTCGTATTTCTAGATTTAGAGTGAGTACAATTTCTTTAATTATGTTTTAATTATCTAAAATTGTTATTTTGGAAATTTTATTCTACATGATAATTTTAATTTTACTTTTTAACTGACCATTTTAGCATGGATAAAGATGACATGTTTAAAAAGTTATTTAACGCATTTATAAAAGCTAATCCAAGCGGTCAAAAACAAAAAATTCAGCATGATTGTGTTAGTTTCTGGAATTCAATCAAGACTGCACCTGATTTTGTCCGCTTGTACAACGCAAAGAAAGCTGAACTAGAGGGTACTACTAGGAAGCGATTAATTTCGTCTTTTTTCTTGTCAAAAAACGAGAACATTCCTTCCAATTTAAAGTCAAATGACAGCTCTTGTGGAATAATAAATTCTTGTTCTTCAACTTTTTCTGCCGTTCCATCAACTGCAAGCTGTTCAAAGTTAACTGTTTCGAATGACAAATGTCCAGCTCAGAAGCAACTCACGGAAGAACTGAATATTATTAACGCAGATCTAGTAGGCTTAATGGCACGCGACAATATGCGCATACTCACAGCTAAGCAGAAAGAAGAAATGGACACTAAGAAGGCGCGTAAACGACAAATTGAAAAGGATATAATTAAAAAAAAAGCTAATCAAGAGCGTCAGAAGAAATTTCGTATTGACAAGAAAGAAATACTGCAAAAAGTTATTGAAGAAAATCCTGAACTTGCTAAGAAATTAAAAACTAAAGAAAGTCCTGGGTGTCCGTCAATAGTGAGTGAACAGTCCGATTTGCTTAAATCGATATTAGACATTGCTGAATTTGGCTGCTCGGCTGACGAACGAAGACGAATGGAAACTTTGAGATGCGTTAAAACTTTAGATGAACTACATAAGGAACTATTGAATATGGGGTTCAAAATATCATGAACAGCTGTGTACTATCATCTCCTTCCAAAAAATTATAATACAATTGATGGCAGAAGACATGTCAGCACAGTTCCAGTGAAATTGATTCGTGCTACAAATGATCTCCATCGACAGCATCCAGATACTAAATTTGCTACTGATACTGTTCATCATCTTTGCGAGTTTGCTTCATTTTTTGGTCCGGCAAATACGACAGTCATTAGTCAAGATGACAAATGTCGAGTACCTATTGGCATCACAGCAGCCAAAATGCAAGCACCTATGCTTATGCATATGGAATATCGTGTAAGACTTCCAGATCACGATTGGGTTATCGGCGATCGGCATAAGTTAATACCATCTGTATACGCCGGCCTTGTAATATCTGAAAAAGGTTATGGTGCAAAAGAAGCTGTAACATACTCTGGTCCAACTTTCATCTCAATTCGATCAGGAAAACATTCTTCTTCAAATGCAATGAGTCATGCAAGAGACTTCGAGAGATTGATGAAACTTTCTGAATTTGGTACTATAACGAAAACAATGGATCAAAATGCAAAGCCAATATTCATCTTTTTTGTTGATGGAGGACCAGATGAGAATCCTAGATATCCACACACTATTCAATCCGCCATCGGACAGTTTAAAAAGTACAATTTAGATGCAATATTTATTGCTACAAATGCGCCAGGTCGCAGCGCATTTAATCAGGTTGAACGTCGAATGGCACCTTTAAGCAGAGAATTAAGTGGGGTAATTTTGCTGCATGATTTCTACGGAAGCCACCTTGATATCAATGGTAAAACAATTGATGAGAAGCTAGAAATTTTAAACTTTGAACATGCAGGTGAAACGTAGCAACCATCTTCGGTAATGTTGTAATTGACAACCATCCAGTCATTGCAGAATACGTTTGCCCAGAAAGATCCGAAATCGATTTAATAGATACAGTATGCATTGATGAAAAATGGAAAATGAATCATATTCGTTCTTCACAATACTTTTTGCAAATTTTGAAGTGCCAGGATCGAACATGCTGTACAGAGCCACGAAGCCCATTTTTCAACTTTTTTCCTCAACGTTTTTTGCCAGCACCTTTGCCGCTAGTATACAGTCCTTCTATTTCAATCGCAAAGTCAACTAAAGACGTAGGTAAATTTATGAGCTTATTTCAAAATGAAGCATTTGCTAACCGTACACTCCCTTATGATTTTCACTGCCCATCCGTTAGTAGTACAGTACCAACGAGAGTTTGTATAGATTGTGGATTGTATTGTGCTTCACTGGAAATGTTGAAATCTCACCGAAAGTCAATCCACAATCGTATTGTCAATACCAAGAAGAAGCCGAAGAAAATCATAAAAAAGCGGAATGAAGAGTTGTTGGTACAGTTGGATGATGATGTTGAATGGATGAATAGGGAAAATGTTGAATGTATTGAAGAAACAGAAGAAGATGAGAATCCTGTAAATAATGAAGTACCAATAATATCTATTCAAACTCATTTGGAAAGTATATGGGAAAAAGATTGTTGATATTTTTTAACAATTTTGATTTTTATTTTAGAAACAACGCTATATAAATACATTTGATATTGAAAATAATAGAAATTTGAAATAATTTTGTTTTTTATTACCGAAAAATTAAAAATATTTTTTGTTACGTAACGGGGGGGGGTAAGTCGTTTGTTACGGAAGTGTTACGAAGGGGGGGGAGGGGGTCAAAAAAGTCGTTTTTTCGTGTTACGTAATACTCGAACGGCCCCATAGGGAAATATTGACTTTGTCAAAATAAAATCTAAATTCAATTTACCGACATGCGTTGTTGAATCAGATACTGTTTCCAACTTCAAGATGAATTTTGACTTATATATGGCCAACAAAAAATTTCTCTATGATCATAAAATTGACATTGTTGTTTGATTGCTTTTTGTTGTCTTTTAATGCTATTTCTATTTGGGCATATATAACTTACGTTTAAGCCCATTATTTATTTATATATATATATATATTTATTTATTTATAAATTTTATTAACAATTTTTAAGCTTTTCCAGTTTTATACTTCCAGCTATAATTAATGGAAAAACGTTTGCTAAAATATAAACGGCGCTTCCACTTGGTGAGATTTAATTTTTCATATTAACATGATTAATCAAATAAATTTTCGTCAGGCACCCAGACAATTTATTTTTATTTTAAAAATATACGTGTTTTATATTGCCATTATATAAAATATTTTATTTGAAAAACTAACTTTTTTAGGGCTGGAGTGAATAATCTTTGTTTTACTATATAATATTTTCAGATGTTAAACATTAGTTTGACAAATAAGTTCAACTTTTACAAAAAAGGTAAACATAAATAAAAACAATTGTTAAAAATAAACATTTACGTCGTCAATAGAGAACCCAAAAAATATCTTTTTAAAATTATTTCATCAAATCAAAATATGTTTCCATGTGTAATGCAGACTCATATAACGCACGTGTACTAGTGCATGGAATGTGATAAATGATACAATTCATTAAATAACTCATGATTAACATAGACAATAATTTTTTTTATATGTTAGCTAATTATTCTTTGACATAAAACATTCCTTCGGAATCTCTACTCGCCGCTACAATTGTTATAAATAACTGTACATACACACCACACTTACGCGCGCAAACACCCACACGCACGCACACATTGATGATCCGTATATATATATATATATATATACATATATATATATATATTCATAATGATATATTATATATATATCCATGCTGATAGCCAGGGAACTTTGTGCATTTGAACGCAGAGCAATTAACTTTCGGAAGGCTTAATTATTATTAAAAAATTTTATGAAATTAAAAGTAGCTATTTACAGTGAAAAATATAATAACAATTTCTACTTTCGTGTATCAAATAATTGAAACAAACTAAAGTTAATTTTTAAATCTTTACCGAACACTATCCAAATCAGTTGGTTGGAATGTAAAACAGACCTGTAAAATTATTTACTGGCAAATTATCTATGAATTTAAAACAATGATGCTGTTTAAAAAAACATACGTAAAGAAAACATAAAAATCATTAATTTCAAAAAATTAGAAAATTTATTTCATTCTTTAAACCAAGAAATAAAATTCGGTCACTTGCTATACACGCCGTAACGAAGCAGGCCACACTCCCAGATATCATGGACCTCAACGCCACCTCGGCAAACATGGATTTGCGAGACGGAATCAACGCCATGAATAAACTCAGCTGAACTCCAATGGAGCCAAAGTTTGAAAAGCCACATAAGGCATAAGTAGAAATTACAACAGATCGCTCCTGTGTATGAATAACAACGTGAGGTACATATTTGTAATGCAATAGTTCATAATTTCGAATTTGGAACATACGTCAATGACTCCGCCCTTTAACACGGTTGAGTTGCCGAATTGATCGTTTAACAAAATATCGAATCCATCTTTCACGGATGACCACGTCCCATTCTTGGCAATGTGTTCATTCAATTCTTTCCTGTTATTTATCAAAACTCCGAGTTCTTGAAAAGCCACAAATTCGTTTATGAAGGTTTTTATTCCCATCAATTCTCCAACTTTTCTGCAGTCTTCTAATTTCACTCCCATTGTTAATGCAAATGGCCACAGCAAATAAGAAAGAACAAACTGAAATTAGGTGAAAAGTGTCAGTAAAATATTATAGAATGAGAGTTGTCTCAATTTTAACTTTTAAACTGGCGATATTAATTTCAATAGTGAATTTTTATATGAAAATCTTTACAATTTTTTTTATCGATTTCAAATGTTTGAAAATTGTCGATGCCAGTAAATGTATCAAACTTGGAATGTTATCGGCTTAGTACTTCCAACTCGCTCCCCGAACCATGTGAGAGTGGAGTTGATGACGGAGAGGAGCGATATAAAGACCAACAAGTTGGCTCCGATCGAAACCACCAACGACATTCCGGATTTCGCTCCGGCTGAAGCTGCTTCAAATAACGACTTCTCTTGGCTGAATCATTTGAAATTTATATTATTTGGAACAATTTCGGCTATAAAATTGATAAGTTTTTTTTAAAATGTAACAAAACAACAAAGACAACTTTCATTTGGAACAGAAAATTTTTATTTAAAAAACGGAGTAAACGTTCACAAAAACTATTTTAATGGACACCATGAAATAGATAAAAAATTACATAAACAAATTTCGTGTGAAAATTTTTCAGGGAAACAAAAGTGTATTAAATATTTATCATTTTGCGTTGTTAAAGGACTAACATGTTGTATAGTTTTAAATAACTGTTCTATAAAACAATAAGGTCTGTGAAACAATTAGAAATAAAAAATTATTTTCACATAAAAAATGCAACCTTTTGATGTTGCCCGCAAACTCGGCAGATGTTTTTGTCTTTTTTGTTTCTGGATAAAAAAGTTTAGAAATTGCCAGAGCAGCAGGTGCCGACATAACTGAGGCTGAAATTAAGTGATTTGCTGGCACCTGCCAATGTTTTATTAATTTTTTCCAACTAAAATGATTTTGGTTACCATTAATAATAAATAAATTTTAAAAAACCACTTATAACCCCAAAAAGTATAAATGCTCCCAAGACTCCTCCAGCTATTGTTGCGAAACCTCCCGACATGACTGCATGTATCTCGGATTTTGTCATATATTTCAACAATGGCTTCACTAGGAGCAAACATTCTGTCTGCCAATTAAAAAGTTTGTTTTTATGCGTTTTAAGATATCAATCGTTCGTCCTTTGGAGCATTTTGTTGCGAAAATAAAACTGCCAATTTTTCTAATTAATATTCCAATCCGAAAAGGTCAAATTTTGTATGCCAACTATCTATTAAAATACTTCACTAATATTTTTCAAAAAGATGAATATTATGTTACAAAGTAATTTTTTTAAATTCCCTTTTCGTTTAGTTTCAAAAAAAATTATATTTTTGATTTCATCTCACGGTACTGTATGTTCAGAAACATGTACTGGTTATTAACGTTCGTGAGTAACATTCTACTGTTCACACAAAACTTGACTAAGCCTAACCTGTCCTAGAAATATGTTGCCAGCTGTGGCCACGGATTCAGGTGCAGTCGTGTTCATCAACATTTTCATGGTCAGAGCGATTCCAACAATCAGCTTTTGCATTATTCCAAGGTAAAACATGATGTTGATCGTTGCACTTATGAATACGACTGTAGGCAGAACCTGCGTGTGTTTCATTGCTAACATACATCTCTTTTGGTTAAAATTTTAGTGTTGATATTAGTAATACAATTAAGTATCTTAAAATGAAAAAAATAACCACTAGACCAAACACCTGCATGACAAAGAGATGATCTGAGTAGTTTGGACCAAAAAGGAATAAACAACCAGTTTGCACAAATTTCATATAATTAGCCACTCTGTCACTCAACCACTTGAATATATGAAATCCTAGGGACCATCTCAAGATGATCAGCGCAAATGCAAACTGCAGTGCGAATCCCCATGCCACCGTCAACCATTTGATCTGCATGATGCAAAATAAACTACAGGTATCTTGTGATATTAAAAGATTTAAAACATTATAATTTTATTTAAAAACATTGAATTGTAATAAAAAAACTTTTGAGGGGTGTTTTGAGAAGAAAAACATGATGAAGACGTAAAGAGCCAAGCCGGTCAAGGAAACGAGGTTGTAGAGTTGTGCGCTCTCCTTGTAGAGGTCAGAAATGATGACCATCACTGCCGATATGTAAATGCTGAACAGTGCAGTCCTGCAAGTTGTTGCTGTTTTAAAAACACTGTTCATGTTGGTGCGTTCTTAACTTAAAATAGAGAAAACTTGTACGTTTGCATTTGTTGGACAGTTGGTTTTGAAACAATGCATTTGTATCTATTTATAAATATAAATTAAAAAAGATTTATCAGAATAAATTTAATCAGAACAGAATTAAGACTAACAGGTTGATAATTTTGAAATGTTTCTTCAAAGTATCGCTCACCACGTGCATAATTTGATCAATTTTTGGTCCACGAAATTTGTTAAATAACTTCCATGAAACGACGGTGGTGATTGAGCAAGTCAAACCGAGCAAGCGATAGAAACCTGGTGTTTTAAATGCTGTCGTCGTATTTCTTGCAGTCAATATTGTTAATTAGCTTATAAAAACTAACTTTAAATATGATTATTAAATTTATCTTCACAGGCAACGGTCAGGGTTGAACCGCTTAATATGATTTTAAAAAATATTCACTCTTGAAACAAAATAATTTTACTGAATAGCATTAACTGAAAATCTAATTTTTTGGTACAACCTAACTAGATGTTGATAAAATTGTTGAATCAGTAGGAAGCTGACAAACCTTCATCACGTGACTGGTGGTGCATGGCGCATATGAAGAAACTTAAAAAACCGAAATAAGAAAATATGTAGAAACAGAGAAGAACAGCTCTCCTAAATTTCATCCAAATTTCATGAACTCTTTCTTGAAAGCGTTTAACAAATTTGGAAGCGTTTTTATCAATTTCGTCATCATCCTCCCACGTGATAATTTCATCTTCTTCTTCATTTTCTTTTGAATCTTCATCCATCATTTGACATTTAAAGTCGTTATCATTTGAGCCAACACGATTATTCGAGGAAGATGCATTCTTCTGAAAAGACTGCTGACCCCAAATTTGAAATTATAAAACTAAAAATATTTATTAATCTAACTTTGATAAAATAGTTTATCAAAATGATTATAAGCTTAGCATAAGATTTGTTAACCAAAAATTCTTCAAATTAAGAGTTAATTTTACTTATTTGTCAACAAATCAGCATAAAATTTTCATTAAAAAATTGAGATTTTAGAATAAAAACATTTCTGAACTTTAAAAAAATTTTACAATTTTATAATTCATAATAACATGTAACAGGATAAACATTTTTCTATAAAAGCCCAACAACATGAAACCTCAGACGTCGGAGCGTGGTACGGGGGCACTGGCATAATCTGGCTAATATCGTTCGGAGTCGATCCGGCCATTTTTCTAGTGAAGTTGACGCACTGTTAGCTTTTAATACGGCGGCAAGATGATTTACATTGGTAATTATTCATTGAAAAATATGTATTGGCTTACAAAGTGTGCACCTATGTATGATTTGCTGCTCGTTTGCTTGGTTTGATGCTTGCCTCCCATGGTGACACGTGGTTTTGAGTTACAAATTTTAAAAATATGTGGAGTAATAAATATCTAATAGATAGCAAGATGGATGGATGAATGAATGAATGAATGAATGAATGAATGAATGAATGAATGAATGAATGAATGAATGAATGAATGAATGAATGAATGAATGAATGAATGGATGGATGGATGGATGGATGGATGGATGGATGGATGGATGGATGGATGGATGGATGGATAGATTGAAAGTTGTTTGAATATTTTTTTCTAAATTATTTTAAATTTTTTGATTACACAAAACAGTGATAGATAAAAATATAGCAAGTTCGCATAACATTTCAAACAAGTCACCGCGCAGAAAACAAAACCATGTAAAAAATTTTTCCAAAATTTGTTCATACGTCCGATAGAAACAAAGTTTAAACAAACGAATAAAACTGAGCTTCGTATCAAACTTTGTAATGCAGATTCCGAGAGAATATGGAAATAGGGAGGGGTATGTGATCGTAATAAACATCCAATAGTTCTTTTGCATTCTAAATTTATTTCACTTATTTTGAAAAAAGGCACATAAGGAATTATTAATCGCACTTAATTTTTAATTTCACTTAAATTATATTTGAAGTCGTTCGGATATGATATTTATATTTTTTACTTGTGATGCTTCGAAAATGACAACACAATTTATAACTACGAACGTGTCAGTAGATAGATAATGAAGTGGCTGCCGTCTGCCTCGTTTATGTTGGCTTCAGTCGCAGAAGTGTTAATTAATATTTCAACGTTCCAGGCATCAAATATCGAAACTGTGTATACTTTGCTCGCATACGTAATCTGCTAATTTATAGATTTCAAATGCAAATTTCATAAAATACCATTCACTAATAGAACACCTAATATAGCACTTGATATAACAATAACACATAGATACACACATACATCATTGTATAATGTATCATTGTATGATGCATCATTATATGATGTATCATTAAATGATGTATCATTACATGATGCATCATTATATGATGTATCATTACAGGATGTATCATTGCATGATGTATCATTGCATGATGTATAATCGTTTGATGTATCATTGTTTGATGTATCATTGTTTGATGTATCATTGTTTGATGTATCATTGTCTGATGTATCATTGTTTGATGTATCATTGTCTGATGTATCATTGTTTGGTGTATCATTGTCTGATGTATCATTGCATGATGTATCATTGTATGATGTATCATTGCATGTTGTATAATTGCATGTTGTATCATTGTTTGTTGCATCCTTGTATAATGTATCATTGTATGATGCATCATTGTATAATGTATCATTGTATAATGCATCATTATATGATGTATCAATACATGGTGTATCATTACATGATGTATCATTGCATGATGTATCATTGCATGATGTATAATCGTTTGATGTATCATTGTTTGATGTATCATTGCATGTTGCATCATTGTATAATATATCATTGTATGATGATCCTTGTATAATGTATCATTGTATGTTGTATTCTTGCATGATGTATCATTGTTTGATGTATCATTGTATGTTGTATCGTTGACACAAATTGGCGCAAATGTTTAATTTTTTAAGCTCCTCTCCACCCAGTTACATCATTGAAATATAACCTTTTTATTTGGCACGATGGTGACAACGATCATGATATGGCTCGTCAGTTTAATGCCTAAGTTATTGTTATCACTAACTATTCTATTCGAGCCAATCGAATCGAACAGTAACTATAAAAGAAGTGTTCTGTTTCCATCTCTAATTGCAACCCGCAAACATACTTGAGGCTTTCGAATGTCAAGTTAACAGTTATTACATTAACAACCTATTACAAGAAAGTTCAGTGCTTTTATAATACTGAGCCGAATCTTCGATGTAGAGATAATACGACCGGGGATATTTATACCATCGGGTTCAAAATCCTGCTGCGTCAAGTGACAAAGGTCATTATATGGTTTGCGTATAGGATGTGGTGATTAGCGCGTTTTCTCCTCATACACGTGGCAGAAGTTGTGCGTACAAATAATCAGCGTTTCGTTTTTTCTATTTCCTAAACTGGGAGCGTAGATAAGGTAAAACAGAATTGCGGTAAAGCCAACCTAACCAACGAATTGTTCTAATTATCAAAATGTAGCCAATTAATTAATTTAATTGATAACGAATCTCCTACCAACATATATTGGTTCCTACCTTTTTGGCAGTTTATCTCCATCATTTTTTGAATATCCACTCATCATAGGAATATGTTCTTCGAGATAAATGGGTTTCATTACTTTCTGAACTAAAATCGGTTTATCCAACCTAACCATTCAAAGTCAATGATGGTCTATGGTGAGTGGTTAGGAGGTTTTTCGAAATTATGCGCCTCATAGCGAGTGATAGCGACTGCGCTTGTAGTGGTACATGTCGTTTTGAGCCTGTGGAATGTCACTGAAATAGCACTGTATAAATAAAGACAAAAATAAAGTTGTCGGTAGCGGATATTAATGTTTCATTCGATTGAATTGGCTGTTTAAAGGTTAAGGAATAACGTAACCCTTTCACCACTTTTGAAAAAAGCATCGTACCAAAGAGTATTAAATCTAGCTGCATTTGGGGGGCTAGCATTTTACGAAATCCTGCAATCGGGAGACCAGCACTAACAAGAATAATTACGGCACTAAAGAACACTAACATAGCACTAATGATAGTGCAGATTTCAAATCTCTAGTAGCATAAGACAAATTTAATTTTAAAAATCAGGTTAAAACTGTTATAAGTAAAATGAATGTTACATCAATTCATTATTAACCCGCAACTCTGGAAAACTTATTTATTTTTTCGTATTTTATACTTGGTATAGGTATACCGAAAAAAGCTTTTTTGTTCGATCATGCACAAAATAAACAAAAAATTTGGTTTTGAACTCAAGAAACTTGAGAATGATTTACGATCAACCATTAGAAAAATCGAAAAGTTAAATTGGAAATTAACTAAAGTCTTAAACCAATATTTCCTTACTTTTATAAACATTTACATTATTGCAATTTAATATGGGGTCGTGCCAATAAAACTAATTTAGAAGAAGTTTTTGCCGCTCAAAAAATATTTAAAAAGCTTTTTTTTAATTAAAATTAAATTATGACGTTTTTAGAACAATAATCTTTTGTCCATCTACAAAATAAACAGTTACAAAGCTTGTCAGTATTTGTACAAAAGAATTTATCGGATTGATAGGATAGATGACCACTTGAAAACAGTTTTTGATAACTTTCAGGAACCAAAAACAACCACAACAAGTAGTAGAAGAAAATTTAAAAATCCATTTGAAGGCGGCAAGTGAAACGGTAGAAACTTATGTTTTTACGATCCGAAAACTTGGAACTGTCTTCCTTATTACCTGAAAAAAATCGAGTTTTACAACCTGTTTGAAAGTCAAATAAAAACTTTTTTGTTTGTTTTTCTTAGTTTGCTTAGAACTGTCGCTTTTCTATTTTAAACTATTTTAATGTACATTCTTTGTTTTTAGTAATTACTTTATTACATTATAGAAATTATAATTAAATATCATTATGTTATATATCTGCTTATTTTGATCCAATTACCCTAACATATATTAATTATTATCTGTTTATACTAATTGAACGATCACTAATTATTATCTTAATTGTAGTTTTTGTAATGAACTGTAATTTCATTTCATTTAGCTATTTTTAAAACTGGTTCAATTTAAATTTGAGGGCACCTTAAAGCAATTTTTGCTGGGGCTGTACAAATGTAATTTTTTATGGAGTAAAATTGTTTAAAAAAGCAATAAAATAAATCTTATAAGTTTTTTTTATCAATTTAATTAATAAAATAAATGATAAATTACAAAAATTAAAATTATTAATTTATACAATACCGATAGAATTTAATGAAAATTGTGTACATAATGGCCTTATACTAATATATATACATATATATATATATAGTTATTAGGTATATATAAAAATATATATATATATATATATTTATATATATATATATTGTTAAATACAATATACATACAACAGAGCTTGCTAATTAAAGTTTGAGAAAACTAACCAACTGATGTTATTGAAATTTGTAAATATTTGTTTAAGAAAATTAAACATTAAGCTCCACACAGAGAAAGTAAGCAAATATCTCCAAAGATTAAAATTAGCACAATCATCAACACAATCAACGACTGCTAGCACAGGGAGATGACTAATTTTCATGTCACGTAGATGACTAATTTTCATGTCACGTCACCAGGCAAACATTGACCTTTTAATGAAAGACGTGTGTGGTCCAAGCCGAAAGATTATAAATATTTTGCTTTTAATAATTAAATAAAAATTAATAAATGTACATACAGCGTAAAAATCTAGCGCTCCATTTGGATGTTGGTTTTGTGGCAACAGAATCTTCATGCAGCATTCAGTCAGACCTTACAATTATGTGGCAAGCGTTTTTTAGTTCCATCATCATCCCACCAGCTATCCATTTCGATACATGATTAATTCATAATGGAAGAGTACGAGCCCATAGAAACTATCATTTTGCCCCTGCTCGCTAGTTAATGTTTATGGGTCTCGCACAGAAGGGCATTTGGCAATAATTTCTAAAATACAGAAAGCATTAACTTTTTGCAACAATAAGAAAAATTTTGTTTAATATATTGTTTATCATTTGGATAAACAATATGAAAGTTATGCAAATGAAACTTCATGTTCACACATTTTTTCTCCATCAAACAAATAATTAAAAGCCTCCACACGGAAACACTTATACATATATATGATATATATTTGTTTATCTATTCATATTATGCATATATACCGAAATTACATCTTTTTAAGTTTTGTGTAACTCTTAACACGTGTGTGCATTTATTAAAATTAAATCAGTCTTGAAACATAATTAAATAAGCACCACATCAGCACTATTTTATCACAATATCGCAACATCACAGTATCACAACATCACAGCATCACAGGAGACAGTTCAAACTTCGGCTCGGTAGAACAAACCTGATGGATAAAATGTTAGTTATTAGTTGTTATTATATTTATGGAAAGTTATACATACGGCGTATTAATATTAAAAAAATTTATATTATTATTGTATAAAAATATTAATATTTCGGCACCCATACGCTCAGGCATATGGGTGCCGAAATACGTAAAAAACACTTCTAACTAAAAAAATGGTTTATACTTTATTTCAAAAGTTTTTTTTATAACAATGTTTCTAATGAATTCGTACAAAATCACAAAAAGTACTTCTATATGAATATACAACTCTCACAACAAATCGTTTGTTAAACTTAGTTTAGCTGTCAACTTTTCTTAAATAGTTAAGTAAATATGAATTGTAAACATTATCGTTAAAAGAGAAAGGTAGCAACAAATCAAAAGAAGACACTCAAACAAAACAAACAAAACACAATAACAGCAAAAAAATATGCAATATTTTTGAATAAGAAATTATGAATGAAGTTGACCAACCAGCCACGCAAGCAGTGATGAAGCACGCCACACTGCCAGAAATCATGGCTCGTACAGCAATTTTTGAAAAGACTTTCTTTCTGGAGGGCACCATGGCGGTGAAGGCTCCGATCTGTATGCCGATGGAGCTTATGTTGGAAAAGCCGCAGAGGGCATACGTTGAGATCACCACCGATCGATCCTGCAGAAGTACGGTTGTTCGTATAACACAATATAATAATAATAATATACAAGTAATATACAATGATTGTTCAACAGCATTTCGAAATTTTGTATAATTTGTTTGATGATTTGTGGGAGAGATGGATATATAGAAAAACAGTAATGTTATATCGCGATTGCCTATACAGAGCAGCTCAGTCAGTCAAGAGATCAATTGCAGAAATTTCTGAACTGCAGTTTGTTTAAAAGAACTTAATGATCGATAAGACTGAGAGCTTTGGAAACGTCAAAAACGAAAGATTCATAAAACAGAGCATATACCGGTTAGAATTAGGAATGAATAATTTGGTGAAATTGTGAGGGCGTGATGTTTTTTGATGAAAAATAGTGATTAAATGATGATAAGTGATGATAAGAAAGCAGTTTAAAACAAAATTAAAGATTCGTGGTGTTGATCATGGAACGCGTGGGCATAAATTGAAATGGGATGGAGAATTTTTCAAATCTAATCTGAGAAAGAATTATTTTACAAACAGAATTGTGAAAATTTGGAATGGTATTGTGAATACTAATAGTGTAAATGAAATTTAAACGAAAATTGAAATCTTTTTTAAAAAATCTGTTTTGTAGTGTAGGATTGGAAGAATTTTTCATTTGGTTCATTTCAGTAAGTTTTGGAGCAATATATGTAATTTTTATATTTGATATGGACTTACTAGTTTTTGTCTATTTCTAATCACATTTATGTTAAGTTATTTCTATGTTTGTTAATGATGCACCAACTTCATTACGCACAGCCCGGCTGAGACTCTGATGAACCTACTCTGCCCAGTAAGTGCTGTACGTACAATTTAATTTTGTGGGCAGATAGCAGCTGTTTTTTCAACTGAAGAATGTCTTTTGGAATTGGTCAAGTTTGATTTACTATGCCTTTCAGAGTTAGTAGTTTAATCAATGTTAACTTTCGTTAATAAAGGTGTTTGTTCAATATGTTTAGTGATATTATTTATTTCAAAATAGAAATGCTTTCGAGTAATTTCGCTGTTTTGCATGGCCCGTGTTTGTCTAGTTTATCGCATTTTAAAGCATCTTTGTTTTATTTTCAAATTTTTTTAGCGCTTATGGTGATATTATCATATATAATGAAAGCATAATATATAATGATTATGATATAATAATATATAAACTGATATAATATATAAAGATGATATCATATCAACCCGCAATAATAATAATAACATTATAAGGATACGTTGTGCTAAAAATAAGTTTCATCCCATGAACGAGAAAGAAAGTAATGAAGTGATGATAAGAATGTTGTGATGCACAAACCTCAATAACTCCATGTTTGAGTACGGTTGAATTGCCGTATGGATGCTGAAGGATGATGTCGTCGTTCGTCGACGAGTACTCCCACGTGCCATTCAGCCGCACGTGTTCATCGAATTTCTTTCTGCAGCATTCAAGTGTCAGTCATTTTATTGGAAAGAAAAAAATTATCTATTTTTAACATTTGTAATGATACGTTGAATTATATCAGCTGCCAATAATGTATGTCATTGTTTAATTCTTATTTATTTATACGTTAATTTATTATTATGTTTTGTACTGGTGAAATTTGAGAATTGATTTGTAAGCAGCTTTAAATAATTACGAAAACGTGTTTAACCTGTTGTCAATGAAAATTCCTAATTCTTCAAAAGCCACGAACTCGTTGATGAATGTTTTAACACCAATCAGTTGTCCGACCTTCCGGCAATCCGGCACTTTCACACCCATGACCAAGGCAAAAGGCAACATAATGTACGATATAACGAGCTGAATATTAATTGAAATGGTTGCGTGTGAGTGAAATCACAAACATTTAATGATAATAATAAAACAATAAAGTCAAATGTCAAGCCATAAGAAACATATTTATTTAGCCCAGGAGTATTGTTGAATGATGTTATGGTTTTCATTCGAACTGTAATTTTACATTTAAAAATGTAATTAAATATTTTAAGGACTGAGAACCTGGAATGTGATTGGCTGTGAAGAACCTACTCTGTCGCCGAACCAGGTAAGTGTAGCGTTCATAAACTCCAGGAGAGCGATGAACGCCAGAAGATTGGCTGCAATGTTGGCCACCAGTGGGATGGCTGCTGATGCTCCTGATGCTGCTGCCTCCACGATATTCTTTTCAGGGCTGTCAGTTTTGTTCAATCGTTACGATGATTTTATAATTGTTGCAATTTTTCAACCTTTCAAGACATTTGAAACATTAGAAAGTGAAAATACTTTAAATTAAACAGCTGTACCTACTATCCATGCTACACGACGCACATAAACATTATGTGTGCAAGTGCAAGCACCGCATCATACGCCTATGATAGTCTTTGAGTTTCGAATAGTCAATATTCGAACCGTGCCATTGCGAAATTCAGCCCTAGATATTGCACTTCTGCCGAATGAGCAAACATTAAGAAGAATATATCGAGAAAATGGTAAACTATTTAAAATTTATCGATAAAACTATTGCACATTCATTGGAACATTGAGAAACTATCGGGAAACAATTCGGCAGGGTGATGAACTAAAAATTTAATTCCGATGTCCCATTCTCGTGAACATGCACATTGGGCCAAATAAACATTCGTGTCGAAATAACGATTAGTAGTTTGATATAGAGCAGGGTACAGCAGCAAATAAAGTTTTACGTTATTTTTTTCATCTAAGTTAATAAAACTCTGCTATCAACACAGCATTTATTATTTCTAAGACGTTACAAAGTCCACTAGGTCAGCTAGTTAAAACATAAACAGAACGCAAAAGCTGAAAGAACATGTTGCTTGATTTATTTCAAATGTTCAAAAATACTATTGAACGTGTTCGCAAACTTGTCACTCTACTTCACTTTAAAATTTCTTATTCCAATATAACTCTATGTAATATGATTAAAACTTTGCGATATGCAAATAACGACAAAATATACGAAAAGTTTATATAGTCATTCAAATGTTAGAAATTTAAAAAAAAAAATATAAGTATGCTATATGCTATACTTAACAATATTTTCAAGTTTCTTTAAATTCACGGAATGTTTCGATTTGAATATTGTCATCCTAATTCCTAGCACTCAAATATAATGAAATCATCCTTCATGCATTCGTGTTCCCAACGAAAAACCCAAATAAATTATTCAAAAAACCTTTTATGCGTAAATATCTGTTTGATGTATTTTCAGATGTTAGATTTAACAATGAATGATTTAACGTGTTGACGTTAGGTTTTAAAGGATTTTTACTGGTCGACTCAAAATGGGGATGATTGTTCGATTGAGTAATTAATCAAAGAAACGTAATGAGAAAATAGAAATAACATGAAGTCACGAAGATAATAGAAAAAGGTAGAACCAACCATTTTTCAATGAGAGCTTTGACTTTTTTTGCAGTCGTGAGAGATTTTTTCGTTTCAGGGTAGGAGAGCTTGGCAATTCCGAGTGCGGCTGGAGCAGACATGACGGAAGCAGACAGCAGGTGGTTGGCAGGAACCTGCATGGTGCATGTCCGTCCAAGTTGTTTAAACGTTTCAAATGGTGAACATTTTCAAAAAGGTAAAAATGGAAATATTACTTGCGTTATTTCTTTAAAATGTCTGACATATTTGACATAATTTGGTAGTGAAAACGAATCAGAATGTAGCAGTGCTATGTGCGGTCATCATTTGTTAACTTTTAATTCATTCGAAACTACGCACTTCAGAAATCAGCAACCTCTTGGCATGTAAGAGAAGGTACTAACGCCAAAAAGAATGTAAGCAGCCAGGACTCCACCGGCAATCGTTGCGAACCCGCCCGTCATGACAGCGTGGATTTCCGATTTGGTCATGGATGGAAGGATGGGGCGGATCAGGAGAGGTGCCTCGGTCTGGAATGAAATTATTTTCAATTAAAAACTTTTCATTTATTAAATTTTCTACTTCATTCCGGAAGACAACAAATTTTTGTAGATAACCATTTCTTTTTCTCTAACTCGGCAAATATGTTTTTAAACTTTTAAATAAATCTGCTAAAATATATATCTAAGCATTCATTTATTCATTTAAAAAAGTAAATTTTAATGTAAAAATACCAATTCAATTAAAAATACGTCAACGTTAAAGTGAAGAGATACTTTTGATCGATGTTTAATATTAGAACACTAACTTTTATGTAAACAAATGAATGAATATATTATTGGCTATGAATGAATATTGAATATTGGCATGATTATTAATATAACGTTATTTGCACTATTTGAAATTAGTTAAAAAAAGTTTCATCATATTATTTATGAAAGTCAAGTTTTAAAACCCAGTCATATTTTTCTTCTTAAATTATTAAAAATTTTAACAGGCAATTAAAGTTAATTAAAGAAACTTTAAACGATTTTCAAATTAATCTCTCAGATTATAATGCAAATATTTGTTGTTGTTGTTGTTTGCATTTGTTTTTAGAAAATGCGCGTACGCTTAGTTGCTCTTTATAGATTTTGTAGGTTTGAAATTAGTCAATTTCAATATAGTAGTTTGATTTTAACATAGTTTTCAATTTGAAACATTTTCATACACATTTGTTATATTTTAATTTACATTTTATGAAAATTTTAAAAAGCGACATGTTCAAACGAAGCATTTCCTAAAACACTTCTAAAGAGCTTTAATATCTATTTTACATAAGTGTCACCTTGGAGAACGTCTTGAAGATTTTATGATAATGTGTTGAAATAATTTGCTTGCAATGTAAATTTTGTTGCTGGCATTTTGAAAAGTAAAAGTTTCAGCACCTGGCCGATGAAAATATTTCCAGCGGTGTTGACTGACTCCCCTGCGGTTGTATCCATGCAGGCCTGCATGACCCAGGCGATCTTCAGGATGACCCACTGCATGACGTTCAGGTAGAAGAGGATCGTGATTGTCGAGCTAATAAAGATTACCGTCGGCAAGACCTGGTGGTAGAAAACAAGTAGCCACATCAACAAATATTATGAACTTTATGTGAATAATTTATTGCTCACGTGGTGTAAATAATTATCAAGGGTGAAACGTTTATATGGAAATTCAATCTCAAAAAATACAACCTACAAGGTCAGGTTGAAACGTTCTATTTAATTAATTGCAACAAAACCTTGGCACAATTATATGAAACAAGAAAAATTATTCGTCTTCAACGTTCTTAACATTTACTAATATCAGTGACAAAGTGACGAGAACAAGAGAGATAGGCTTTCAAATATTTAAATTTAAAAAATTTAAAAGCGTAGACACAGCACATTAAAAAAATAAACAAACAGAGATCAACATTCCCCGCAGTAAAATTAAAATTATTTTAAATTGAAAGTGACCTGCATAGCAAAAAAATGATCCTTGAAACTCTTTCCAAAGACAAACTCGGATCCAGCGTCGATGTAGGCCAGGTACTCGGCCACCCTGTCCCCCAGCCACTTGAACGCGTTGTACCCGAACGACCAGCGCAGGATCATCAGAGCGAACGCCAGCTGCAGGGCGAATCCCCACAATACTGTTCGCCATTTTACCTGCATCATCATCGTTATCATCATCATCTTTGCCATCGTCATAATCACCGTTGTCACCATTATAAATATTCAATAATAAAATTAATAATAATCATCATCACTGCCGCCATCATCATTATCATTATAGTCGTCATCATCGTCATCATTTTCTTGTCATTATTAGCGTGGCTCAGCTGAGACTAAAACTAGTTGAGATTAGATTAGTATAACAAAAAATTAATAAACAATGGTAATTACGTGTTTTCAAGAGTAATTTTTATTGAGTGGTAGGACGAAATTGCGTATAGTTATATAAGACAGTGCTTGTTAATAATAAAAGATGTTTGTGGTGACCAGCCTGCAGTCGTGAACTGACCTTAGCGGGACTGACTGAGAAGATGAAGAGCAGCAGAACATACACGACAACGCCGCTCAGAGACACCAAGTTATACAACTCGGCTGACTTGCTCGTCAGGTCAACAATCAACATTATTATGACACCTACAAATATGCTGGCCAACAGAAACCTACGAAATGTTTTATAATATTAATTTTAAAAAGTGAATTTGAAAGGATTTTAACTATTGTTGTAATAGTCCTTGTCGATTGAAACTCATTTCTCTTTCTCGTGAACTTGCAGGGCCCACATAAATAATTTAATTAGAATATGTGAATCAAATTAATTATGTGAATGAGTAGTGCATAGATTTCTTACGTAAGATCCTGTTTTACTACAAAAAAAACGTGTATGTGTACAAAGACACCCGTACGATGCACGCGATGGTTTCAACTTTTACAACATTTGGGGGCGAAGTTAAAAAATATTTGTTGGCGCATCATGTGATGTTTGAAACTTCTTCTGAAGATTAGATGAAAATTTTTTATTTATCCACCTTCCCGATCGTTCTTTAAATTGACAAAATGATGGACGTGGACGGGAGGTCGACGAGGGCACCCAAACTCTCTAACTAGATGATTTGGGGCAGATCCCCCACAACCACGTCAGTCTCATGCAGTCTCATCTTTTTCGAACTGATGTGCCGCAGTTGTTGTCGTTAGCGTGATGAATGTTTTACGCTTTTTTAACAAGTTTCGAAGGCGTTATCTTGGATTAACTCTCATTGTGCTCCGGCATTGAATTCATACACCGCCATGATTTATACAAAAATAATTAGTTTAAATAACCTTAATAAATTAAATGTTAATTATTTGAAAAAAGATGTTTCTAAACAAAAGTAACGTTATAGCGAACATGTTCAGAGCTTGTTTTCTTTTTGAGCCATTAAAAATTATGTAGCAAACAAATGATATTAATGCCAAAGGAAAGTGCATTGTAAGATGCTTAAACGCCCTCACCAATTGATGAAGTTAGTATATTTGTGGACGAAGTTTAAGAGCGGACTCAAAATTTTGTGGATGTCTTCTCCAAACTTGTCGATGATGAAGGACACGACGATGCCGAAGACTGCCAGAGAGGTCACCCACACCAATCGTATCGAACCTGAATAGGTCATCCAGGACGATATTTTTTTATAATAATCTCAACGAAAATTTTATTCATCCATGAAAAGTTATGTCAACAAAACCGAAACATGTTCAGAAAATACACATACCTTCGTCGCCAAAGTGATACTTGAGAGCGAACGTGAAATACACGAAGTAGAGAACAACAAGAAGAAACAAAAAGCACATTTTGAAAATTTTTTTATATTTCTGCCAAAAATTGGCCACATTATTTTGAATGTTTGCCACATGTCTCATGCAGCCTTGAACTTCTTCCTCGTCATCTTCCCAAGCTTCCTCATCATCTTCTTCCTCCTCCTGACGGGATGCTACCGTTGATGATGTCACTGACGTTGCATGATTCCTTCTCTTCACAAGTTCAGAAGACCTTTTGTTCGATGAACTTGCACTGTGCTCCAACGTTGAGTTCATCATACGGTCATTATCAGTACCGCCATCAATTATGTAAACGCTGTCGTTAACTTTTGTTTGTTGCTGTAGTGGTTGTTGTTGAAGTTGTTGTTGTTTCTTTTGTTGTTGCAGTTGTTGTTGTTGTTGCTGCTGCTGCTGCTGCTGCTGAGATAAATGTTGCGGATGATCTAGTGGTGCATTTTGTGGAGAGCCATTAGAAACACCGAATGAAGTTGTTTCAGCTTCTTCAGACATGTTTCAAGTCTGTTGAAGAAGAAATATTATAATAGGAGCCATTATAGCAAGGAGGGTGATGATATAAAATTAATGACGATTGTTGTGTTGCTTTAATTTGAAAATAACTTACTGATTAGTCAGGGATCTAATTAAGATTCAATTAGTTCAATTTCAACTTGAAAACATTGGGCTTGGATTTTTCTAATTTACACAAATATCAATAATTGAAAGAAATTTTTTAGAAAATTTTTAAAAAATTCCTAAAGTTATTTTAATTTATTATGTTTATTCTCATGATCTTTGCAAAGTGTGTAGTTGGCACTCAGTAAATATTCATTACGAATTATCAACATCCATCTTGAACTTTAAAACAGTCACTTCAGTTTAGCTGCAGCCGTGCATTTAATAACACGTTCATACGCAGGCTATAAATATTAATAGTAAGAGCTTCTGACTGAGGTTGTTATATAACGATGAGATAAGCACGGGCGGTGATGAATGTCATATAGTTAGCGACACAGATCTGTTGGAGGTGAATCAGCATCGGTTTCGTTAACGAATTGAGAAAGACATAAAAAGACATCTTACGGACACAAATTGGACATTTAAACTTAACCGTTGAGGCAAAGTTTAAACAACTGAACGTGCGAGTCCATGGGCTATTTTACTATCAGCGTGCGTACATATGTGTTATAGATACAATAAAAAATATGTATATTTTTCAAATTATTAATATAATAATAATTATTATTAATATTAATTACTATTATTGTTAATTCTCTCTCTATTAATTTTCCGGAACTATCCAAAACAGCAGTGCATGTGAACACGTGTAAATCCGAAACATGGCACGTGACAGGAGTAGGAGATTATTTTGCGTTGAAACCAGGTCGCAGCATCAACAGGACCAGGATGTCTTAACCACTACACCACCCTACCACTCAACATAATGTGTATAAATGGTTCTATATAATTAAACTAACTAATTTATTTTTATATATTAAAAGCATAAGATTTTCTTGACTTGATTTTATTCAGCTAGTAGGTACTTATTTTATTTTGTTTTATTCGAAAATAACATTCGTTGCTATTTTAATAAAGCGTTGTAGGTACTTTTAGAGTACTTTACTAGAACAGTTAACTTCTTTCAAAATATTCAACTGACAAACATATCTTGTCACCTATTTGAAGTCATTTTGTAAACCTCTATTTTTTTCGGCGCCATCTTGTCCTTTGGTACATAGTCGAGTAATCGTCTGCTAAAAAGTTCTTTAAGACTCAGAGGTATCCACCATGCACAAACAGCGTATATGAAATTATGAATACGTGCTAAGACGCATCACACACAAAGTACGGGATGGGTAGGGACCACATTTTCCGTACTCGAACCCGGTCACTGCACGCACTGCGAAACTGAACTAAACGCTTCAAGCCGTTGGGCCACCACGCCGTCATAAAAAAAAACAATGATTTGACAGCAAAGAGAACGCGTTGCTGATGACGATGATACAGAAAAAAACAAGACACGCAAATCGATCTAAAATATAAAATAAATAAACAGTCAGACAACAATGAAAAACTGGTTTACGGTACAATTTTCATACTTGTTACAGGCATGACGAGATGTCCAACTAAACTTACAGAATAAATACCATTCACCTTCAATGCCACCGACAGATTTAATGATGACTCTTTCTTTCTTTTTCGTGCTTTGTCTTTTTAGAACATTGGCGACCATCAGTCTCCACAAAACCCGATCTTTAACACTTTTTAGTAGTTGAAATGTGGTGATACTCAACAAGTGGCACAAAGACTTCACGAATGTTATTCGTTGTTGACCGCGATCTCTTTTCCCCGCAATTTTCCAGTAGTTGTTAGATTTTCCATTCTTTCCTTCCGCATGATGTGACTAAAAAATCTAAACTGCCCTTGTCGGATTTAGCTTTTATGCATCCAAAAACGGTACAAGCCTTTTTTCCATTTGTATTATTGTTTTTGATCTTTTCAATGAATTCGCACTTGTCATTTAACCATTTCTCCTTTGTCTTTTGATTTTTTTTATTGTTTTATCAAGCTTTTTGTAACTATCAGGATTGCAACCAATAACTTTCCTTCGTTCACCCATCCGAGATACGATGACATCTCTTATCCTTTTATGACCTCTTTTTGCTGATTCTGTGAGGGCATCTTTAAATATTTTATATTTAGATTTACATAAGTCTTCCGTCAATAACTGAAAACGATTCCGTACTTCAACGTTATACATGACCTTGATCTCATCAATTTTTAACAGACTGACAAAATTCAAACGTTTTGGGACCACTTCACTCTTGATATTTTTTTAAACTTTATCCTGATTTTACTAACAACTGGGCTATGATCACTGCCACAATCATAGGGTAACTTTTGCATTGTAAAACAGCATTTCGATATCGTCTATTTATTGTAATGTAATCAATCATATTTTTTACCTTGTCTCCGGGACTCTTCCAAGTTTATTTTCAAACCATGTGTTGGTAATAACTTGATCACTTGTGACGCGCCATTCAATCAACTTTTCTCCTCTTACATTTCTTTCACCTATCCCATGAGGACCAACCACGTCATGTATTTTTTCTGAGCCAACTTTTGAATTCAGGTCACCCATCACAATAACAACTTTTTGAGATTTACATGTTTCTAAAGCATCATCAAGATCACTGTGAAAAGCCTCAAGGTCTTCTTCACTGCTTTCAGAAGTTGGCGCGTAAACTTGAATAACAGCTAAGTAGAAAAGTTTTGCGTGTATTTTGACCAACAAAACTTTATCTGCCACCGCACAGACATTTCTTTATTGTAAAAGTAATCACATCTGATTTCTTCCATCGAGTTTCGCTTAAAACTAGAATGCTGAGATTAATTCTTTTCATTTCTTGTTTTACGTTTTCAAATTTTCCAGTCTGGCACAACGTTCTAACGTTCCATGTTGCCAGAGTAAAAGGTGTATTCAACTTGTCACTATCATGTTTTTTTATTTGGTTTGTGTTTGTCGATGGTTTTCTTGGCAAAAGTTGTGGAAATAATCCAGAAATAATAATGCATGAAAATCAAAAAAAGTAATTATATGAGGAAATAAGCCAATATAATAAAATTATAAAATGAACAGGATTGAGCATACATGGATATTTAGAAAATAATATTGAAAGATTACAAAATAAATAATAAAACACTAATTTAATGCAATATCCATACAATTTAAACTATGAAAATGAAAATACATAAAATAATATTAATGATAATATTCCTAATATTTAAAAATTAAAAGATAGATAGATAGAATCATTTAACGATGACCCTAAGAAAATCAAATAATAGATGTAGAATGGTAAGCTGTGAGAGAGACACACATTACTACCCGAGCAGTGTCGGATCTCGGGAGGGTGCGCCCCCGTTGTGAGCAGTTTTTTAATAAAAGTCAGAAAAAGAACCGTTTGACGTGTAAAATTGGCCAAAACTTGAACGTGATAAGAAATAAAGGTCGTCAACCACACTACCAAAAATCTTGGCCCCCCGTAAAAAAAGCACACACAATTTTTATATTTTTATACGTATTCATCCATCTGCGTTCAAACAGTTACACATACACGTATGCGCAAATTCACTACCATTTATTTGATGCCGTTAGCCAGAGCTACAATGAAATAAACGAAAATAAATTGTTGGGAAAACCAAGAACTGGAGTTGGTGCTGCGAACGTAATATAATACAATACAATGCAATACAATAATTTACAAAATACAATACAATACAGAATACAATACAGAATGCAATACAGAATACAATACAATGCTATACAATACTATACAATACAATGCTATACAATACAGCACCATATAATATTTTATTTGACCCAGAAAAAGGGTAGAGGATCTGTTCGAAGTCACCGTGTGACTCATAAGGTACAGCCACATCAATAAATTTTTTGTAAATACATCAAACAGTTATTAACATTCGACATAAATTATCGATTATTATGAGTTTTTTTGTACGCCGACTGTGTCTAAAACGTAAAATAATTTCTCGGGCCTAAAAATAAGTTCTCGTGCCTAAATCTTAATCTAACGTATAGTAAAAGCAATAATTACAACTAGAAATTATAATTAGAGTGGTACTGTCTCTTCTGTTGGAACATTCATCGTTAAAATTTGTTAAAGCAAAGAATGTCTCTAATAATAATTGACTTATAAATGGATGGCTCAAATGACAAGTGTTGTTGCTTTTTTCCCCTTACTAATTCATACAATTCAAACGTATAAATTAAGTTTTTTTATGACTTGCCTCAGTTATTCTACATTTTCTATAATTCCACGTCAGGTTCTAGTTTTGAACCGACAGAGTTTTCAATAGCAGGAAAGGCAGAGGATTACAGGTCCCAATCTCAAATTCTCCACCAAATGCTGCAACCACTGGCGTACCGAGGGGGGCGAGTGGGGCGGATCGCCCCGGGCCTCCGATTTGGAGGGGGCCTCCAAAAAGCCAATTACGAAAATTTTTAAATAATTTATTTAGTAAGTGTATAGACGTGATTTTGTGTTTTGATTTTTTAATATATTTATTTATAAATAATCTGTAGTAATGCATATACTTAGTTAGAATAAACGCTTTTTTAAAATCCTGACCGAATTGGTAATCCACGTCTTTTTTTAGTCGGACATTGACATCATTATACTTGAATGTGATTGGTTGATATAGTTTTTGGACGAGTCGGCTTTTTCAAACTTTTTTTGTTGTCTGTTCAGTTTGGTTTAATATAGTGAGTTTTAAATTTTATTTATTTATTTATCAATCTCTTCTTTAATAAGTTTAAATATAACTACTATCTTTCAGGTAAGAAAAACAGAAAATATACTTTCACCCACCGGTACTGACTCACTAGTTTAAATCTAAGGTACAAAAAGTGTTGATAGGTTAAGACGGATATCTGTTCTCCTCGGTTTACGTGACTGATGTTACACCTTTTTTTTCACTTTTAATTTTTTAATTTATATTTTAAGCCCTGAAGTTAAAATAAATTATTAGAATTAAAACACAATCAACTTTTAGATAGATACGTGATCATGAAGAGACATCATCCAAGTGGAACACAAAAACGAAAAATTTTGAAAAGTAGAAGGGAAGAAACCGAAGCTCTGTCTGGATCAATGCTTAAATTTGTTAACCAAGTTGCCAAACCAGAATCCATTATTGCTAGTTCATCAAGTCAGCTAACTGATTTAGATACAACCGTAGAATCTGACCAAGGAAAAACAACCACCGAAACTGAAACGTCAAACCAACAATGCGAGGATGAAATCAATTTTTCTAGTGAAAATGATATCTTTTTAAATTGTGATGTGGGAAGTTGGGCAATTCCGTTATCAGATAACATCAGAATCAGTATAGTAAAACTAAAGAGTGAATATTTCCAGAACAAAAATGGTCCATTTAGAGTGGTTCAAAGGGTAGGGAAGCAAACAAAGGGCCAAATGGTGAAAAAGTTCTCAGAAAGAGGATGGTTTATTCTCCTTCCAAAAAATGTTTATTTTGCTTTTGTTGTCGACTTTTTGCTGCTTGTGATAAAGAAAGTAATAATTTTTCAAAATTTGTTACAGGGTTTAATAATTGGTGGAAACTAAACCCTAAGATTTCACATCACGAAAATTCTGAAATTCACTTTAACAATCATGAAAAATGGAAAACATTAGAACTAAGTTTGAATCTTAATAAAACCATTGATGCCATTCATCAAGAAAATCGAGAACTGGAAACTAAAAAATGGAATGACATTTTACACCGCTTATTGGATGTCACCATGTTTCTAGCAAAACAAAATTTACCTTTTCGAAGCCACAGAGAAGATGACTTTTCTAACAACAAAGGCAATTTCTTAGAGTTAGTTGAATTAATTTCACACTACGACCCTGTCTTAAAAGAACATTTAGTGAGGGTCCAACATAGCAAGGCAGGAAACACGATTTCATATCTTTCCCCTAAAATTCAGAATGAATTTATTTCTATATTAGGAGATACTGTGAAACAGAAAATTATTGATGATGTAAACCAAGCAAAGTATTACGGGATAATGTTTGATTCAACACCTGATATATCTCACCAAGACCAATTAAGTGAGATTATTAGATATGTTCATATAAAAAACAAAAATGTAGAGGTAAGAGAATCATTTTTAGGATTTTTTCCTCTTGCCAGAAAGAAGGTTATTGATATCACACAAAGAATTGTAAATATTATTGATGAAGAGAGTTTGGACATAAACCTATGTCGAAGCCAAGGTTATGACAATGCTTCGGTAATGTCAGGTGTTCATTCTGGGGCACAAGCCAGGATCCATCAAATAAATCAAAAAATTTTATTTGTACCTTGTTCTAATCATTCACTTAACTTGAGCGGGGTTCACGCATTTGGAAGCAATCCAACTTGTGTAACGTTTTTTGGAACAATTGAAAGCATTTACAACTTCTTTTCTTCATCAACTCATAGATGGGATATATTGTCAGAAATAGTCGGGATCACTGCAAAAAGGCTAGCAGGAACCAGGTGGAGTGAGCAATATTATGCGGTGAAACCTGTAATGAATCATTTCAACAAGTTGGTACAGGCTTTAGAAAAATTATGTGATCCATCAGAAAATGTAGATACGAGAGGTTCAGCTCAAATTTTAATGAAAAATATTCAAGATTTCAAATTTCTTGCTTATCTTCATTTCTGGAGCAGTACTCTTGAGGAAGTCAATCATACTCAAAAATACTTGCAAACAGAAGGAATTGGTTTAGATAAAACCATTGAAAAATTAGATACCTTAAAACTTTTTCTGCATGAGAGTTGCGATGAATTGGTTGAAAATGCATTGATATTTTCTACAAAAATTTGTGAAGAAATGGGAATAGCTACAGAAAAATTGGGTCGAAAAAGTCAAAGAAAGCTTATGCCTGGAGAAGAAAGTAAAGATGAAGCTTTAACGTTGAAACAGGAATTGAGACGATCAATGTTTCAGTCATTTGATAATTTTTATCAAGATCTTAGAAAAAGGATAGAATCAATGCAAAATGTATATGTAAAATTTGCAGCCATTCAATCATCACATCTTATCGGAATGGAGATAGAAGAACTTTCAAAGCTGATACCAAATCTGACAGAAACGTTTGATGAACTAGAAGAAAATGAAATGATACCCGAAATTAAACGATTAAGACGTCATCTTCAAGCAGGGAAAATTGAGAAAGATGATGTTAAAAAATGGTCTGCACTGAAAATGTTAACCTATATAATAGAAATTGATTTACACAAGTCAGTTCCAAACTTATATTTAGCTTTAAAGATTTTTTTGACAGTGTGCGTTTCAATTTCTTCTTGCGAAAGAAGCTTTTCAAAATTGAAGCTGATTAAAAGTTATCTTCGTTCGACAATGAGTCAAGCAAGACTTAATGGCTTAGCAATCCTATCAATTGAAAACACAGTGGCGAGAAATATTAACTTTGATGAAACAATACAAATATTTTCTGATGCAAAATCTCGTAAAAAACGGTTTTAATATATTTTTCGATTAGCTGAATCAAAATTTTGTGGCATATGTGTACTGACATGTGTAAATGTTTTGTATTTATGTATATTGCATTTTTTGTAAAACATGAAATATAAAAACATTTTTCTTTTTTTTTCTGCATCATCAGCCAATTAAAAAATGAAAAAAAGAATAAGTGCCTTATCCTTTTCTGGACATCGGCGACCATCAATTTCCACAAAATATGGACTGTGGTTAGTTTTTGTCGATGAATTTCTTGGCAGAGGTATGTTACCATTTCTTTTTGCCATTGCATCAAATAAGCGACCATATGATGGTCTTTGGGATGAACAGCATGGTATGCTTTCGAACTCGATGACACTGACTTCAACGACCAAGCAGATAATCATTACATCCACCATATAATATCTATGTATATGTAATACATATTTATTTATGAAAGGCATCACAAATATTTCCGCCCCGGGCCTCAAAGGCCCTAGGAACGCCACTGGCTGCAACATTAAATGAATTTGATTGATTTTGTTTATAAACATTAACCAAAAAAATCAGCAGTGAAATTCTTTCTTTCATTCATTCCATGAAACCTTATACACAACGCTAAATTTGCTCATGTGTTCCCAATGTCTTTCCTTTCTAATTTTTTTCCCTCGTTACTAGCACCTGTGAAGAAGCAACATTTTAATTAAACAAATAAGATCCTTCTAACTCTCAAGCGTCGTTCCACTGGAATCTTCTTTTATCTCTCCATTCACTTACCTCTAAAGCTTCAATGGAATCATCACAAAATCGACAATGCAAATGAACAACGAATGCATTCATCGTGAGACGCTTGTTGTTAAAGCAGTCTTCCCAAAAAAATTTAAAGTGCATTTGTCTGCTCCTGCTCAGCGATTAATTGATTCTATTAAAATGATTGTCGGTACCATCCTAAAAGGGACTGATGGATATTATTATAATTAACGTTGCGACTTGCGACCCCCCCAAAAAAAATGGAACAGAACACCATCCACAGTTTGTAGATTAATGATTTTAATGTTGACAAAAATGTTAAAAATGTACTAAAGAAAGTATATGATATTTTTAAAACATTACAGTTCCTCTGATAACAAACGAAAAATATTGGAAATTACCTAGTTGACAACGGATGTGCTATTTACATCGAGAAACTTGACAAATTATTTCACATTAGAGTGTTCTAGTAACAATTCTTTATAATCTAAACTTAACTCATCCCAAATATCGTGCATATTCAGTAAAGATATGAATCACATTTTAATCATAAGTTTAAGCAAGTAAAGAAACTACCACAGAAAATATTATCCACTTGCTCAGCAAACACAAATGCAAAATTTAATTCATTAATGGACTCAATGAGCATACAAAACCAGAAAAACGAAAGAAATAAACCACAATGACGAAAAGTGGTAGTCAGTCTGATACATGAACATTTCCCTTATTTCACTCAATTAAGTCTCTGAATAGTTACATCAAATAATGAGTATGAGCGATGAATGAAGACAATTAATTACAATTATAATTAACCCTTATGTGAAAAAAAAAACTTGAAAGATAATTCTAGATAGTTGGAAGCTAGTTATAAAAAAGAAGAATATTTCCTAAGAAGTCATCATCATCTTGAATACTTAGCATACTAATATAAAGTAGTAAGACAATTTCAAAAACCCAACATGTACAAAAGTATAGGCCCTAAATAAACAAACTCCTAACAAATTCAAAACCCGTGCTTGTGACAGGTATAAATAACAGCTTCGTATGTGGCGAGTACGATGGCAGTGTTGGGGATGTGTTTGATGAGTTGGGTGCCCAGACCCCTGTACAGACCTCTTCCTCCCTCTTCCTTCCAAACTGACAACAACGTCCCAAAGAATGTTCTGTAACAAGAATTCTCCTCCCTCATGCGTGTCCTAGCTACCTCTGCAGAGCAAAACAAAAAAATTATCGAAAAATTAAATAAAGATATAGAGAAGATATGAATAACATTAATTAAATGCATTCAAAAAACGATTTCACGTTACATGTCAAGTCAAAACTCATGTCAAATTGCGACATTGTGACAGAACATCAGTTAGCAAGGATGGAAAATGTTTTGGGTTGAAGATGTATGAAGAATCAAGTAACATTTACATTAAACATTTCCCATGCACCTCTTAAGTTTTTAATGCATTACGTTCAATAATAATAATCTCCAAATAATCATCAAACGCCATGCAGTTCAATATAAAATGATTTAAACAATATGCTGATAACATTAAACTGTTTTTTATCAATCCCTCGACCACTTACCATGTGGATAGGCAATGCAGGTGGCGATAGTTTTCGAGACAGCAGCTGCAGCCATGTATTTAAAAAACTCAATAGTCTTGACATCAGATTGCATAACTTTTTCATCAACCTCGAAGACATCATCCTCTTCTCCATCCATTACCATACCACCAACTGATCCCGAATCTCCGGCAAAATTGGGAGATTTCTGAACCACTCTTGACGAACTTCGAGTTGAAGATGTTTGTGGCGATCGATTTTCAACAATTTTAGCTTTGATAGCCTCGTAAATGACAAAATGGATGGCTGTTTCTATCACACCAAAGTACGAGGCAGTCAGTCCTTTGTAGAAGCCTCTGATGCCATGTTGCTGGTAGATGTTGCGAATGCACTGCAAGGTGGTCAGCGAAGAGTTCTGCCTGTAATTCATTCAGTTTTACATTTACAATTGAAATAAATTTTCCAACGACATCACCTCCAGGATCAAAATATTTTTGCAATCCTAAAAAACTAATTCAAAATTCCAGATTAACCGAACAGATAATGAAACATCCATCGTAATTAAAAATTGCTTCAATGTGTGAAGAAAAGATGAAATGTAACGATACTTGTTGTTGAGTTGGAGTCGAGTCCGGACCATCCATATCGGGTTGGTTGCAGTGGTGCACGTTAGACCTTACATAATTTTAACTTTGTGTAAATGCTTAGTGCTTTGAATGACAAAATATAAAAAAATTGCAATAAAGAGATATTACAAAACCAGAATCATCAAAGAATAATGCAAACATGAATTGAATGGCAACAGCCCATGTTAGCAATCATTACATCATTCATGACACTAACAAATGTTATTGACCATCGCATCACATGTTTCACGACATCAACAAATGTGCTAGTGGAATGGGAAAAAAAATAATAACAACAACTGTGCGTGAGTGAATCAAATGTTAACTCCACCAAATTAAGTTTTAAAAATAGAAACACAAAGTTCACTATTCTGCAATATTTTCAAGTAAGGCTTATTATATAGGCAAATATAAACAAGCGTTATCAGACCAGCTCTTAAACAACAACATTCATAAAGTAATGCTTCATGGTAAAATATTGTTGAAGATGGTCAACAATCATATCAGATGATACCACACATAGCCTTATCATCAATCACAGTTTATAAAATAATGAGGCCAAGACAATTTTTCAACAAAGTATGACATCCATACTAAAATGACAATCAATCATACTGAAAAATATTTGTTTTACTATTATTTTGTGTTAAGTTAGCAGAGACCATGCAAGAAACAACAAATTAAATAAGCTAGATCTTTTTTTCTTAAAATATTAAAAAAATAACAGTAAATCATAACACAAATGGCACATAAAAATACCTAAAATGGTCACAATATACAACATAATAATTTTTGAGTACATGCACCACACAATAATAATAATAATGTTGTAATCTTTGACGTTCGTTACTACCAACACCAATGTTATAACTTCTACAATCTCTATATTTCCAACACCAGTATTGTAGCTTCCAACGATCGTCAAGTTTTCATTATTCTGTACATTCTAAATTTCCGATAGATGAACACAGCTGCTTCAAATGCATACTTTGTTGAGCGTTTATTCGAATGCCAACAGTAATAGAAACACTAAACTAATCGAAGTAACTACATAAATTACATTTAAGACATCACTTCAAACCTCGCTAGTCCTGCCCCTTATATAGCCTCTATGGTATGAAAAGGTTCTATTGCTTACAATCGATTGACAAACAGCAAAGATAACGAATATAACAAGATACCAATAATTAGTTATAGAGCGTAATTCCACCATTCACGCGATTATAACAATAATAATAATAATATCATTTGTGGAAGAACTTGTGCTGCATGGAAAGATTGAAGATGTTTGTAAATTTTGTTGCATGTAGTGGATTAGTAAGATATGCTGGTAAATGGAAGAAAAATAGATTGAAGTTGAAGAGCACATTTTTGAGGACAATGCCAAAAAGAAATACAATAAAGAACATGCATGGGAAAATTATCGACAATGATGATTCAAATATTTAAGCAGGCACATTAACAGAGGCAGCACAGAACTAAGTATGAATCAATGAAGTAATAATATTACAATACAAAAAATAAAAGATATTCATAAAAAATGGAATATAAATGTTGACTGACCTGCTGACGCTGCAGATAACAGATGCACAAGTGAGTATTCATAATTGCTGTTTGGGGCCATCCAAGAGGTGTAGGTCTTCTTGCAGTGGTCATACGTCGTAAAATAAATTGCTCTGCAAATCATTTGAAAATCACACTATGAATAATTGAGCAAAAAAATTGTAAGCAGTCAAGCAAGTAAGCAAGCAGACTGCTAACCTGGAAGGAGCTACGCCTATAAGGGTTGGCATGAGTCCTTTAAAGAGAGCCCTGTACCCCTCAGTTGTTATGATGTGTCTGTCTCACGTTAACAGTGAATAAAAAGTCAACATTATACTGATTAATAATTATCTTAAATACAAATTTTATAATGTAATAAATGGGATTGTTAGTTATAATAGTTGACTGGCTTAGAATGGTTAAATTGTTTGAAAAACATTTGAATCTTATATTGATCTGCATGCTTTTTTATATAAATCTTTCCATATTAAAATCTATCAAACATGATTACATTTCTACACTACAAATTATAATTAAACAATATAATCATAAAAATGGCAAAATTGTTATCAATTAAGATACAAGGCAATCTGACATTAAGTGATATGAAGAAAATATAATATTATAATATTATGTTAGCTCTTGTTACGATAGATGACACAAACCTGATGCATTTCACAAAACCAACAGAATTGGGTACATTATGGTGCTGAATTGAAATGGTCGATAACGACCTGAATTTGTGTTTAAGTGATTGATTTGATACTGCTTGGTGCCATTCAGATGACTGTTTCCCCAGTTGGTGACTGTTAATCTGTATGCTCTTCTTAATCTGACAGTATGTGTCAATTTTAGAGGACTGCAATCTTGTCTTTGCCACATCCAATGGACAGGTTACGAAACTGCCAAGAGCACCACTGATCCTGATACATTGAAAAAATATATACAATAATTATATTATATATTTTCATGAGTATATACATCTATTATCTTCAGCTTTCAAAAGTATATTGTATATTTTAGTTTTTAGAGCTATTAGAATTAGTTTATATAAAATAAACTCTAGGCACAGTGCATGTGTTTTTAACTTTTTACAAACAATTTAATATTTAAAATTGTCTTTTTTTTATAATAATAGATGTTTGGTGCATTTTCAGACATTAATTAATATTAAAGAATGTTAACTTTTACACATATCAATACCAAAGTAAACACTAGAGAATAACCATCCTTTAGCTATCCCTAACTAATCTGGCAATGATACCTGGCTGCTGGATAGCAACATATGATCATTGTTTTTAATCTAAATTATAATTTACACTTCATCTGGTGTAAAAAAAATAATCTCTATTAATTTTATATACAAACAGAAACACGTATGCATTTGCATGCTGAAGCCAAAACCTTAATTTAAAATAGAGGCCATCAAGAAGATGACGTTTTGTTGTCATCTATTTATTTTTTATTAGGTTGCTGTTACTAGTTTTACTAGTTACAACAATGATAATTATAACACAAACATGATTTACATTCATGATGACATACCAATGAGTTACCCCAGGTTTAAAATACAAATAAACCACAAAATTAACATTTATCTGGTAAAGTTTACTAATTCATCTACATTGCCAACGCTCAATCAATAGTTAAACGAAATACAAAAATATTAAAAAATAAATACAAAATAAAAGAAAATTACAAAATTCTAACGCTCCAGCGGCGAAGTGAACGGCCTTATTATCGACAGTCATCAATTTCGCAAGTAAACCTAATAATAACTAAATATTTTTATGAATATGATTTTCAATTAATAAGGTTCGATATATGTCTTTTCTACTTCTAATCCAACAATAATAATAACAACGAACCCACTACCGGATCAGTTCGACAACAAACCGGCTAGGAAAGCAAGGACAATATAAATTTGGAAATTTCTGACGAAAAAAGCACATGAAGTAGTTGGAGACATCAATAGTGACGTATTGGTTGTTCACTTTGCATATATTCAATTTAGATATTGCGTTAACATGCTTGACAAATTAAACGCTTTCAAATTTATTTTATATTATGTTTGTATGGTCATTTAAATATTTTAAATTTTGTCTGAATCTGAAATTTTTAATTTTCATTCAGTTAATCAATCAAAATTTAGGCAATCTTAAACTCAACATCAAGCTATTCTGAGAATCGTAAAAGCCCACGAAACTACGCACACGAGCAACATTGAGGTGGATTGCAAGATGTGACCTTCAGGACTTTAAACACACCTTCGACATGATGAATATGTACTAGAGACGCATCGAATGTTCCATCTGATCGAATGTTCGACCGAAATTAGATTTTCGGATTTTTGACAATTGCAAAATAGCCCAATATTGAAATTTTCGTTTAAACATCACTCTTTTGGATTCTAAAACATTAATGAATGTTTATTATTGGCGAACTTATGCCGCGAACTAATTTATGTTGGTCGTCATAATTGTTGAAACATCTAAATTTAAAAAAGAGTTTCCGTCTGATTTTTTTTTTTAAATTGTGGGTTTTTGATAATCGGCCAAATTTACTATTTGGTGCATCTCTAATATATGCGTGCAAATTCGGTCTTCTACCAGAATATATGTATTTATATATATGTATATATGCTGTATATATGTAGATATATATACTGAATACATCGCTGGTAGAAGACCGAATTTTTGACAATATGTACTAAATTCCATTGTAATGTAATTAATAAAATACAAGTTGATGAACACTAATAAATCGGTGGGATTTCTTAGATATATATACAATACTGTATATATATATATACACAGTATTGTCTATATATATATAGACAATACCGTGTATATATATATATACAGTATTGTATGAATTCTACCGAGTTGTTGGCATTAATCAATTTCAAGTTTGTCTTTTCAATTTTCCTCACTAGAATTTTCTTATTAACTAATAAACTTTGCTAAGGAACTTTGCTTTGTTTAAAAAAGAAACTATATTAGCTAATAAACTTTACTGAAGAACTTGGCTTTTTAAAAAAACTATAAATCAAGCCTATATATATATATATATTTATATATATATATCTAGCCATCAAATCTAACATGCAATCAACACATGGAACTCCAATAACCCGCCAAATTTTTGACAACAAAATAGTTTATCAAAACACCAACACAATACATATAAAAATTGCTAAAGCTGTACTATTAGATATCAATAAACTTCAAATAAACATACAACAAAGAAAGATAACATCATTACAAACTCGAATACTAGCTTCATAACAATGAAAAACAAAGAAATGACAAAAACAAAAATTGAAGAATGCGATATCAACTACTTTGCTACAGAACTTTGCTTTGTTTAAAGAAACTATATATACCAAACCTGCACTGAAGATGATTTATGAAAAATCGAAATAAGGCCTTATATGCATGATGAATTTGGATAACAACGGTTTCATTAAATTTTCATAACACGGCAAAATGAACAGGTGAGTGATGTTATTCTGTAGTTATATATTCTTTTCTTCTCCCGCTCACTGCTCTTCTGGCTCGGTGTTCTCATCATCAAACGCAACCGCAACAAATTGGTGACCCCGAACGCGATGGCTTGCGAAACCACGAAAAAGAGAACAGTGACGAGAGCCTCACTCCAACTAAACACATTCAGCACGGCGAACCCCAAAGCGTGGTTTACATATTTCGAAAATATGCTCAAGGGCCGAGGGTTCTCAGAAGAAAATGAATGGTACCCCACGTTGGTTGAAAGCCTACCAATAGATGTCGTCATAGATGTGGAGACGGGATTGGCGTCGGCACAAACTTACACCTCACTGAAGCGCGTGTTAACGCAGAGATATTCGGTCTCAGACGAAAAAAATTTGCGCACGTTGCTCCGAGGCGTGGCCATGGAAGACAGAACGCCATCACAACTATTGAGGCACATGCAAAGCCTGTGGGGGGCAAACAATAGAGACGAAAGCATTTTGAAACAATTGTGATTGGACCAGCTACCATCCGCAATACAAATGCATCTAGCAGTCTCAACCGACGAGACGCTACAAAGGTTAGCGACCATAGCTGACCGAATGCATCAAATATCCAATTGAAATGGTTCTACCACCATAACACACACCGCCGTAACAAAATCTGGTACCGAAAAGACAACTAAGAGAGATGAGATATTTGCATTCAGGCGCAAACATCAACAGAAACAACTAACGAAGACAAAATTCCCATCTAGAGCAGCAGATGGTGAGGAGACAGATGTTTGCTGGTACCATAAAACGTATGGGGACAGAGCAAAAAAGTGTGCGAGACCATGCAACTACAAAGCAAAAGTCGCCTACATCATGTACAAACATCAAACATCAACAAACAAAAGTAGTGACAAACAACAACGAACAGCCGCAAAAACAACAAGACACCACATCAACATTCAACAAACCGTGTCGCCTCTTCTACGTCACCGATAACATTTCGAAGACAAGGTTTTTGGTCGACACAGGAGCCCAGGTAAGTATCATACCTTCACGACAACACCTCCGAAGACCCAAATCTGACTACAAACTGCAAGCTGCAAATGGCACCACCATCGACACATTTGGACAACAGCTCGTAACCATCGACCTCGGTTTACGACGTAAGTTCAAATGGGTTTTCATCATTGCAAACGTCACACAGGCAATATTGGGTGCCGACTTCTTGTCACACTTCGATATTGCAGTCGACATGAGGAGACACAAAATTGTTGACAACACCACGAAATAAGGAGTTGATTTGTGCGGGCTTTATAAGAAACTACGATAATTATTCTGATAGGTATTCGGGCCGCTGATGAGTCCCCGGTAGGGACGAAACACGTGTCCAGCCTATCCAAACGAATACTATTCTTTTCTTCTCCCGCTCACTGCTTTTCTGCTTCGGTGTTCTCATCATCAAACGTAACCGCAACAAATTGGTGACCCCGACGTGATCGAGGAAAAACAAGCAACGAGAGTTTCCACTTCAACGCAGATCTTTCTTCGTTAAACAACACAGGATTGATCCCGGCAATGCAACTTCATCCATCACGTTCGCCAACACACGCTGCGACGATCGGGTGGGAAAGTATTGTCGGATTGAAAATCCTAGCGACTAAAAAGACTATTAAATAAAACACCACGAAATAAGGAGTTGATTTGTGCGGGCTTTATAAGAAACTGCGATAACTATTCTGATAGGTATTCGGGCTGCTGATGAGTCCCCGGTAGGGACGAAACACGCGTCCAGCCTATCCAAACGAATACTATTCTTTTCTTTTCCCGCTCACTGCTCTTCTGGTTCGGTGTTCTCATCATTCAACGCAACCGCAACACTGGGGTCATTGGCAGGAGCCTTCTTACATATAGGGTTAGCCATAGCTGTCTTCCATTTATTTGGTTGGTAGAAAGTTACTTTTTGAAGAATGTATCAAAAATGTGGCACAATGGAAGAGCCAAATCTGAGGCACATATTTTAAGATGTTGGGTATACTGAAGGCATTTTTTCAAGTTACAATGAGAAATATGTACTGAATGAGGAGTTAAGCAAATTACTTACATCCAATTTTTTAGTACGGTGTGGTTAGTAACCGATACTTTTTCGATGATGATAATAATAATAATAAACATATCAATTTAACTCAGTATTATCTTCATCAATGCGTCTTTGGGATTCCTTACCGGATAATGCTAAGGCATCTCCTTCGTTGGGTCTTTTTAAAGCATCAATTTTAAAACTCATATTGTCTAACCTTTTTACGACATGCTAATTTTAATTTTTGTTTATTAAATTATCCTTTGTTGAATATTTCCGTTTAATTTTGTTTATTCTTTAAGAAATTTTGAATTTCATTTTGTAATGTCTTTTGATTTCTATGCACAGTTTTTTAAGGTGGTCTACATATACATACGTATCTTGATCTCCGGTGATTTTGCCGAATAAAATTTTGTTCAAATTCAAAAAAAAATTCAAAATTTGATTTCCTTTACTACTAATGATATCAAATTAAATAGAAAGAAAATGAAATTTTATTTGTTTCTCAAAATAAAATAAACAAATATAAAAAATAGTTGAAGACATGTAAAGCCAATAAAAAAATCTTGTATAACAAATTTTTAAACTAAAATGGATAAAAAAAATTACTCATTATCTTCATAAAGACACTAAAAGGTTAAATTTATTGATTAACAAAATTGTATAAAACTGAATGTTCCTTAAATGAAAAAGTAACGGGAAAATTAGAAATGTATTTTTAATAATTTAAACATGAACAATTTGCTAGCTATTCATGAACGATCTGAAAAAAGTTTGACCTTTAAAGTTATTAAGCTAAATAAAAACATAGTTTTACATTCAAAACAGGGCTAAAGGTTAAATTGAGTGTTAACATGATTGAATTAAAAACACATCAACTGGGCTCCTCTTCCGTTTCAAGCCCATTTTCTAAAGATCCCACCCAGGTTATAGGATTGGCTTTCTCCAGAAATAAAACCAGCTTGTCATTTTGTACCTGGAGTTTGGAATAAAAATGACAGTGAAAGGTATGAATAGATGAATGAATGTATGAAATAGATCTGTTGAAAAGTAAAATTTTATAATAATAATAAAAGAAAAATGCTAGAGGATCTAGATCCAAGGCCATTAACTAAGCAATCTTGATTGATTATATGTTATCTTGATTGAAAACAGTTAAAGATTGACAAAATATTAATTCGTTATTATAAATTTCAAAGTTCATAAAACGAATTGTAATATTTTCGAAAACAAACCTAAAATAAGATTTGATATAGCAAAAATTATATGACAAGGCAAAAAAGCTACCAATACTACCAATGTGTAACGTCGAAAAACCACTTTTTTGTTAAAAAATAAAAACGAGTACTTTGATTTTATTGATTAAAAAGTATATTTAAAAATAACCGTCAAAAATTATTTTTATCATATTTTAATTTACAAAATGGTGAGTCGATTGAACCCTTTTAGCTAAGGATAAATTTTTGTATAAGGGGCTCTATATATTTTACTTAATTTATATGTTAAAAATGGTTAACTCCGGTTAACAGAAGCAGTCGCTGAATTTGATAATTTTGTAAGAGCATGAATTATTTGTGTAACCGGCATGCAATTTATTTTAAAATCGATCGAAATAAAGTAATGCTGAAAATAAAAAACCGCTCAACAGCTAAATTTATTTTTTTAAATTGTTACTAAATTTTTTTTTCTAGAAGACCAACCAATAATGAATTCAAAAATTATCACTAACTATGTATGAGCTTTTTTCTGGGTTAATTTCAGCATGTAATTTGTTGACAGCGTATCGATATTTTTCCGCTGACAATTCGATTATCGCCGCTAAATTTCTGATAAAAAAAAATTTTAAATAACATAAAACTTATTTATTTTTATATACCATTCATAAATATCAACAACACAAACACGCTTATGAAGCCACACATCAGACACATGATAGTTGGGGAACTCTTTTGCAATCTATTTTGCAACTATCACACATTGTTGTAGACCTTGAAAATGCAATTGATCGAGTTCCCCGTGAAGCAATCAGGTGGAGTCTACGTCGACAACTCATTCCAGAATATCTTGTTCAACTTATGATGGAAATGTATACGAATACTAAGACTCTTGTCAGCACAACGGTTGGAAACACATACGCATTTGATGCGTTGGAGTTCACTAAGGCTCGATTCTCAGTCCACTGTTATTTATAACTGTGATGGAAGAAATCACAAAACCGATACGCACTGGTGACATTTGGATTCTAATATATGCTGATGATATCGTTTTAACAGCTACGACTGAGCAGAATGCAGCACAGATGGTTGAAGATTGGAACACCAGACTCGCCGATCATAGATTCAAAGTCAACATCAGCAAAACCAAAGCAATGAACACTGGTGAATCCATCCAATCCACATCTACTGGACGATGGCCCCGTTCAGTTTGTAAAGCTGGTGTAGGTAACAATTCAATCAAGTGTCAGCAGTGTAACCAGTGGTGTCATAAACGTTGTTCAAAAATAATTGCTACTTTATCTAAAGTGTCCAATTTTGTTTGTCCTGCTTGCATCAATCCACAACAACAAATTCGAAATAGCAATGTTTTTGAAGCCATTAAGGTAGAGAAAGTCACATCGTTTCAATATCTAGGAGATGTTCTAAATTGTACTGGAACAACTGAAGCTGCCATTCGAGCACGTATACGTGCAGCCTGGAATAAATAGCATCTACTTGCCTCTATATTGATGCGGCGTGACATCCCACTACCACTACGATAAGACTTAATAAATCTGTGATACGTCCGGTGTTGTTATATGGTGCAGAAACATGGCCAATGACAACCAAACTGGAACAACAACTTCAACGAACCGACATGAAAATGCTCCGATGGGTGCAACGAATTAGTCTGAAGGACCACATCAAATCCACCGAAATCCTGCGTCGTGCTGGTTTAGATGATATAAAGGACGAATGCCGGCAACACCGTCTGCGGTGGTTTGGTCATGTCAAACGAAGTAGAAACAGTGCCATAACTTCTCTTGCAGATGTTGAAGTACCTGGCACACGTCCCAAAGGCCGTCCAAAGAAGTCCTGGTCGCAAACAATCGAGCCAGACATGAAAGCTCTAAATTTAAATGAAATGGATACAACTGATCGTCTAATTTGGCGCAAAAAGTTGATGGCAAAGAGAACAACGTCCTACCTCGGGGAACCGGGTCTCTGGACGCAAAACGAAGATTGATCGAATCAAATCCGGAATAGACCTTTAACAAACCTTAGACATAATACCAAATCCGAGAACCCACTTTTTCAATAAATTACTACTGATATCATTTGTCACCATTTTGTTGTTTTATTTAATAGATAATTTTTTTTGTTCAGTTTTACAAGTTCCATGTTTTTTCTGATTTTTGTTATTAAGTTGTATTTATATTTCAACAAAATTTTTTATGCATTATGAAAAAATTGGGAACGAGTTATACTTTTCACTTTGTTACGCTTTTACGTGCTTATATTATTAAAATTGGTTAATAATCCATCAATCATACTGAATGTAAATATAAAATAAATAAAAATAGAAATTTGTAACAAGAATCTGGATTTTTCCAAAATATGGATTCTAAATATTTGTTTTATTTGTCTTTTGGTCAATCTAGCAAAGCAAGATCAAGTATTAATGGCCAGTACACCGTCACCCAGGGTCACCCAGAAACCTTTTGTAGCCTGAGAGAGAGGTTTGGCTGAGGCTCATAGTCAATAAACTTATTTTTATTATCTCTCAATCTCCGGCTGATTAACTCATTTCCTGATATTTTTCAGATTTTAATGATGAACCTAACCTAATCGTCCATTAAACGTTTTTATGATTGCTCATCCTCACATGTGGATTTCCAATCTTTGTAGTCTCTTTTGCCCCTTTCTGGGTTGCCCTGCCACCAAGCCACCCTAAAATCATCAAATTTTAATGATGAACCTAACCTAATCGTCCATCTAACATTTTTATGATTGCTTATCCTCACATGTGGATTTTCAATCTTTGTAGTCAGGGAAAATTTGTCCCTTTTGCTCCTTTCTGGGTTGCCCTGCCACCAAGCCACCCTAAAATGATCATCATTGTAATGAAAGTAAAATTTGAAAATAAAAATAAAATGTATTTGAGTCATATAATTACCTTGTTCCAAATTCAACCGTTACATTACCATTGGCTGCAGCATTCACAGATCTTTTTTTCTTCAAACCAGGTATAACTATTGTCACTTTTATTGATGACAATCCAATCTCCTCTGTAGTAACTAAAATTTTATATAATGTATAACATATATATTATTTATTATATAAGCTATTGAATAATATATATAATTGATATTAATATAATAATACTAAAACAAATTATGAATCTAAAATAATCTTATCACATGCACAACCTCCTATAGGAAGCCTGTATTCTTTGAACAATGACAACATTTTGGAAGTGAATTTGATAAAAACTTTATGCCTTGCCTTCAGCGAAAGCTAGCCAAACTGGGATGGATACAATATTATTGTAATAACCATTAATTAACCATTAATTTTTCCAGCTGATTTAAAAAAATAAATATCAATAGTTTTGTTGTTTTTGGCCATTTTGGTTTACATAGAAATACTTTGTAACATGAAAATATTAATTTTTAAATTTAGATCAACATATTTTTGGATTACACTTTGCTACATTATAGGGTGAGCCCAGACTGCATTGAACTATGAAACAAAGGTAAAATTGATTTCCCTTCACCGTGATTTGAAATTGATTAGGAATGAAAGTGATATGACAACACCTTGCAATTATGGTAAAAATTATTCAATAAAAAATCTTCGTGGTAATGGTGATTTGACAAAAAATGGTAGAGGTGATGTTCTTATGTCAATAGTAAGATGGCTTTATGCTTGTTGGGTGCAATATGCTGCTTGCCTTAATTTAATACTTATTTACTTCTTGAATAAAAAGACATATTATTATTGATTGCTCATTTGCTATAAATTTAATGGTATAATTTAACCTTTGAACTATGTAAAACTTTTAACTTATGTAAACATTTTTATTTAATTAATTATTATTTCAGTTTTTTATCAAATGTCTCTAGCTAGAAGAATGACTATTTAGAAGTTTCTTGGCTCTTATGGTTATTATACTCATACTAATTTGTTGAAACAGAAAAATTAATTGTTTTCTAATAAATGAAGAATTTGAATATAACATGGATAAATCAAAAATCTTGTGGCAGACTATTAACATTTTGAGCAAAAATTTAGACAACTCACAATGAACTTTACACTTTTTAATTAGTACGCTGCACGGCTAGACATAGTTTTACCAGATTTATTAGCAAAAGTAAGAAGAAAACATGTTTGCATTTTATAAAATATAAAATTAAATAAAATTAAGACAAAATCATAGATCCATCCTAGGTTTTGCCATGCAGTAGTTAAAGAGACATATCTTACCAATAAAAAACAAACAGAACTGAAAAAATTATGTTCTTAGTTAATAATAGTTAGGGTTACACGATTAATAAGTATAATTATAATATAAAAAATTTCTAAATAAAAAATCATAACATGCCTCTTCAACTTAAATTAAAGTTTTAACTCAAAGTTTAAGTCTTTATATTTTTATAAACTATAAATAACTACTGCATGGAAAAAACAAGGATGGATCTCTAATTTTGCCAAAATTAAAAAGAGAAAAAAAACACATGTTTAAAATTTAAAAAATTTTTAAACTGTACCATGCCATGTAAGTCTCTGAATAAATGTGTTGAATTGTAAAAAAAAATTAATAAATAATAAGTAATAAGACCTGTAAAAAGCTAAAAAAAAGTTAGTGCATTGTAAGATTGTATGTACTATGTAATCATTGTAGATTGTAATCATGTAACAATCAGAATGTATATCTAAAATCTAAGCCCTAACAAGTAAAAAAATGTAAATTTATAAAAAAATTTCTCACCTTACTCTTTGGATTTATTTTATTTTGATTTAATTAATTTAACATTTTCACCTACGTATTACAATTGAAATGATTCAAAAGGAACCGAATCACCAATTAGTGTAGAACTCATGGCATTTACAGATTTAATAATTAAAACTTAGAGAAGAGACGACTTACTGAAAAATGCTATAAAATTAATATTTAAATGTTAAGCTGAATGCAACAGGGTTGGCCCGAAAATTAATTAGGGTATTTGGGGTTTCCCTATATAAAGAAATCATGCTAACTTCCTTATTTAAATGATGCACAGCCAATGTACCCAAGCCAAGCTAATTTGAGATAATCGTGCTTGACAGGCCGCCTTGTTGCTACAATTATAAGTGGGCAAAATACGGCCCGTTAGTTCATTTCATGGATTCCAATGGTATGCCATTTATGTTATCAGCATTTCATTGGGACATTAAAAAAACATTTGGTTGTTCTGTTTAATTTTTATAATTCTATGAATATTTCCCTATATAAATCAACTTGCACTGATGATGATTCGGAATCGAAATATGGCCTTATTTGCAGCATGAATTCGGAAAATAAGTTTAATTTGAATTTTAATGAACTAAACGTTTTCCAAAAAACTTTAGTGAGAAAAATCGAAAAAACGAACTACAAACATATTAACGCCAAACATTCGGTAGAATTTATAGAATATTGTAAATATATATATATATATATATATATATATATATATATATATATATATATATATATATATATAATTCCTTTATTTGCAAAAAAAAGCTGCTGACCTGAAGCAGACATGGATATATATATAATATCAATATCCATGTATAATATATATATATATATATATATATATATATATATATATATGTATATATATATCCATGGAAGCAGAGCTTATTTGACACCATAACAGAGAATACAAAAAGAAAAGAATGAAAATAAAACTTATACTGTTCATATAATCAAATATAACTAAAAATATTATTAAACATATAAAATATTTTTAACTATTTAGTTGAGACCAGAGCTATAAAATGAACAATTATTATTAATAAGAAAAAATGACGCTCGTTACTACTAGCACCAATGTTATAACTTCAAAAATCTTTATATTTCCAACACACAGTGTTGTAGCGTCCAACGATCGTCAAATGTTTCGTAGGTTCAAGATTTTAGATAGATGAACACAACTGCTTCAAACGCAAACTTTGTTGAACGTTTATTCGAAAGACAACAGTAATAAAAACAAATAAACTAATCCAAATAATTACATAAAACATAAATCACATTTACAACTTCTCTTCAAACCTCGCTATTGACTTCGCTACTCCTGCCTCCTTATACCCTCCACGGCATTATATGAAAAGATTCTATGGTTTAAAATCATGACAAATAGCGAAGATAACAAATATAACAAAATAACAATAATTAATTATAGAGCGTAATTTCACCATCCTAGCGGTTATAAAAAAACAGAGAACTTCTATAGGGTAACTGCATACATACAAAATATGACACACACGCGCGCGCGCGTGCACACACACACACACACATACACGATCAACAACCACTCAAACAATCAAGTCAAAAGAAAAATATAACCAAGACGACAACTTCTAAATTCATTCAAAAAGTTTCAAAAATTACATTGAATTATTAAGCATAAATATCAATCGTAAGATACATCCAAAAATTCTTTGCAGTATGTTAAACGATTACAAACCATACACCATATATAAAAGAGATATACATACACACACGCACGCACGCACGCACACACACACACCACACACACACATTAATTTCATCCATACACGTATGTACAGTAAATAAAGTATAAATGTATATAAAATGTAAATTATATTTCAAAAGACCAAATAGAGTGGATACAGAAGAAATGACTAAATTTTGTGACATAAACGACATTCACATGAAAACCATCACACATCACACATATGAATATCTTAACTAATAATTTAACTAATGTATTCAAATAATAATAAAACTTTCATGAATCTATTCAGTCGCGAATCTAGGGCCCTGTCTGAAAGGAACAGTATTTGTATAAAACCAGTAAAACTCATTTTTGCCACCCCGTCCGTGAATCTCTCTCTACGCAAAAATAAATGATTGGTAACAATGGCTTCATCAATACAGTGATTAATGCTGGCATTTTTTCGGATCTTTGAGTGCTTTTCTTTTACTTATATAAAATTTGGTGGTACATTTTTCTATGTTGTTATAATAATACAAGCAAATACAAATATATTTTATTAATATTGTATTATTCTAACGATCTGAATTGGTAAAATAAATCAAATAAAAATTAAGTAAAAAAAAAATTGAGTAAATGAAAATTATCGAATAAGTTATTTATAAAAGAATACTTTCAAAATATTAACTTGAAAACAAAACTGTTTTGAATGAAATTAAAAAAATTGAAAAATCAAAATAAAATTTCAGCGTTAATTTTGACAAAAAGGTGAATGTTTGTTGGTTTCCAGATATAAAATACCTACAAAAAAAGATTTAATTTATTGATTTTAAATTGAAAAACAGTACAAATTAAAAAACAAATGCGAAAACCTTTTTTAATCGGTGATTTATCTGCAGAGAAACCCATCACAGCACATGAAAATCCGCCGTTGCAATAATTGCAGGATTTCTTTTGCAAAATGTTAGTTAAATGTTATTTTGAAGATTGTTTTAATAATTAAGACAAAAATATCTTACAGGAAGATGTTTAATGTCAGAACAGTTTTTGTATGAGTCAAAACAATCGTCTTCAACTGATTCAATCATGAATGTTGTGACCACATAGTGACTACACGCATTTGCTGTGAAAATGTTGAATGTTTCTAAATTTGATTTGTTTCACAAAAACATTAAATTACATTGAAAATAAACGATAAGTTTGAAGGGGTGAGTAGTTACATCGGAAAGTATTAGCGCGGTGATCGGTGAACACCTCTGTTTCATCTGCTTATGCCACGTTTTTTTGGAAAACGAAATTTGAATGCAAGAGAACAATTGTTTCAAACTAAACAAATTTCCGTTTTTAAAAGTACATAATAATAATTAAAAAAATTACTCTGTTCTTGGGTTATCAAGTAAGCTTGTAAATGAATGAATTATAGGCCCCATAGAAAAAAAGTGATGAACACCAATGGATTAATGCTATTGAACCGATAAAGTAAACCCACTCACTTAAACATCCCGCTTGCTGCTTTCCCCCATTCGGATAAAAATCAAGATGCCCTAATGACCTTGCTGTTCCAAGGATGTTATCCGTGTGAATGATGTCGACGAAATCAGCTGATGATGGGTTAACTCCAACTGTCACGTTGGAAACGCCTTCGAAATACGGACCGGCAGGGTCTAATCCTACAAGTTTGTGTTTCGTAATATGTTTAATGTTGCAAAAATTAATTTAATAGTCTAAAGTATAGTAATTAATATAAATCCAATTGATAAAGTAAATGTTGGACCTGTAACACGTCTGATTTTCAACCTCATTCCCAAGTGACCACATACGTGGGATCCTAAACTGTGACCGATGCACCAGATGTAATTCTTTGGGTAGTTGTGCTTCTCAACAAGATTGCCAAGCACGACAGCGGAGTATGCACCGACAGATCGAGTGTTGGAAGCTGATTGTGGATAGAGTACATCGTTCGACCCATATTCCCAGTCTAGAAGAATCACATTTGCATCCATCTGCCATTTATTTTAAATTGGGTTTAGAACAAGAAATGCTGCAAATTATTTTTAACATCAAACAAAATTTATCATTAACTCACTCTTCGCAACAACGCATTTTTCAAGTTTGTCACCCAAGAAACTCCACTGTCGTGTGTCCAGCCGTGTACAGCCACGACGGTGCTTTTTGTGAAATCAAACATTTTTCTGTAAAATTATTTTGGTCACTTTTCAAATCAATGTAACATTAATAAATGCCAACAACATTCAAATTATTGAATAATAATTTAAGTTTCTAACGGTAAAATCGTTTCAGATAACAATTCTGGAATGTCGGGGTTATTTCTTGTGAATAATAAATGCATTGGTTTTTTCTTCATCGATTCTAAGCACTCGGGCAACGGCATCTTATGAAAAGGTTCTCTATCATCGAAACAACCGATCAAGTCACAGCAGACATAACCACCCCTACAAAAAATCAGTTGAATTTTAATACTCGTGGCGATGAAAATTGCTCTATTTTCTACATTTAAATTACCTCACAAAAGGGACCAACGTGAAAATGAACAAAACAAATAAATACATGACCGTAATTTTTTTAAATGAATAAAATAATCAGCTGAAACAATGGTTTTGACTAGGGTTTTAAATAATTTTAATCTGATAATTTTTTTTAAATTATCAAAAACTCCAAGTCCATTCAAGCTGAAGTGCTGTTATAAAAGTAAATTTTGTTTGGCATTCCTTTAATAAACACCATCCCAATCAAAGTTAGTATAAATAGTTCAAATTATCTATTGTTTTATCAAATAAAATGAAGCTTCAAATTTTTTTTGAGTGATATGACCACTTGAAAATTGATAGTTATTTAAGAATAAATTGTTTATAAATCATTCTTATCGCATTCTTATAATATCTTTTAATTCGTTTCAACTTAAACAACTTATCTCACCCAATTCATTTTTAAGATAAAATTAAAAAATTGAATACTGCTGAATGACATTTTATAATTAATAACACATTCTTAGTTTGGATATGGACCAAGGTATTTACAGATCGTAGTTTTGTCTAGCACTATTCAAAAAAGTAACGGTTGAAAACGAAATAAAATAAATATTCTTTGCTCATTTCTTTTTCCATTTCGGAATAATGATGATGACGATTTTGATATGTGTAATTTCGTGAATTTCCAGCTTTCATATACTGCGATCTATATCTAAGAGTAAATTTTGTTGTTAAATTTTTATTGAATTGTCCGTGAGGTCGTAGTTTTGTTAGTAGATTAAGCGCACGTGTTGAAACAAACTTGGAAACAAAAAAAATTCATGAAAGTACTGCTGTTTTTAAATAACTAAATTAACCTGGACGACGAAAAATTTTGGTAACGTGAGCAACCTCAGACGAACTCACCGAACTTTTCAATTTAATTTCTTGCAAGTTTTTCATGTACCGTTAACCTTTTTACTCAATTGTAATTATCGTAAAATATTAATAATAGTTAATATTTTAGCTTTAATTTTAATTTTAACTTTAATTTTTGCTTTATATTTTTTAATTAACAATTATAGCTATTATAGTTATAGTATTAAGATTATTGACGAAATTGCAACTTAAATATTTTTTTCAATTTTTTTTATTATCGTTTTAACAACAGTTATCATTGTAGCATTAGAGACTTCGTCTGTAAGGAATCTTAATTAAATACTTTCTTTATTTGCTTATTTAAAGTCATTCATAAACAATTCTAATCTACTTAAAAAGTTCACAACATTTTTCTAGACAAAAATCATTTCGATAGCCCACCAAAATTATTATTCGTGTTCTAAATTTGGCATTTAAATAAAGCTGATGACCCAACTTTTTTGCAATCTGGCAATTTCGAATTGACAAAAAGACATTTTAATTTTAATTTTTCCACTGCCAAATAGATAGCAATAGTTTTTTAAATAGATGTTTCATCAAACGTTTGCCGTGGAAACAACTTTTGGCAACTTGTGTAGATCATTCGATTTCAAAATTAAGGGCCCCAGACATTTGTCTCATTTGTCTTTCTATTGGCTTTTTTCGACCCTTCCAATAGATCAATTAAAATTAATTTCATCACGATCAGCTAGACAAATTGAATACTAAAACAGTTTCGATTTGGGATAGTGGCGAATTTAAAGACAAAATGTTTAAAAATGTTTAAATTTGACGATGAGGGTGGACCATGAAACAAACCAACCAAATTTAGGCTGGCAACTTTGATGCATATCATGTCTATTTTTAGTCGTTTCTACATAACACGTAGCCGTTTTTTTTGTTTTAGCAATTTTTAATAAAAATACTGTTCACAACTGTAGCGCCCTACACCCGCCACTGATTCGAGCATACGCATAATACTTTCCTTTTCCTGAACAGCTGCAAATTAAAGCTCAACAAATAACATCGTCTTTTTTGCTTATCTCGTCAACTGCTTTTACTTGCAGAATTCAGTGGCAGGCAGCTTGTGGGCTAGTTTGTAACATTAACAACAAGCTGATGTTTTACATATCATATATACAAAAATTACAATTAAACGTTTATTTAGTTCATTTAACATCAATAAACGCATACAGACCCACCAGACCCACACCCTCACACACACACACACTCACACACACACACACACACACACACTCACACACACACTCACACACACCCACACACCTAGCCCACACACACACCCACACACCTAGCCCACACACACAAATACACACTCACACACACATACATATATGTTTATATATATATATATATATATATATATATATATCCAGAAGGAGGCTTGGCTATGATAACTGCATTTGTCAATTCAATAATCGTTAAATTTCAAGCGGCACCAAGCAGACCAAAGAATTAACTGAAATCATATGCAAATCAGTGAAATAAAAACTTGAATAAAACAAAAATCAAAGTTTTTTTATATACTTATATTTCGCGCTACAGAAACATCATTTGTTAATAAAAAATATATATGTAAAAACAGAAATAAAAGTTACTGAAATAAGTGAAATGGTAACATCACGCTTAACTCAGCGTCATTGTTTCATAATTTAAGCCTTAAGGTTTATATTGGCCTATGTGATTGACAATTTACTTAACAAATAAATAATGTTATATTCTAATGTGGAATGCTAATTAAAAAATTATCAATAAGCTTATCTTTTTTGCTATTAACATTTCTTATTTGTTGGTAAATAAACTTCGTTGGTGAACTTTCACTTCCTGGCAACACACAACATCAAACACCAGGCTAGACTAGGTTATTAACGGTTAATATTAATTTATTTATTAATTAACAATTAAAAGAAATTAAATTTTATGAAATATGAAATTATAAAAATAAATCATAAAAATAATTAGAGTTGCTCGCACTGTTAAAGTTTGCTTAAACATCACTATGCCAAATTCTGAACCAAAATGTTTTAAAATTGTTTCCTTGGATCTCACAGTGTTCTTTATCATTGACACTATGCGGTGCTTCATGCACTGCAAATATGTTTCAATTATCTACCACACATGGATTGTATAGCATAGCCCATAAACAGAATATAATAATTTTCACAAATTTGCTATGTGTAGTACTGTAGCTATATAGTTTTGTTGGATTCAGTTTATATAATTTTATTGTAAAATTTTGTAATTTCTTTCAATTAATAATTAATTAATGAAGCAATATCTTGTTAAGGCTTACGAAAATGTTTAAGGTTTAAGTGTTAAGAAGGTTTATAAAAATAACAATTTTAATCCGCTGATTTATAGTGTCAAACTATATGTAATTAAAATATGACTAAGAGATCTTTCGTTATTGAGCATAACCTATATAAATTTACTCATTCAATGCGTGTTATTGCATAAATTACAAAGTTCAAGTGTGAGCGCATATATGCATATATCCTTTACCTTGCCATGTATGAATGCTGTTGTTGAAAAATAGAAGCATGCCACTAGGAAAAAAGAATGATTCTTTTCTTTGTACATGCCAGTTCCAGGAAAAGAGAAATGATTCTTCTCTTTGTACATGCCAGTTCCAGGTTCTGCCTCCCAGGGTGGAGTGCCTATAAATGTGCATGGTGATGATGATATATATATATATATATATATATATATATATATATATATATATATATATATATATATATTCAAACAGATATATATATATATATATTCAATCAGATATATATATATATATATACATATATATATATGAAGACCATACTGTAAATATATATATACATATATATATATATATATATATATATATATATATATATATATATATATATATGAGCAGCACAGAATATAACTTTAATTAAACCCATATGCTAATTCTTATTGATTAATTAGATAAATATATATTTAAATTTTAATTAAACCAAAACAATTTTAAATGGAGCAAAATTTAGTTTTATTTTAGTTAGATGAAATAGAATCTTAAATTTAAAAAATTGTTTGAATAGTGAATAACTCCACTAACAATCTCCTGCCTACCTGCTGGTCAGAATGTCCTCGCATGATCCAAAGGCAAGCCACAGCCAGAGAGCTTTTGCCACAAAACTCAACAAGTATTTTTTAATTTCATTTAATATTTTACAATTAATTTTTTTCATAAGAATTTGGTTTGAAAAAGCTTTAGTCTTAGCTGGTAGTGCATGTATTTAATTTGTTTGTAACTTTACCTGACCAGAAGTCTAAAAGTGATTCAATGATGAGGTTCAGTGAGAGTCTAACACAAAAACTTAAATAGGTTGTTTTCAAATTCTGAATGATTTAACCCTGAAGTCATGGTTCTACAATTTTGTATTGATTTAGCTTGTTTGCTTCTGGGCAAGTCTATATAGAATATTTAATATATTTTTATTGATTTTTATATAGGGTTTTGCTTATAGTGATAGTCAGACCTCCTTACTACGAACTTCTATACAACGAAAAACTCTATACAACGAGTTTTTTATATATACAGTTGGACCTCCATAAATCAAACTTGATGTATGGAGGTCCAGGAAATAAATTGGCTAAGTAGAAATTTTGTTATATAGAAATTGTTTGTGGAAAAAATCTATATTGCTTAAAAGATGTTTACATGTTATATAATTTTTATAACAAAAAGTAATATAATACATTGTATAATTGCGAAAAATATGAAAAATAAAATAATGTAAGCATGGAGTTACATATAGCAAAAAGCATAATACATAAAACAATAATGCAAAAATGTAACTTAATTTTAATAGTGAAATTTATCCTGCATTCCATGCAGTGATGATTCCAATTTCAATGAAATTAATTGAAGTAGATTACTAGAACAGGAAACAATAAACGTGGTTCTAGGAAATTAAAAGAGTACAAAAGCGTCACTCATTTCAATTCATATGACGTTTGCTGGTCGGATATTTCTTTCAACTTTTGTAAATTTTGTTTGTTGTAGAAGAGTTATTTTTATTCTATAGAAACAGTTTCATATATAAAATTCAAATGGACATTAAAAACTCGTTGTATACAGTTTTTAGTTGTATAGACTGTATAGAGGTCTGACTGTATCACTATAAGGAAAACCCTAAAAAAATATTAAAAATTAACTTCACAAGAAATTATATCAGAATTATTGTCTGGTTGGAGTATCAAGATATGTCAATGCCCGCTACTAATGTAGTCTCCAAATCATGAAAAATATAGAAGTCTGTTGAATTTTCTTAGCACGCATGTCTAGGAAAAAAGTGTGACCAACAGTAGCTTTCTTTCAGAGTTGTTTTATTCTTAACGATCAAAAAAAACTATGTTTAGATTACAAACAATTAATATGAATTCAAAATTTTTGTGTTTGTGCATGTGTTTGTTTATGTATGTGTGTTTATGTCTCTGGACCTGTGTTTTTTAAGCGCTTATGTTTGTAGGGGGTTGTATCAATGTGTGCTTAGGTCTATGTAAGTTTTGTACTTTGGGCAATTATGTTTGTTTATGAGACACACGACGCTCTGGGTCTCCTACAAATGAAGTAACTAAGTTAAGACTCACCCTTTTATCTAGCTATATAAGATATAAGTGGTCTCTATTCAGGTATATATTTTTCCAACATGCTTAAGTGCAAAATGTTCGAAAGTCATTTAATTTTAAACATATAATTTAATTTTTGTGATTTATAGAAGGAGTTCAGCAGCTGAAGTCCGGAAGAAACTAACAACCTCAACATGCTTTGGTGATTCAATTAATCCCATCTCTCTCAACTTGTCCTCCTCATCACTCCAGGCGGTTGGTCTCACTAGGATTAATTTAATTTTATTTCAGTTTGATTACACAGTTTTTTATAAGAATATTAATTAACTTATAAAATGTCAGTGCATTGTAAAAATTGATATATCAGTAGAAGGGTATCAGTATACTTTGTGGTGGTTGTATTTTGTTTATCTTTACATTTTTCATAAATTTCGAAAGTTATTTTTTTGTATGTTGAATTTGAATTTATTTGAAAGCGGAAATTCAGATGAGTATTTACGTCTTTTTATTTTGGAAATATAATATAATTTAGCATTTTCAATAGAATTTAATAGAATTTAATTTAATTTTATTATTTAATTTAATTTTGTTTAATATCTGAGTTTAAATTTTTCATTTGCATGTTCGTTTGTTGAATTGAATGTGTCTGAATTGCATTGCTATTCCTGCTAACAATTGTTAGCAGGAATAGCAATAGGAATAGCACCGTCTGAATTTTAGGGTATGGGTACACGAATAAAAACAAAATTAGATACAGTTGAAATCATCACAATGTTTCCAGTGTGAGCATACGTTAACTCAGATTTGTCTGATGAAGTATGCTCTGTAATAAACTCTCATGATAATTCAAAATGGTTCTGTGACAAATGTTTGAAGAATGTTTCTGATTTGAAATCGCTAATTAAGTCAATCAAAGATATTAACAACAGGCTCGATATGAGAATGGATATGATCAAAAGTTATGGGGGCATCATTACTGACTATGCTTAAAAAACTGTACGTCAAAATACCTAAAATATCCAACTTATAGTTTGAACTTAATGCGTCGTGAGTGAATATTGTAGTGCAAACAATAAACAATCAACCAAATTTGTGGTGCTGCATGCACGTGTTTAGCTATCGGCAAACATTCTAATTTAATTTTTCTGCGTTTGTCAAATCCTGATTTTTTAAAGAAAAATAAAAAAACATATCTATAAATGTTTAAAAAATTGATCAGGTTAAAGGCGTTCAAAAAACTTTAACGGAAGCATATGAAATCAAAGAGAAAGAAATTTACTTATCTAAGTTTTGTGAATGTGAAATTGAAGATGATGAATATATACAGGGTGTCTTGTATGGTGATGTTGGGTTTTTTTTGTACACTGTTAGGAAAACTATGGAAAGGTGGAAGATGGTACGATTTTTCAAAAATGCTGACCAGCAGGATGTTCATTTATTAATAACAAATGTACAAACTGTTCTAATAATTTATCAGTGCAATTTTGATAACAAATTTAAAATATGTTTAAGCTAGTAAAGTATCCAATCGATAAAGTCTAAATCTGCTGGTGTTTATGATCTCTTGTTGGGTGGAATGGATGTTTTTATGGTAACAGAAACATGACTGACATAAGTGATGTCAGAGTTATTGTTAAACTCGACGATCTCTTCAGATTGATGTTTGTATCAGTGAGTAGACACTTTTGACCAAGTCCTTTCAAGATGGGCCAATGCAGATAACTGGAGGAGAGGGGACCCTGTTGTGTCGGTGCACATATTCTGTTGGTGCTGGTATCGATCATTTGGCTGCAACGTGGCTAACGTTTTTTCAGCTGCTGACGTAAACTAAATTTGCTGTCAACCTTCATGTTGGATAGTTTGGATAGTTTTGCGTATTTAGTACATGATCCTGCCTGAGCTATTATAAGCTTTCTTGAGTCTAGAGCTGTGCAGCTATCCAAAAGTGACTTTCCTGTCTACGTGGTTTCGGTGAGTTTCGCTGCAGTGATGGCTGTGTGATCGGTCTGGGTCGGTAGGTTTTCATTTTTTTGTCATTGTCTTGATGTGTATATACGATCAACATGAGCTTTTGGATGAAGAAGACTCTTTATTATTATTATTTTTATTATTATTATTATTGTTTTTTATTATGAACTCTCTATCATTAGCCTTATTATGTAGTCTATTGAGACCACGTGATGATTGCATGCAGGTACCCTTCACTGACTTGGTGGACCCTCCAGATGTTGAAGAGTACCTCTCCGCCCACCAGACCCTCATTGAAAGGGACCCCCTCTACCAGCTACTCGAATTCCCGAGTGATGACTACCAGGCGTTAGTGGTTAAGAAGAAAATAAGAACGGTTGATCCCGTTGTTCCGGAAAAAGGGTTTGTTTTATTTGAATCACTTATTATTAATCACTTATTATTATTATTAATCACTTATTATGTTAATTATCTATTTGAATCTTATCTATGCTATCGTGTGCTACAAAACTGTTGGGCTATTTATTTCATTTATTGTCTGCTACAAACTTGTGAACCAAGAGAGAAACATGAGAGAAACATGAAGAAAGAAGCATGAAGTTTGTAACTGGATAGGTTTGCTCATGTTGTATAATTACATATCTGTGAGTTGATGCAGATAGATAAAAAGTTTTATCATATTTTTTGAAAAAGTTGGCATTAAACTTTATAAAGTATCGACAGGCTCATAAAAACAATGGTTCCTTTTGATTTATTGAAATTTATTTTACCTTTTTTGTTTACGTTCTCTTTTATCGAAGTATTTGTAAAAATCATTGATATAATATTAAAAAACATTTTTAATTATTAATAAAATGAAATCTACAAGTTAGTTTTAATTCTTGTTTAGTGCTGACTCAGAGAAGCACGTTAGGGATTGCCTTCGCCTGTACAACAAAGATTACAATGTCATTCAGAAGAAGTTTGTCTATTTGCATTTCATCTTTTGCTTATGATTGATTCTTCGGGTATGACGTAGGATTTGATGATTTGTTGTTAATGCTGCTTGAATCTTCGTAAAGGAATGGTTCACTCATTACAGCAGGGATGGGCAAACTACGATCTATTTTATGCGGCCCGCGAGGCCTTGTTCGCCTAAAAAAGGTTGTCAGCCAGCCAGACATTATGACCAAAAAAAGGAGCCACTAATCTTGAAAAAATTCTGCCCCGGGTCGATAAAATTTGCTATTTAATTACATATGCGGCCTTTCAAAGGTAAAATAGTTCTCAATGCGGCCCTCCCAGTAAAAAGTTTGCCCACCCCTGCGTGATAGCATGCAGCTCAAATGCTATTTTTTCATTGTTAAGTCAATCAATCAATCAATCAATCTTCGTTTTGCGTCCAGAGACCCGGTTTCCCGAGGTAGGACGTTGTTTTCTTTGCCATCAACTTTTTGCGCCAAATTAGACGATCAGTTGTATCCATTTCATTTAAATTTAGAGCTTTCATGTCTTGCTCGATTGTTTGCAACCAGGACTTCCTTGGACGGCCCTTGGGACGTGTGCCAGGTACTTCAACATCTGCAAGAGAAGCTATGGCACTGTTTCCACTTCGTTTGACATGACCAAACCACCGCGGACGGTGTTGCCGGCATTCGTCCTTTATATCATTTAAACCATCACGACACGGGATTTCCGTGGATTTGATGTGGTCCTTCAGACTTATTCGTTGCATCCATCGGAGCATTTTCATGTCGGTTCGTTGAAGTTTTTGTTCCAGTTTGGTTATCATTGGCCATGTTTCTGCACCATATAACAACACCGGACGCATCACAGATTTATAAAGTCTTGATCGTAATGGTAGTGGGATGTCACACCGCATCAATATAGAGGCAAGGAGATGCCATTTATTCCAGGCTGCACGTATGCGTGCTCGAACGACAGCTTCAGCTGTTCCATTACAATTCAGAGCATCTCCTAGATATTGAAACGATGTGACTTTCTCTACCTTAATGGCTTCAAAAACAGTGCTATTTCGAATTTGTTGTGGATTGATGCAAGCAGGACAAACAAAATTGGACACTAAAGATAAAGTACTAATTATTTTTGAACAACGTTTGTGACACCACTGGTTACACTGCTGACACTTGATTGAATTGTTACCTACACCAGCTTTACAAACTGAACAGGGCCATCGTCCAGTAGATGTGGATTGGATGGGTTCACCAGTGTTCATTGCTTTGGTTTTGCTGATGTTGACTTTGAATCTATGATCGGCGAGTCTGGTGTTCCAATCTTCAACCATCTGTGCTGCATTCTGCTCAGACGTAGCTGTTAAAACGATATCATCAGCATATATTAGAATCCAAATGTCACCAGTGCGTATCGGTTTTGTGATTTCTTCCATCACAGTTATAAATAACAGTGGACTGAGAATCGAGCCTTGGTGAACTCCAACGCCGATGTCAAATGCATCTGTGTTTCCAACCGTTGTGCTGACAACTCAAGGATGTGGTTGCCATCTTCATTCCGTTTTCCATAGCCAAACCGCCATGTACGTTGTCAAAACCATTGAGATCGCCTCCAATCAAGATTGTTTCAGATTTTGGTATTGTTGAGATGGTGTCAGAGAATGCAGTCCAGAAGTTATTTTTCATCTCTTCTGATTCGCCTTTCTGTGGTGCGTATGCAGAAAAAATAATCATTGTTTGCTTTTCTATGCGAAGCTTGATCCACATGAGACGTTAATTAATCCTTTTAATATCCAGTACTTTTTGGGCTAGCGGTTCTCTGACAAAAATTCTAACACCATTTTTGGCCGTCTTTTGACCATTCCAGAATAGTTTATATTTTTCTTTGTCTGAGTTGACATGACAGACACCATTCGATTCCATTGGGTTTCCTGAAGGCAGCAGATGTCAATCCTTCTACGCTCGAGCATTTCTGCGATTTCCATGCTGCGGCCAGTCAGTGATCCAACATTGAGCGTTCCAAGTCTAAGTACCATAGAGGGGCCATTCTGAATTTTTCTGCAACATCCCTCCGCTATTGCATATTTCCCAGGGACTTTTGGCATCCCTTGACCACTTAAGGCCTGTTGGGGACGAGGGGCCGTTGTTTTTTTTTGTGATGGCATAAGAGTAATTTGGGGAAAGGTTTTAACATCCGGACACCCATCCTGACGACAACCACCAGTTATAAGCGGTGGGCCTAACCTTTCGCTCAAAAGCACGCAAGGCAGCGTGGATGCAGTTTTATGTCATGCCCAGGACCATATTGTTAAGTGATAAATAATAATTTCTAAATACCAAAAAATTAATGTGATTTTGCAATTTCAGTTTCTGGTATTTACTTTATTAAGTTTACCTGATTTTAAAACACAAGAATCAACTTTTTTAATTTCATTTCGTTAAAGTTTAACAAATTGATGCAGACCTGCAAATAAAACTTTCCTAGATATGAGCATTGCAACAATTTCCACAATGACAAAGTGGAGAGGGCTTCCATTGTGAAGATGACCTCTTCTCCTCAGTTTGAATCATCACAGCAGATCGACAACCTTCCATCAAAGCCTTCCGTTCGTCTTCCATTCATTTCTTTCAACATTTCTTACTTTCATTCACGACTACCTCCACAATTTAACGTTTTTGTTAACTTCATTCCATTGAAAGTATTTTAATGAACTTAAAATAAATTGTAATTCTACCTGATTAGCTGCTATTGTATATACTTTTTTTTCTAAAGGAGAAATTAGGTCGAAAGTCATCCTACTCGTCGTCTTCATCATTTGCATCGAACGCTGCCAGTGTTGATCCGCTTCTTGATCTTTGTCCTTCAGATGCTCTCTTACCAGATCTTCTCCGAATCACTCCGATCGAACAAATTGATGCGAACAACCACGAGGCGAGGCAACACAACCGACAGAACTATCTCTTTGCTCTTTACCCTCAACAAGCTGAGGTGAGTTCTGTAATTTTGGGATTTCAGTTGGATGTGTTGTGTGTTTGTTTTGAGGGATGCATTGTTTGGTTTAACATTTCAAATGATCTTAAACTAGTAAGGCAAGTAACAGAAGTATGATGTTGAGGTTGGTTTTCAATGCATCATTTTTTGTTTGCATTCAGCAAACTTCTGTATGGATCTGCATTGAACGTATTGTATTGTATTGTGTTGTATTGTATTGTGTTGTATTGTATTGCATGTCATCTGCATTGTGGGAGGAATGTATTGGAGAGTTGAGGTAGATGGATCGTGGTGGATGCATGTTGTTGCTGCTGTTGTTGATGATGATGATAATGATGACGATGATGTAATGATGATGTAATGGTGATGTAATGATGATGTAATCATGATGTAATCATGATGTGTTGTTGTTATTGATGATGTTGATGATGATGATGATGATGATGACGATTGAAGGAAGAACAGGTAGAGTACAGACAGCCAGCTGAAGTTCCATCAGATCACGTGCCGCATAGAATCCTCGTGAAGTGCATGCAGTTCAAGTTCGTGGTTTCATCTAATAAATAAACAATTTATTGAACGTATGTTTATTGGACAAATAACGAAAATACGTTAGTTAATTCAGTTCATCTGTCTTGCACTATTATTTTATTCTCCAAAGTCATGACTGCCACATGTCCATTGCATTCAGGTCTCATTTTTATCAATAAATTGTATACTACAATTAATTTAGTCTGTTAACTGGATGAGCCAGCCATTTGGCTTGGCTGGCTCACTCAATGTTGGTTTGTTATTTCTCACGTTTTAAAGTGTTGAAAAATAATTCTACAGGCTCGATTTGGAAATTGAACCGATCTTTGCCTCTGCAGCGCTCTACGATCTGCAAGTTCGCAAGAGGATTTCTGAAAATTTTTATTTCGACCTGAACGGGGATAACCTGCATCAGCTGATCAGAGATCACGTGCCCCACAAGGACCTCAGCACCATGTCGACCAGGGCCATCTTCGACATCACCTTCCCATCGTACGACATCTTCATCGTCATCAAGGTTCCTCTCACTCTCTTCACTCACTTGCTCTGCTCTTCAACATATGAATTGCTTGGATGGCAAATTAATTGCATAAATAAATAAATACTATAGTTGCATTTTATTTTATGAAATGCTTCAATTAAGTTGATAACAAATTGTTGATAAGTTGATAATTTGTTGATGATAAATTAATAAGTTTTTGTTTTGGATAAATGAATGATGATAATAATTTTTGTTGTTAATTTGACAACTGCTCGTAAATGTACGTACTTTGTGAAATAACGAACTCGAATTTTTGGTTAATTTTACTAAACACAAAATTTATTGTCTCTGATGACTGACAAAGGTGTGTGGTTGGTGGTTGCGTGTTGGGTAATCTGATAGTTTTTGGCTTGCTCTCAGCGGAATTCTATCTTATCAAATTATTTTACAAATTTGTTTTTGTGTTTGGTAGTAGAAGTTCATTATTGAAATGATGCCTCTAGTTAATCAACATTTAAAAGAGTTCGCTATATTATGATGCAAAAGTCGTTAACATTTTAAAGTTTTGAAAAATTTAATTCAACAGCTTGAAAAGGTTCTACAGCAGGGAGAAATATCTGAAGTCGTGGAGCCGTATATTATCAAGGATGAAAAAGTGAGACGAGGATTTACTGGCGTGTTTTCATTTAAATCAATGCATGCAAACAAACACATAATAAGGCAGGCCTTCATCACAAGGCACCTTAAATATATTAATACTCAATAAATATTTTTTATCTGTTCAATTTTGTCTATTCTTTTTTCTTTATGAACACATAATTTGCTCACCAAGTCATTAATTAGTCAATTAATTATTTCTTTTTATTATTCGTTTTTTCCATGCTTATTACGATTGAATATTCTTACTCCGTTATTTATTTTTAGTTATCATTTTATACTATTGCATAGCATGTTGTAGCAATTTCTGCATCTGTCAAATTCTGATTTTTTAAAGAATAATAATAATAGTAATAATAATTATAATAATGCATACAAGCAAGCAAGCAAACACGTTCATGCATGCAAACGAACACATGCATGCATGCAAGCAAGCAAGCAAACACGTGCATGCATGCAAACGAACACATGCATGCATGCAAGCAAGCAAGCAAACACGTGCATGCAGGCAATGCATGCAAACACATCCATGCAGGCAGTGCATGCAAACACATATATGCGAGCAAACACATACACGTAAAATATAAACTTATAAAGATAACTGACAATATTTTGGTCTCTTTTAAGATGCTGGATGACTGATAAGTTGAAAATCTCACCAAATATAGCAGCCATCAACAGAATATATAACAATAAGAAACAATAAATTCAAAGCATTCATGCAGCATTCATACAAACTTGTTTCCTCATTAAGAAATAATCGCAGCCGATAAACTACGCTCATTGTGAAACAGTTGAGAGAGAAGGCCCGCGTGAACGCTCAGCACTGCTGCTCGAGACTGGGCAAGCACAGGATGCCGTTCGCCTGGACAGGCATCCATCTCATGAACACCATCAACAATTCCGGCTGGGGCGAAGGTGCAGATAAGGATAGCATTCGATCTGACAGTCTTGGTTTGTTTGTTTGTTTGTCTGTTTGTTTATTTGTTTGTTTGTTCCCATATTTGCCGCATTTGATAAGGTAGCCATATATTTTTCTTGCGATTGTCTAGACATTATATAGGAGCATGTGCTAACTGAGATGTAAATTATGTTGAACAAAAAAGTAGAAAGGAGTGGCCTGTCGAAGGCTCCTGGCAGAGGTTCGTCCACGTACATCAACACACCCGACAAGCGCAACAGTTGGAATGCAGAAGAAATCGGAAATGCTCTTGATACATTCCGACCCATCACAATCACCGTCAACAACTTCTACAAGCAGGTCATGCAGTTGTCTTTATTTATAGTAATTAAGACCCTTTTGGGTTCGGGCAGTTAATAAAATAATTAAAAAATCGTTTACTTTACGAATCAAAGAAGTAGAAGAATATGAAATGATGCATTCAAGATGCAAGAATTTGGTGTCATATTCAACTTATCATCGAGAACTGAAAACTGATAAATGAATGTTAAATGCTGATTTGTTTATAATTAGAAATTGATTTTGAAGTGCATGTTATTTCATGCTCTATTTGAATTCAACCTTTAATTTACGGCAAACATTGTAAGTGCAATTATGATATTTTGTTTGAAAGAAAATGTTTATGTTGGGAACTGTAAGCTCACTGTCACAGACCTAAGCAATAGAAATTTAATGATTGGGAGAATACTTAGACGATTTGCATGTTCATGTTGGCAGATGTTTTCGAGGAGGCAAATAAGCAACGACGCCATGCCTCCACTGTTCCGTCAATATTTGACTTTGTTGAAAAAGTTCTATTGGTCCTAATGGAGGAATCAACGAAAGCACTGAGGATGCAAATATAAAAATAGGATAATAATTTATTATCTCCTAATATAAAATAATAAAAATAACAACAACGACAATAAAATTAATAATAACATTAATAATGGAAACATATTTTATTTTTCAACCCGTCAAAATAAGAAAGTCAAATGATAAAAAGAAATAATGTCTAATAAATAGAGTTATAGCGAAATGTATTTAAAATGTAAGATCCTTCCGTGCTCGATGGCAACGCACGAGAGTAAGAAGTGTATTTAATTAGCAGTATGCATTGTTTCTGTCGCAAGAAATACCATATGACGAGCAAAAACAGTTTAACAGTTTTAATTAATTTTAACAATAATAATAATAATGACAATAGGAAGCCGACAAACTGAGTGATGATGATCTGTTCAAGTTCCTGTCTGAAATGAAGAAGCAAGCATCGGCTCTGAAGAAACTCAAACCCATTCCTGGTCAGCCTTGTAATTGATTAACTTTATAAATAATTCATTTTATTGTCAAGTTTTTGTTTTTCTGAACGCTAAAGAATGTTTGCCTGTTTTTTTTTCATTTGACTTTTGTATTAGTGCTGGATATTGTAACGTTTGAACATTTGAAGTTCGACTTTTCCTGTTTAAATAAAAACTTTCCTAACAAGGTATCTTGAAGTTGGACTTGTCCTCGTACTCCAGCGACCTGACCAACGTGCTCACCACGGAACTCAATCCAGTCGATCCGTTCATTCACGACACTTCCAAACCATCGAAGGAGGTCCTCGAGTTTCCCACTGAAGACATCTACAAACCTCACACTTTCTACAGGTGGCCTACCTACCTCTCCATGTGTCGTGCATACGTATATGTAGACATCATGTATTCTATTGGTCAATTCTAAGATTTTTATAAGTTCTGTTTCTTAATTTATTTCAGTTTCAAGGATAGTGAGAAATTAAACAAGGAAGTTATTTCTTTGTTAAAAATCTGATATTAATCATGACGATGACGACGACGAGATTTCAGTTAAAATTTCTCATTAAATGTTTACTGACGTTAAAAACATCGTGGACATGCTTTAATTGTTTGCAAGCCGTCATTTTTTTATACTAATTCAGTACTTTCGATAGATTATGTAAAATTCATTAAGTCATTAAATGTAAAATTTTGTTTCTTACTTGGGTTTTCAGTAATTTAAACTTTAGCAAATTGCTTTTTGATGTAATTGAATTGTAGGAACCTGATGTTCGTGTATCCAAAGTTTTTGAACTTTGCGAATAGACAAGGATCAGCTCGAAACATCGCAGTCAAAGTTCAGTTCATGCATGGAGAAGGAGACAACAATGCTCTGCCTGTGAGCTAGCTATTTATTATTTATTAAACTTCATGCTGATGATGCTGGCGTCTATGTTGATGTTGTACATTGTAATGTTGGTGTTGTATATGAAGATGTTGATGTTGAGAATGTTGACGCCAGGATGCAAACACATCCTGAAAAGTCGTGGAAATATTTTGCAGTTGTAAGTAACTGCTTTACTTTTACGTCCGTTCAGTGGATCACATTGTGAGAAAGCCTTGGAAGTTTTACTTCATAGAATTTCTAACAATACAATAAATAATAATTGAAATTTTTTCTAAACACTGGTTACAATGTAAGTACAGAAAGTCAGCATCATTGTCGCAAGCAGGCACAAGACCAGTTGCAAACTGCATGGGAGTTTCATGTTCCGAACTTACTGCATGACAATAATATTAACAATTATTATGTAAATTATTTTCACATCATTATCATCACCTTAATGCGCAATGATTAGTCTACATTCCATAAGATTAATATATCTACTTCTGCATCGTATTATTTAATTAGGATAACCTGGTTACAGAATATGATATTGCACGGATGAAATTTTTTTAATTTAATCAAATCATAAGGTAGGCGGCATTAACATTAATAATATTTTAAATATATAGCAACATCAAGGTAATGCTAATCAATGCAATTTTGTGAAGTTTTGTCTGACATTTTTTGTTTCATGAAAATATTACTAGATGGGTATAATTTGTCGAACGAATAACATTTTTTTATTCTTAAGCAACAATCAATGCCATGATATTTAATTGTTTGTGTAGGATTTTTATGACGAGCAGCTCTAAATTTCAAAATTGCAGGTGATTTATGGCAAGTCAAACTGCCCCGCAGTGAGTAAGGAGGCTTACACCACTGTCAACTACCACAACAAGTCAGCCGCTTCAGTCACGTCACCAACTCTTCATGACAGTTTACAATAAAACCTCAAATCACTTAATTTTAAATAAGATCTATCTAAAATATTTTAAATTGAAAAAAAGTTTAGAAATGACATTGTCTCCCGACTTGTATCAAGAGACTTTGAACAGGCAATATTTGTTCTACTCTTTATTTCGTGGACAAACCGAGACACGTTTTAGAGACTAAAATTGCGCAACATATTGCGCACTAAGCTTGAGCGTTTATAATGAATATTATATAATAAAATTGTAAGAAATACAAGTGGTGCATAGTAATGTATAATGTTCAATAGAGACATATGAAACGTACAAAACAAAGTCAATGCTATTCATATTCTTCATTGTGAACAACTACAAATAAAAAACCAGGACTCCTTCGTTTTACGATGAAATCAAGATCAACCTGCCCGGTCGGTTGACTGACTCGCATCACCTCTTCTTCACCATGTACCACGTCAGTTGCCAGCCTAAAAAGGATGCAGTTGATCTGGAGACGATTGTTGGCTATTCTTGGTTGCCACTCTTTAGAGATGGTCATCTGGTCACTGGGGAGTTCAATTTGCCTGTTTCCCTTGACCTTCCTCCACAACATTACCACATGCTGCATCCCGATGTTCAACTGCCTTCCATGAAGTGGGTGGACAACCACCGAGGACTTTTCAATGTCGTCATCAATGCTGTCTCTTCCATACACACTTTGGTCTGTTTGTTTCTTTGAAGTGTTCCACAATTTTAAAAAATTGCTGTACTCACCTAAGAAATTTAATACTTTTGATACTTCGTCTTACTATATTAACGTAAAGTGTTACATTTTTTTTCACTTCATTCAATTCATATGATCGTGACGATGAGCAGGATGAACATTTGGACAAGTTCCTGTCGCTTGTTAATGCGGCCGACGAAGGCAAGATACCTAGCAAGATTGGAGAAGCCTGCTTTGAAGTTTGTTACATCCGTCTCGTCTCGCATTTGTCTTGTTTTCCAGCTAATCTGCTCCAATCTGTTCTAAACATCTTGCTTTTCATTACGAACTTATTGTTTATTTTGTTCGTGATTTTTGTGCAATCTTCCGAAAATATCAGCGTCCTTAGAATAAGGGAATGTAGAGCAATACTCTGAAAATCTAATTTCTTATTTGTAACAAAATATAGTAAACAAATCTAGAATTTATTTGAAAAGTTAAATAATAGTAATTGAGTTTAATAAAATTTGTTTGTGTGTGTTTTTGCGCGTGCAAATGTTGTAAAAAGAAAAAAGGAGTGTGACTGAAAAATCATAATTTTTTATATGATATTTACGAGAGAACGTTTTGCAGGACCAGCTGAAAAAGTGTGTTTCAGGCCTAACAGAAACTAGCACTGGACCACTGGTTCGATATGTTCATTTGGTGCTCGACAAGCTGCTACAGTTGTTAATAAGACCACCCGTAGTTGCTGGCCAAGTGGGTTAGTTTCAATGCTGTGCTGCATTTTTTTAGAAGTGGAGAATCTGTTGAGTCACTCGAAAAGTTTTTTTAAATGTTCAATCTAGCAATCCATCAGCGAGTCATCATTCGAACAATGTAACTGTTTCCATTTTTCATCATCATGCATTCGCAACAGTGAACGTGGGTCAGGAGAGCTTCGATGTTGTTGCTCATATAGTTCGACGCCTACAGCACATCAGAGATCTCTCACAGGACAAACATGGCAGAAACTCTATCCTGGTCTCCTACATCATTTACACTTGCACTCTGCAACCCTCTGACGCTTCCACCGCCAACAGTCTGTCTTCACGCTTTTACTTGTTTTGTCTTGTTTTGTTCTTCTGATATTATACCTTGTTATTTATTTGTCAAATAAATCTGAAGCGATTGATTGATTGATTTTTTATCTATTGATTGATTTATTCATTGATTGATTTACATATAAATATGTTATTGGTAAACCATTACCCGCCATAGGTCAGACGTCCGTTTCGTCTCTCACGAGACCCGTGAGTAGCCTGCCGAATAAGGTTTAAGATAACACAACTCAATTATTGTATCCAAGAAACGCAAATTGAGATATCGCGACCAATAGGTAAGAACAACATCGCGTTGTGACAAAGTTTAAGAACCCATTCCGTCGCATAATGATAAGTAGGCGTATGGTATATATTTGAACCATAAAAAACTTCAAAGTTAGTTATCGACTAAATTAAATATGCTTTTCAAGGAATTCTGCCTTTTAGAAAACTTTCTAATGCAGACTAAAATAATGGAAATAGATTTTTCTAGTATATGAATAAATTAAAAATTTAACCATACAGCTTCCGTAGGTTCAAACCAGGCATCTCCTGGCACAGGCCTTTCAGGACTGACCCGTCCGATGACCATGTCCACAACTTCTAGGAGTGGTCGCACGTTGAGTTGCAGTGATCCTGATGTCTCAAATATAATCAATGAACAAGGTTTTTTTTTATCAGATCTCACTTTTATTATTCGAATATAGCATTCAAAGTTCATACTAAAATTTTGATTTTCAACATTTGTCTTCCTTTTTTCATTTTATACGTTGAAAGATGCTAAACAAATGGAAGCTGGCAAACAAGAATATCTAAAATTCGTTAATAAAAAGGTTATTTTTTACGTCCTGGATTTTCACTTACATTATGGGTTTTTTGTTTTCAAGTTTTCATCAATGAATGTAGATAAGTTGGGTGTGGATGAATGGTAGTATTAAATGTTTGTGTGTGCGTGTGTTTGTGTGTGTGTGTGTGTGTGTAAATGGTTTGAATGCACAGGAGTGACTTCAAATGTGTTAATGGTTTGAATGCGGGTATGAATGAATATAATTTGCTATGAGTGCGAATGCATCCATACAAATACTTTTATTATTAAAATGTGATGGCGTGAATTGTTACGCTGCTGTCCATAATGTATCTTTATTATTTAACTTTTGAAATTGACTAGAGAGACTGGCAACTGCCGTAGAAAACCTACTCAAATTAAATTTTGATGGCACGCTGCTAGCCACATGCGCAAATGATTCATTTTTATTCATTCATTTATTTACGGCAGTTCTCTTTTCGATATTTTTCAGACGTGTCAACAACGAACGCGCAGTGCTTGAAAGTACACGTGAAGCAACGCAGAACACACTGCACACGTTATAGGTGGGGATCTCTATCAAATCGAATCCGGTTGCTGCAACAGCAGTGCCAGGCACTTTACCGCTACACCATCGCGCCGCACAAATTTATTTGTTTAAAATATATGCTTCGAAACAGTCGAAAATCTTTTGGTAAAATAGATCTATGAAAACTAAGAAAAACAAAATACACTTGTTGATATTATACGTAATTATGTGATGTGATATAATTTTATTAACCGAAAATTAAAAAGAAAACAATTTGTTCATTGAGTAGTTTGTGCATGAGGAACTTGTCCTTCAGTGGTTGGTCTCCACTGGGAAGACAAGCAGTGTGGCCCTGTCTAACTCCTGGTTCTTTTTGGAACTCATTGTAAGTTGGGTGATCTGTCAGTGTTTGTGCTTTACACACACACACACACACATACACACACACAAACACACACCCATATATATATATATATAAATATGTTGGTAATAGACCATAATTTATATATATATATATATATATATATATATATATATATATATATATAATATATTTTGGAACGAGGTTTTCTTTGATGCAAATATCGTTAAATATTTTTGCCCATTTGCATATATATAAACAAATGTGTGTGTGTGTGTGTGTCCGGTGTGTGTGTTTGTTTGGGAGGAATTTGGCATCGATGATATTAATTCATTAATTAATGATAATTGTTGGCTCCCTCCATAGCACTATGAAATGTTCAATAGGTGCGAAGCATGGAAGACCACCTCGGACGAACCAACAAGCTGAATGCCCCCCGCAAGACAAGGTTTCCTGCACAGTTCCTACTTGACATTTCTTCCCTGGTTGAGATGATTTCTAAAAAAATTGTTGAATCAAGCAAGGTAGTTGTTTTTTAATCACGTTTTTGTTATTATTGATGAAACTGACGTAGGTATAATAATATATTCTATTTTTTTTTACTTCAGGATATTACAAAAGTCAAGGACCTAAACTGCAGCTTAGCTTTTTTCATCAGAAGTTGCTTATCACTACTTGATAGAGGATTTGTCTTCAAACTTATCAATAACTATAGTAAAATTGTCAGTATTTTTTTTTAAGATTATTCATTTTTTGTAAACTTTATTTGCCTTTTTAAATTTAAAAATTAAATTGTTGCAGATTTTAGATGAAGTGTCCATTCAAGGTCAAAACACGTTGGTCAACAAGGGGACAGACACGACAGGTCTCTTGACATTGAAACTGGAGTTCATGAGGATTGTCTGCAGTCATGAGCACTACTTCACGTTGAATCTTCCCTTCAACGTACCAAGCACACCATCGGCTCCTCCTTCTCCAACATTCAGCATTGCAAGCTCTGCTTCACAAGCGTCGTTGGTCTCCAGCGGTCTGTCATCCTGCGAAAAACTTCCTTTCATTGAGTTGACCAATGAATACAAAAGCCAGCACTTCCTGGCGGGCATTGTACTTTCTGATCTAGTTGCTATGCTTGAAACAAAGTAATTGCGGAACGGTTGAAGTCCGATATGTGAATTTTTATTCATTATGTAATCTGTTTATTACAAATTTCTTCAGGTGCGTTTTATTTTTTTTTTGGTAAAGGAAATAATCTTTTTGAATATATTTTTCATTTAATGACAAACGCTACTCACAACTGATACATGTACAGTTTATAAACACTCCACTCGTACGCATTTTAAGAAACCTCGTTTCAAATTAAGTTATGATTATCAATATTTTTCCTCACCTAGTGTGTCCCAGCTGCAGATCAAGTCTATTAATTTGGTTTCCAACTTGATAGCCAGCCACGACATGGACCCAAGATTTCGATCATCCGAAGCCAAATCTCGAGTGGCCACCCTCTACCTCCCCATCGTCAAAATTGTCATCGACATTCTGTTGAAACTCTTCCAGCCATCAAACGATTCAAAAAATCGATGCCCGGAATCTGCCGCCATCAACCAATCAGTGGCTCTGGCTATTGCAGGATCCGCTTCGTACAATCTCAATCCTGAGGTCCTACAATACTTGATACTTCGTTTTTTTCTTTCAATATTTGTTTTAAAACCGTATTTTGAATTTTTAGTTTCATGTTTTCTGTTTACAAAAAGGTTATAATATATAGTTACATTTTATTATTTTAATTATTTATTAATTTATTAGAATACTTAATTTATCTGTTAATTTATTAAATTATTTGATTGTTTATTCATTCAGTCAAATATTTGAATAATGTTTCTTTATTGACTCGATTGCTTACTTGATTACCATTCAACAGCAGATTAAGAGGAATCATTTGAGTCAGGAATCAACCCAGGATTTGTTGATATGTTTCCTTTGGGTGCTGAAGAATGCCAACATTAAGTTGTTGTGGATGTGGTGGTCAAACCTGACCCCTGCAACAATCAATCAGCTCCTTGAAATACTTAAACTTGCCATTTCAAATTTTGAATACAAGGTTATCTAAATGCAAATAATCTTGCTTTTTTTATAAATTTTTATGATTTAATTGAGCTGGTTTTTAATATCAAATTTGTACAAGATGTTAGATTATAATGAATAAATGTATGCTTTGGAATATTTACCTAATTCAACTAAACATCACTCACATTCACCGTGTTATTATTATTCGAATGCCATCCATTGGCATCATTGTACATCATCTTAGCGACAAACAACAACCATTAGCACTCCATACACTCCTGAACAATAATCGCACTTTGTGACGTGGTGGCCTAGTGGTTAAAGGCGCTTGGTTCTGTTTCGCAGTTGCGTTTAGTGACTTGGTTCTAACCCTAACCGTATCACATGCCGTGTTCGTGATGCATCGTTAAGCACGTATTACACTCTGCTTGTATGTTGTTGTATGTTGTATTACTCTTTTAGTTACTATTTTGACTTAGACATTGCAAACCACTCTCAACCACAAACAATTCGCTCAACAACTTCTCCCGCTCGATCAACTAAATCCACTACTTTTCCAACAACAAACACTCAGCTACTACTACCACTCAATCAACAACAACCACTCATACACACAATTTTCTCTACATATCAACAACACCTTCCCAGAAACCAACACTCAACAGCTTTTCATTTTATATCACCAATTTTTTTTACTCAAGCAACTACCTTTCCAATAATAAACACTCCAGAACTTTTGATTTTCAATTAACAATACTCACACCTTTACAACAACTACTTCTAGTCGAACAGCACCCACAATATATATACATGTACGCGAATATTTATATGGCGCTAATTAAATAGTTCCACAGCCTTGTATAACACCGACGATATTTGCAGCAAAGCAGTTTCCGTTGAGTGGAACTGTCTGTAGCCTGATTGATGAGCCGACAACAAGTTGTTACGCGCCAGATATTTCAACAACCCCCGAGCAACGATACGTTCGATGACCTTTGAAATAAACGAAAGATTGGTTATTGGTCTATAATTATTTAAATGGCTCACATCCAGATCTGTTTTTTTAAGAATAGGTACGAATCTAGGGGTGTCGGAAGGGCCAGTTTTGCCCCCTCTTTAGTTGTGAGCAGTGTTTGTATTAAAGTCAGTAAAAATCATTGTTTTAAGGGCAAAAGTGTCATTTCTGACAAAAAATGACGTGGTATGCCAACAAAGGTCGTCAGCCAGAAATGTTGCCCACCCCCCGTTCAACTTTTAAATACATTGAAACATTTTCAAAACTTTTCATGAAAATTGAACATGGGAAATATATATGGAAAAATTTCAAAACCTTGGCACCCTCGCTAATGTGGTTTAGATTTGCCACTGATTTTTTTGGTTTTATTAGTTTTACTGTTCTTCGTAAAAATATGATTTTTCAGCTCAGTTATTTGTTGTTGAGGCTTAAGCTAAATTCCGTCTAAATCTCTCCTGTATTTTTTAAAACCTGGCTTACATTTTTATTGTTTGATGGATTGTATTCTTTTTGGGCTTGATCTCCTGGCATCATTATTCTCCTTCCTAGGTGTGTTTTATTTTTGCACCTGTTCATGTGATTTGTTCGTTTTCCTTCCAACGACAAATATTCAACTACTACTTCCATATTACCACTCATTCAACAGCTAACACTACGCTTAACAACCAAAATTCAACAACTACTAACATTTATTCAAAAAACCGACCTTTCTATTAACAATAAACATTCAACAACTAACTTCCTCCCCCGACCAACAGTATTCACTACCTTTCCATGAACAAACTGAAGCTAATTTAAGCAGACGTTTGTCTTTCAACAAAACAGCTTCTCCTCTGAGAAGTAGTTATTCTGAACCAGTGGTTAGTCTGCGGCTAGATAGCTAGATAGCTAGATAGATAGATAGATAGATAGATAGATAGATAGATAGATAGATAGATAGATAGATAGATAGATAGATAGATAGATAGATAGATAGACAGATAGTTTCACCAGTGTTAGTTTCACTTGCACGCACTTACATCACTCGCGAACTGCTTCGCCGCTTTGATTCAACGCACTTTCTAACAGTCTGTTAAGCAGCGTTTTAATATAATTGCGGTAACATACAAATTCACATAAAATTTTTTATGAATTATTATTATTATTATGATCGATTAACATGATTGAATCCAAAGGAATTTATACTTTGTTTAGTTAAGTTATTTTTTCGAAATAATCATTCTCACAATTACTTACTTCACAATTACTTACTTCACAATTACTTAATTCACAAATTAACAAAGTTATCCTAAAATCAAGATCGTTATTCTGAAAGTATAATCCTTCATTTATTGTATGATGAAGTCTTTCATTCACAAATCTGGGTTCACATTTTTCTATTATAATTGCTCGTTTTTTATTTCAATCATTACTACATTTGTGTCATAATTGTCGGAGTATATATTGCTTTTTTAACTGCTACAACAAAAAAACTTTTTGAACATTTGAATTGTGTATTAGTATTGGTTTAAAATGAATTTGTTTCAATAGTAATTATACTAACAAGTAGTTATTTGGAGGAATTAAATTGACAAACAAACAATCACAGCATAATCATGTTGAAGTGACGAAATCATATGCATAACATCCACATAGCTAAGCTACGTCGCAAATCATCAATACTTTATTCACATGACATTAAAAGCAAATGTTACAACAATTTGTGTACCTCACAAGAAAGAGCAAAATGTCATCAACATGGTACGTAAACAACAGGGCAAGAAGATAGTTCGCCAGTACTCCATGCAGACAACCTCAAAGAAGGGATCAGACTTCAAGAGCAAGATGGAAGAGTACATGCTGGGTCCAAACAGTGCCAGGATGGAGATGATCAGGAGAAAGCAACATGGTTTCTTGCTTCTTCTTTGTCTGTCCATTTGTTTGCTGATTTAACAAACGTCTTAGAACCGTTTGTCTCGTCGTCCATTCGCTTAATTGAATCTTATAGTATCAATATATATTTTTAATTTATACACTGTTGGTTTGTAAGATTGTTAATTTATCGAAATTGTGCGTCTTCATGAAGAATCAACTGGTCTGCCATTGAGTGATGGTGGCTCGAAGTTGAGGTGGAGGAAGGACCAGATACACTACAAACAGTCAAATGACCTAACTGACGGGTTGGTGTTAATTGAGTTGGTAGGAGGATTGTGTGTGTGTGTGTGTGTGTGTGTGTGTGTGTGTGTGTGTGTGTGTGTGTGTGTGTGTGTGTGTGTGCGTTAGTTTTTATTCTTGTTCGACAGTAACAAGAACCGAGAAGAATCCGATGGTTATGTGGAAGGCCTACTGTCGAGCGAGGTCAACATGGTTGCTCTGGACGTCATTGAATTCATTATACAGGTGGCCTTTGCTCGATCCCTACATACTCATCATTCTTTTTCTCTCTGTCTCTTTCTCCCTCTGTTGCTTTCTTCTTGCTATGCAATCACGCAGCTGAAATTTTATTCCCTAATTTGGCTTTCGACCAAACTTCCAACATGTTTTATTTACAGTCAAAATTACACAAAATACAAATGTTAATTAGAAACATTTTTTGAGTTCTGCGATTGGATGTGCACCTGTTAGTTATTAAATTGCATCTCAAATTAAGGATAACTTGTCAAACATTGCAACCGTGTAACACAGGTTGTACAGTCGTTTGACATGTTACAAAGTTCTCTGTCAAATGTTTTACAAGTCATTCTTCATGGCCTGTCAACGAACCAGAGTTCAACTGTCCTCCAGAACATGTTTGCCACGCAGAGATCACTTGTCTCCAAGGTTGGTCATAACTCTTTACATTATTTTCTACGACTAATTTTTGTTATTTCGTGAATGCTGTTTAAAAGTTATCCTTCGCTGCATTGCTTGTTACAAATTATGATGGCACATGACACGATCATTAGCTATTTTAACAACTTATCACAAATTCTGTATCAGCTTGAGAATGATTGAGCTATTTTTTGAGGTGTCTCTTATTTTAGATGGCCTCTAACATTAGATCATTTTCAGATTATTCATTGCATTAAATAAATCTCCGTGATGTCATCGAACGACCAATGCATTGTTTAGTTTCCTGAACTGTTGTTTGAGGAGGACACGGAGCAGTGTGCTGATCTCTGCTCGAGACTGTTGAAGCACTGCAGTTCCTCACTGGCCAGCATTCGATCACATGCCAGTGCATCTCTCTACATGCTCATGAGACAGAATTACGAAATTGGAAATGTGAGTTACGAGATTGTGGAAGGATTTGTTTGGTTGTGGTCGGTGATGTTGGCCATCATGTTTTGCTTCTGCGTTATAAATTCATGTTTCGAACGTGTTATGCTGGTGATCATGCGTTTGCTACCTTGTAACATATTTAGAATATTTTATATACCAAACAAAGAATCGCACCTGCTTTGCTAATCAAATCGTAGGTTCAAGTTTTAAATTTCAAATTGCGTCATAGACACTCGTGTCCTTGGATTTTTAACTATGATTCTTATTTCGTTACTACAAAGCCTTTGCCAATATCTGTATCATTTTAAGTCTCAAAACTGCACATTTATTTATGTTTGTAGTAATCTTCATTTTCCAGTTGTTGCGCCAATCAGCTCAGTTATTCGCACATCCCTGTTAACTAATCGAATCTTGTTGAATTTTTATAAAGCACCCAGTATCATTGGCGTTGCGTGATGGCTTGAAACCACCAGCCCAATTAATTAGAATGTAATGAAATTAAAATAAGTTTGTTGCTATTCTGTTCTTATCACTACTTAAAGAACTTTGCGAGAGTGAAGATGCAAGTGACGATGAGCTTGAGTTCTCTGGTGGGCCAGACGCAGGCATTCAATGAGGAGCACTTGAGGACGTCACTGAAGACCATCCTGCTCTATGCTGACAGTGATGAAGAATTCAAGGACACCGCATTTCCTGAACAGGTGTGCTCCATGTTATGAACTCTTATGATGTTCTCGTGCGAGTCGTCCTATGCATGAGAACGATTTTTTATCATTACACCTTCTTGATTTTGTGACCGGTTATTTTTGTTAAATTTTTTAAAAATTAGTCTGGATAATTTTTTGGATTCTTGATGATTTATTAATTTGCCTATTGCTCTCTTGTTAAACGGCCATGTTGGTTGAACTGAACAATTAGCGATTGCTACCCAATTTTGTATAAAAACGTTTTTGAATATTTAAATTGGACATCTTCTAAGAATGACTAATGAAAGTTATAACTAAACTCCTGTACGATGTCGGCTCCATGCAGGTCAGGGAGTTGGTGAAGAACCTGCACATGATCCTGTCTGACACCATAAAGATGAAGGAGTACCACTCCGACCCGGAAATGTTGTTGGACCTCATGTACAGGATCGCCCGCGGATACCAAAACTCACCAGACCTGCGCCTCACGTGGCTCGACAATATGGCATCGAAACATAAAGAGGTGAAGCCCTCGTGTGATGTTGTTCGCACTTTACTGGTGGAGTTATTTGTTTAAAATGATTCGAGGGAACGTTTTAAAAGGAATGTATTTTTAATTTTTTTCTCCGTTGTGTGCTGCCACTTCATGATCTTTTCATCGACAGAGGAAGAATTATGCAGAAGCAGCTCAGTGTATGGTGCATGCAGCGGGCCTGGTGGCTGAATACTTGAACATGCTGGAAGATAAATCATATCTGCCTGTTGGATGCGTTGCATTGCAGGTTTCCCTTGTTTTTGTTATTGATTTTATTGTATGAGTGTTGTTGTCGTTGTTGTTGTTTGCGTTGCAATTGAGTTGTTTTCTTTGTTTATGTTGTTGTGTTGTTGTTTGCATGGTTGTAATTTTGCTGTTGTCGTTGTTGTTGTTTGCGTTGCAATTGAGTTGTTTTCTTTGTTTATGTTGTTGTGTTGTTGTTTGCATGGTTGTAATTTTGCTGTTGTCGTTGTTGTTGTTTGCGTTGCAATTGAGTTGTTTTCTTTGTTTATGTTGTTGTGTTGTTGTTTGCATGGTTGTAATTTTGCTGTTGTCGTTGTTGTTGTTTGCGTTGCAATTGAGTTGTTTTCTTTGTTTATGTTGTTGTGTTGTTGTTTGCATGGTTGTAATTTTGCTGTTTGTTGTTAAGGTTGGTTGGTTTTTACTACGATAACTTAACGTTGAATATAAAAGTATTGCCATCCGTTTGTTTTGCAGTCGTCAAATTAGCTTTTATTAGGAAAATATTGTAATGGTTTACTGTATTGTTTTTTGTGTATTGTATAGTTGCAATGTTGTTTTTCATGTTGTTGTACTGTAGTAATATTGGTTTGAGTGTTGTTGTACTGTTGTGATGTTGTGTTGAGTGTTGTTGTGATGCTGTGTTGAGTGTTGGTTTGTTGTTATTCCGTGCATGTTGTCTACAATTCACTAAGCGGAATCATTGTTGATGAAAATTAAAAAAAATCAAAACTTATGTATTTTTTAATTATTAAGTTAGCTTCCTAGGGGTTTGTTAGAGTAAATTAGTATTGAAATTATCGATAGTTGTTTTGTGTTGGGGAAGATTAACTTGAGAAATAAATCGCTCCTCCCCCTGTTTCCATGGACTTCATTTGATGTTAATTTCGTATCTACGTCATTATTATTATTATTAACGCCATTCGTGGCAGCACGTGTCACGGAATGTGCTGGAGGAGAGTGCAGTCTCGGAGGATGTTGTGTCGCCGGATGAGGAGGGCATCTGCACTGGAAAGTACTTCACCGAGAATGGACTGACCGTACTGCTTGAACAATCTGCTACTTTCTTCGAACAGGTTGGTCGTCATTACGTTGATATCGGTCATTATGTGGCCAATCAGATTTGATGTTCTCTGACGAGTGACTTTTATTTTTGGAATGATATTAGTGACGATTAATTCATCAACTTTCTCGTAGCATCACACACACACACACACAAACAAACACACACACACGCGCGCACATATACTTACAATGATGAAGGCATCCATGTACGAGGGAGTGAACAATGTCTACAAAGTCCTCATCCCCATTTACGAGAGCAACAGAGAATTCACCAAGTTGGCCAAGATACACGCCAAGATACACGCCGCCTTCACGAACATCATCAAACATGTCAGTCAGCTAGCTCACTCTCTTTTCAAGTTTTGCCTTTTTGTGGCCTTCCTGGCTCTGATGCTCAATGCTTTTGATAGGATTGATGAACATCAACTTTTTTCTGCTGTGTCTGTTGATGATTTATTTCATAATCTGTTCGTTGGAAAATATACGATGAATCATTATGACTGGTGAATAAATGTGTGATAGCGAGTTGTAGGATGATATCTGTAATGAAGGTATGGATAATTACATAAAAATATTTTAGTAAATTGTTGCAACCATCTGTACCGCAGGAGAGCAAGCGAATGTTTGGTACGTACTTTCGCGTTGGTTTCTACGGCAGTCGATTTTGTGACATGGATGGCCTAGAGTTTGTCTATAAGGAACCTGCTATAACCAAACTTTCAGAAATATCCCATAGACTTGAGGTTTGTGTGTGTGTTATATGTGTGTGCGTGCACACAGCTACGTGCGTGCGTGAGTGTCTGTTTCATTGTAGGACCGTTGTGCAATGGTTTTTTCATGTTTGGGGTTGAAATACGATGAAAATGTCTGGTGAATAGATTCAGTTCATGTTTGGTCCTGGGTCATATTATGATGTTATTAATTACTTCGTTGCTCCTTATTTTTGTTTCGTTACCTTATTTATATCAATTAATAATAAAATAAATTACTTATAAAAATATTTACATGAATAATGACTGTTAAGCTTAATCTTCTGACGTGATCCATTGTGTAGACATTTTATTCTGAGAAGTTTGGATCAGTGGAGATGATAAAGGATTCAAATAATGTTGACAAAAACCAACTGAACCCAGATAAGGTGACTTCAAGTTGATTGTCGAATTGTTGTTGTTGTTGTGTTGCTGTTGTTGTTGTCATTCACCTGTTCATTCGTGTATTAAATCTGTTTTTACTTTTATCATATTTTTGCCCCTTTTTTCATTATTTGTTATTATTTTGGTGACCAACCAAGTTTCTTTTTTATTCATCTGTTGGACTTACTTCAGACTGCTGAGTTGATCGTTGTAACATTTGCTACAGTTTGTTTATAACGCTCTGAAAATTGTTGAAGAGTGAATTTCCACAACAACACAAATAACAATGATAATTAAATAATAATTTTAATGATAATAATAATGATAATGATTGAATCTGTAGAGATGAAACGTTCACGCACACAGGCCTACATCCAGATAACATACGTCGAGCCCTATTTTGATCTCTACGAACTGAAAGGGAGGCAGACATTTTTTGAAATGAACTACAACATCAGTCAGTTCATCCACTGTATATTATTATCATTATTATCATTATTGTTGTTATTATTATTATTATTATTATCGTTATCATTATTACTTTACTTATTTATGATTATGTATAATGATAACGACAATCATCTTGTTGATGGAGATATTTTTCATTGCCTGGTGAGATTTCTGGAATTCATTGTAAGTGAATGGACCGAGTTAAGCTTTGAGTGGTTGAACGTGACAATACGGTGTGCGTGTGCGTGCCTGGTCCTGATCTCAATCGATGCTGAGAGACAACCATCTTGACCTATAAAATTTGACTACGGCATCGCTATACCTTCGTGAGATGGTATTCAACGTTCATCATTTTTGCATTGTAGCCGTGAAGGATGATGCACGAATGAAAAATGAAATCCCTTGAAGTTTTTCTTTATTGTTGTTTCTCTTTCCTCCAACAAGATTTTGAACCTTTCACTCTCCGCCACTCCATAGCTTATTCGAATTTCTTGACACCATAAGTTCAGTCGCCTTTTGCTCCAAATTTCGCCGTTAAATCAGAATTTCAAGTAACTTTTGCAGACGTTTTAAATCGAACGAAGTCTTCTAATGCAGAAATACAAAATATCTCTTGTCATTCAACTAGTGAACAAACAGTCAATGAGTAAAATAATGCAATTCTCTAATTTCAATGACGAACTGTTGAAGGAATAAAATATTAATGACCGTGCAGAACGCTTCATGTACGCCACTCCATTCACGATGGATGGAAAAGCCCACGGAGAACTGAGGGAGCAGTACAAAAGGAAGACCATCCTCACCACCTCCCACGCCTTCCCGTACGTCAAAACAAGACTTGAAGTAGTGAACAAAGAGTCGGTGGGTTGATATTTTGTGAATTTCAGACGTTAGCGGTGATTATTATTCTAATATAATTTTATTTTCTTTCTGGCAATTTATAAATTCGTTTCATCCATAATTTTTTAACATAACCCAACAGAAAAATTATCAGCGCCTGTTTTTTCTATAAATAATAACTATAGCTATCACAAAATTATATATAAAAAAATCTAGATATGTAAAAAAACTAATTTTTGTTTTCGGTATATGCATGATTAAATTATTCATTTATTTATTCATTCATTCGTTATTTCATTTATTTATTTGTTTGTTAGTTCGATCGTTCGTTCGTTTTTTTTTGTTTGTTTGTTTAATTAATTAATTTATTTATTTAATATAATTTAGTTAAATTAATGATACGAACGTTGACCGACACCGACCGCAGTTTACGTTGTCACCGATCGAAGTGGCCATTGAGGACATCCAGAAGAAGACGAAAGAGTTGGCGTTAGCATTGAAACAAGATCCTCCAGACGCGAAGATGCTGCAGATGGTTCTTCAGGGGTGCATTGGAGCAACTGTCAATCAGGTTCATTTGCTTTTTCAAGTGAATTAATTTTTTAATCTTTGGAAAAACTGGCCAACATCAAACCAAAGTTAACTTGCTTTTAACATCGTTGGAACTGCTTACAAAAACATTCCAACCACACGCAACAACATTCCAATCACACGCAACAACATTCCAACCACACGCAACAACATTCCAACCACACGCAACAACATTCCAACCACACGCAACAACATTCCAACCACACGGAACAACATTTCAACTACACGCAACAACATTCCAACCTCATTCAGGGCCCAATAGAGTTGGCTTCCGTTTTCTTATCCCCATTAATGGATGGAGCTTTACCTACCAAACACCACAACAAGCTCAGGAGTTGTTTTAAGGACTTCATGAAAAAGTTATTTGATAGTTATTTGATAATGCGCTTGTAGTGCTGATCCATTTATTTCTTTCAGTCGATTTTTAGTCATCTTCTTAAACGCCTTACTATACTTGCGTTTAAGCAATAAAACTCATCTGGGTGTAAAATAAATTGTTATTCATGGATCAGTTTGGTTGTGCTCTTTCCAAGAACAAGAACTCTGATTGGATCTGTTCAGAAGGAGTCCAGCCACGAATTGGAAAAGAACTAAAAGACCATAAAGAGCAGGTTCAACAACTCATTTCTTCCAACTGTTACAACTTCTGATCAATTTAAAAAGCACAGAGGTTAAGATGTTTAACATATGGTAGATAATTGTTTTTATGGATTTTAATCAGCCGCGATAGTCTTTTTGGCTAGTTGGGGTTGAATAAAAAAAGCATTATATTTTATATCCCTTTAAATAACATATAAAACATGAAAATTTATATAACATATGATTTGTTTAAATTTATATTTTATTAAACTTGCAACGGCTTCGTAGCAACGTAATTTATTATTGTTTATTTATTATTATTATTACTATTATTATTATTATTATATATCAAAATCACAACAATTGTTCTAGTCAGTTTTTAAGGTTTTACTTCCACGTCAAAAGTTTTATCCATCCAATCCTATTCACAATATATAGAACGTACGTACATACATAGGAAATCAGCAGCATGCAACAATGAGCAGCTGATGATTCCGTGCAGATAGGCGAGCTTTAATAAAATTCAGAGCAACTGTTGCGAGTAGCGTTTCTTAATTTTGTTATAGTATTTTTTGTGTAGGAATGCTTAAAAGTGCGCCCTGGAAAATTATTGCCCATTGCTCCTCCACTCGTTACGTCACCGTCGATCAAAACGATGGCACATCTCTATTTTTTTTAATTAATTTTTTTATAGTTTCCATAATTTAAGTCGTAATTATTTGATTTGTGAAGATAAAAAAAACTGATTTTAAAAATAATAATTTTAAACACTATATTTAACAATAAAATTATGGAGAATAGTTCACAATATGTAAATCTTCACGTGTGTAATAGCCAATGATATGGCATAATGAAGTAATATGAAAAAACCTGATCCTGCATTGCATTGACTTATCTCCGTTCGTATACCAGGAGTTCCCTGCCTGTCAGACACAGTCCATGTATTGCTCTGATCATCGCTAGTACCTCTGTGACTGTCGCCGATAAAATATCTATAGTTCTGGACTACTTTTCAAACGAGCATCTCTCGGTTTTAGCAATTTTATTACCTCCGTAGCTTGGAATGGTAGTCAAACTCAAAAAAGTTTGCATCATTTTGTCCAAGTCCGATGTGTCTTGCTTCATTTAAACAACTTTTTTCAAAGGGTAATCGAGAGAACGTTGCTTTCTGATCATAAAGATACTTTATCGATAAATTTACAAAATCCAAAATTATATAAATCAGTTTATTTACTTGGTTATTTCATGTAATCAGATTTCATATTCTACTTCTAAGCCTCGGAAACATTTCATTTCACGGTTTGTGGCAGCCATTTTTAAATTCAACAAAGGAACAAGCCCAAAGCAACTACTTTCAATTGTGCTAAAGTTATAAAACATTGTGAGGCGCAGGTAAATTTAATAACGCAGTCCGTTTGTACACGCACTGCATTTGTAAGAAGCTTACTAAGTTGTCAAAAGTAATAAATTTAGCGATATTTGTTTGCTATGGTTCCGTTACGTTTCATTGTGAAAACATAAATGGATATTTAAAAATTGTTGAGCATGATTTAAACATATTTTCAATTTGCAACTTATTTTTGGTTTTGAAATAGTTTTTCAATCATCTAACTAAACTTTTTCAATGTTTCAGAAAGCCACAAAAGTTTCAACCAACCGACAGTGAATGCTAAAGATGTATCGATAATTATTTATCAGTAAAAGAATCTTCAATTGTTGCGCGTTTTTCAATGGACGGTCAATTACTTCTAGTATATGCGGACAAGCCGACATGTGTTCTGTAGTTTGTGTGCTTCTTCTGTGTTTTCATTTAGACGTAGTTCATTTCTGTATGACAAGTTTTTTATTAGTTTTATTTGCAACGTATCCTTAATTCTAAAGTATAAAATAAGGGACTGATTTGCTTTATTTTTGACTCCATTAAAATAACTATCACTTAAAAACGCATGTCATTAATGAGATCGTAATAATTTACAGTTATGTAGTTGAATTATGTTATCAGGGAAGTTTATTTTTTTTAACATTTTAATATATATTTTACTTCCGTTTTATCTACTTTTGTCGAACATGAAATCAATAAAGGTTTCTTCTTAAATTTTTATTTGTAATTACATTGATGGCGTTCGCTTCATTTTATCACTTTTTTTATCAATTTTATAAAATTTTAAAAGTGTTTTCTTGTCATAGTATCGTTGGAAAATTATTTTAGAAAAGTCAATCTTCAAAAATTGTGAAAATGTTTTGAAAATCTTTTGATGATATTCATTTTTAATAGAACATTTCCAAATTCGTTGGTGTTTGAATACTTTATTCGGCGTTCCTTCTTTCAGCTCCACATATTTCATCACACATTTTCCAACTGGATTGACGGGTTGTTTATTGATTAAGTGACGTTAAGTTTTGTTGCCATGGAAGCAAGTTGCTTCAACACACCTGTACATTTAGAAATCATTGGCGTAAATTCCTATTAATTCAATTCCTTTTTATTTAGCCAATGGACAAAAAGTCGTCAACCGATAAGGCAAGTTTGAAGTCCACAACTATTAGTCGGCATCTGGCGACCAATGTTAAAAACAGTCGTGATTCAAAGAAATTTGCAAAAAATGAGAATGTTACACAATCTGTTCAGTTTTCAGACCCCAATGAAATTGGGAAAGCGATGGAATCGAATTCATTATATTCTATGCAACTGCAAGCCCATTTGAGGGAGGCAGTTTACGAAAATACCTACCGCATGGAGCCGGATCCCTCATGTCAATTTGAAGCAGGGAAAATTGACAAAATTTTAGATACGTTATTAAGAGAAAATTTGAAAGATGCACACTACGATTCTGAAACTAGTAGACAAGTTAGTGGATTCACATTTGCTATTGCTGTCATGTTTTTATAACGATAATTTGACGGAGCCAACGCAAAGCATTCACTACATTGTGTCAATTGTCATCTTTCACTTTCTAACGTTTATGGCACTGGTAGGCAAACTTTTTGTTTGGTGAGCCACATTGAAAAACGTAGCGGATTTTAAAGCGTCGCATGTTTATAAATATATATTTATTTATTTATTTTATTATTATTATCAAAAATTTATAAAGCGTCTAATAAACAATAGTTTCTAAAAGCACTATCCATAACAGTAAAATTGTTAAATATTTGAATAGTCTAATCATTTCTAAATAATAGATATATCTATAAAGAAAATAAATATGTTATCAAATTTTTTTTAAATTCACCAATTTTCAACTAAGATATTTTTTAAGCGAATTTGGCTGACCATTCCAAATAACTGGTCCCGATACAGCGATATCTTTTGGCGCAATCCGCAGATAGGATCCGCAGATGGCACCAGAAGTAAGTTACTGTAATCGGATCTCAACTTTAAACCAGTTGAAGGAGCTGGTTTCTTTATTATTTTATTTTCCAAACATTTTGGTAAAAGCTCATTTACAGCTTTGTACATCGCAATGCAGACGTTTCTCACCGTGAGCCAATGTACATAGGTCCTTCCAGATGGGTGTCACATGGTCGAATTTTCTGCCACTAACAGCAATTTTTGTGGCTGTTGGAGAACAACAATAGATTGATCAGGCAATCCACAAAGTAAAGTGTTTCCGTAATCTAATCTTGAATGTACGAATGCGTATATAAAAATATATTAATGTCTATATTTTCGGTTGATGTAGAGACTTTCAAATGCTATTTAACCGGCGAAGCTGAAAAGTACGTGATTTAGATAACATTTTTTATTTTTTTATATGATTATTATTGAACGTCATATTGGAATCGGAAATTAACCCCAAATTAGATGCTTTTCGACATAGTTCTATTTCACTATTTCCAATTTTGATGGAATTAATATTAACTTTTGACAGTTCAGCTGTTTCCAAGTACCTATAGGTAGAAACTGCGATTTGTCTTGATTTAATTTAATTTGCTTGACATCCACATTTCTACTTTTATCAGACATTCAACAAGTTTTTCAACATTATTTTGAAACTGCTCTGGTTCACTACGCGCTATTATCTGTATGTCATCTGCATAAGCACGATATGAAAAATCCAAAAGAGATAATAACATCTTATAATTTTGCGATATGCAATACAAACAGAATTGGTCCAAGAAGTGAGCTTTTCGGAACTCCAGATGTCATTACTACAATATTAGATAATTTCTTATTGAAATAGATTTGCTGAGTTCTTTCAAGTATGTATAACCTGAGCCACGTAGCTGTCACCCCTGAAACACCATAATCATAACTTTATCTATTCATTAGAATTTGACAGTTAAAACAATCAAATTCTGCCATGAAATCTAAAAATGTAAGCAGAAGTGATGATGTTTGTATCCAGACTGAAATATTGGCATTAAACTGTTTTTGTATAAATGTTTCAAAAGTTGACTGACCACAACCCGCTCGACAGTCTCAATAATCTTGGAGATTAAACAAAAGTTTAGTTAAAAAAATTATAGTTCATTGTTATCTAAGCCAAATTTCTTCAACGCTGGTGTAACAATTATATGTTTACATTTAGTTAGAAATATTCCTTCATATAAACTAAAAATAGATTAACAAAATCAGTGAGAAAAACAATAAATAAATCCACATAAATCTTTATAACATGGGTCGGAAAAACATCCAGCAAACAAGATTTTGACGGCAAGCCAAGTACAATCTCTTTGATGTCTGGTTATGTAACTGCTGTAAAATTAGTTAGCAGGTAAATATCATTAAGCCTGCATTTGTCAAAGATTAGATTCACATTAACTTCAATAGAGTTTTTAATAAACAAATGAATTGAGATGCTGTAATATTGGCATAATTTGAAAATATACTACAGAATTTTTAGCGTCAGATAGAAACATGCTATTGTAACCCCACTTTAAAAAAATCAAATTCGGACGACAACGTTTTATCAAATTACCGTCCTATCTCTAATCTTTCATTCATTTCTAAAGTCATTGAACGAGTTGTTATCAAACAATTGTTACAGCATTTAAACAAAAACAATTTGTTGCCAAAGAATCAATCCGGCTATCGTCAATATTTTTCCACAGAAACTGCACTCATTGATATTTTCTCCCAGTTGTTCTCTTCAGTTGACAGTCAATGCGTTTCTTTTTTGGCATTACTTGATATGAGTGCTGCATTTGATTGTGTCGATCATACTCGTCTCATGTATAAACTCTCCACAAATTTTTTTCTCTCTGATTCAGTCTTATCGTGGTTCGCTTCCTATCTTTTAGGCCGCACCCAGCAGGTTTCTTGCAACAACACCCTCTCTGACATATACAAACTATCGTTTGGTGTCTCCCAGGGATCTGTGTTGGGACCTCTGTTGTTTCTTATGTACACTGCTGATGTTTTTGATATAATTCAAAAATATGAGTTCAGCTCCCACGCCTTTGCTGATGATATTCAGTTATTGGTTTCTTGTCCTGTTTATTCGATTGATGCTTCTCTAAATGAACTGACTGATTGTCTCATCGAAATTGGATCTTAGATGAGTATGAATCAGTTAAAGTTAAATCAATCTAAAACACAAATATTACCGGTTGGTTCTTGGCAGCAGCTGTCAAAGGTCAAAATTTCATCGATCAGTGTCGGCAATGACATCATTGAATTTTCCACATCTGTCCGTAGTATTGGAGTTATTATTGACTCAAACCTAAAGATGGATTTACATATTAATAATTTAGTGAGGGTCTGCTCCAACCAACTCCGTTTATTACGCTATGTCAAAAAATCACTAAACACGTCTGTTCTTCAAAGTTTGGTTTCCTCTTTCGTCTTTTCCAGACTGGACTACTGCAATGGCCTTTTTTATGGTGTCACCAAAAGGTCTTTTTCAAAGCTTCAGTCAATACAGAATCGTGCAGCCAAGCTGGTTTTGGGTGGTTCGTGGTTCGATCATGTTAAGCCTATTTTGAATAGGTTGCACTGGTTGAGGGTTGAAAAACGTGTTTCCTTCAAGTTGGCAGTTTTGATGTTTAAATGTGTTAATAATACAGCACCTCCCTATCTCATCGATAGATTGGAATCATACAAATCTCATTTTTCAAAATATTCCTTTCGATCAACCGAGCGCAATTTATTTTTTATCCCGACCACAAAGTTGGTGACGGGTTCCCGCAACTTTGCAGTTCTTGGCCCGGTTGTTTGGAATGGTTTACCTCCTTACTTACCCTAACCTATCATATTTACAATTTCGAAGTCAACTTATAACTTATTTATTTGCCCAATGAATGTCCGTCTTATAACTTAACGGTCATAATCGGTGTTGATTTTGTCATGAGAGGTTAAAATTTTATTTTTACAGAGGAAAAATAATAAAAGATAAAGATTCATTGTATAAGTGCAGAGTTGTACCAAAACTTGCCTTATTCAATTTACTAGAAGCAAGAGCTGCAATGACGTCACACATCAATTAGGAAATTAATCTAGGTAGTTTATAAATAATGTTTCGGGTGATTGACGGGAGCTGAATAACGAATAAAATGACGGAAACTCTTCCTAGTCAATGATCAAGACAAGTGTTAAATTTCAATTTCTAAATGCATTTCGTTGGTTAGAGTAGTCTACAGATAAAGCCATATATATAGAATATATTCTATGTATAATATATAGAATATATTCTATATATATATGGATATAGCCCATCGTATTTTTTATTATAAACTTAATTGGAAGCAAGAGTAGCCATAATCGGTGCAGCGATATTCCAGCATGCTTAGGTGCGAGTTTAGTATATGACGCAAACATTTCCAGGTTAACGTTCAGTCTGGTCAATTGCTTAATTTCAATTCCAGTGTGTAATTCTTTTATTTAACTACTATTATAGCATCCACAGTATTTTTTAGCGAAGCTTCAAAATAAATAAAAATTTCGCTGGCCGCGGCCACATAGGTTTCATTATTGCCTAGGGCATTGAATTACACGATAGAAATAAAATTAAGCGTTTGATCTGAAAGTAATTACGTAAGTACACCGTATTTTTACGTTGTAAATAATCGCCTGTTAGAGTTTCCCAACATCATTTATGTCATGCTTTTCTTGCTTCAAGTAGAGCGTACAACGAGAAAGATACTATAGGTCAATTCCAGCCAAGTTTAAAAACTAAAATATTATGATCTAAGCCTACCGAAATATATTGGCTCGTCTTTAACGCAATTTACACTTGCGGTGATGGGCTGAAAGTAAAATTAACATTGATTTAATAGTTGCCCTGATAGTTGTTTGACTTAAAATCTTAATTTATTTTCAGACCGCTTTGTCAATGGCAAACAAGATCATGGACAACATCAAAAGTATGAATATTCAACGATACAAAATTATCGTAGTTGTCAACATTGGAGATTTTAAGGACAGACCGAGTATTCACTTCGCCAGTAGGTGCCTATGGAACAAACCCACCGACACATATTCGTCGGCATCATACTCCAATCTTTCCCTCTATGCGGTGGCAATTGCATTTGGAATTTATTACGAATAACCATGAAAAACATTATATGGACCAAATTTGTCTTGCAAGGCATTTACTAGCTCGACTTGAAATAGACATTAAAAAACTATTTATTACTTTTTTTATGCCACGAATTAAGTTAATGAACTAAAATAGAAATATTATGTCTGACTGGAAACCATGAACTAGAAAAAATACTGAAAGGCGAATGTATAGGTATATACTAGATGGTGTCTAGTTAGTTAGATAACAGAACAAAAAATACATTGAAAATTTTAAAATTGAGGACAAACCAAACCCGTGGCAATATAAGAGGCGAAACAAGTTTCAAAAATTACACTCGTCACAAAAATCTAACGCATTTAATCTGTATTTTAAAAACTTGATTTGAGATGTTGAAAAAGGGAGAGATGTTCATCCGAACAACCTTTGTACGTTAGTAGTTCAGATGAAATACTTTTGCAAGCTTCCCAGCCTAGCTAAAAAAAATTAATTATTCATTACTCCTGCATGATAATGTACCACAAGCCAATAGGGTTGGAAGCGCCAACGATCCATCCAATCGCAAGCTCACGATTCGAATGCGTTGTTCTCTATTATGGCCGCGATGTTTTTTTAAATGAATTTTTGATATGATTCACGTGAAATCACGTTCGTTTTCGAAACTTTTTAGACGCTAATTTTTAATTTGAATTTGCGCTTTTAGAAAATCAGGTTGGTGGGTTATTTATTATTATTTCATATTGAGTATCACGATTTTAATCTGCTCTTCGCTCCACTTCACTATACCTTATATTTTATAATATATATATATATATATATAATATACATTGCACTAGGACGTTAGCTAGATATTTTGACTCTCTTTTCGATCCTATAGCTTCAAATTTAGAAAATATTTCGATCAGATTTACCGGACTCAAACTAAAAAAAAAATCTACGGCACGTTTTCAAGATTCTGTTTATACGGCTCGAAATCGTTTATATATCAGGTTAAAATATGAATAGTTGTTAACAATGGCGTCACGTGACAGCTTGGCGTACGCTATGACTCATACAGTTTGTACTGAATAATATACACTTAATTTACGGATATTTTGAAAGGGATTGTACTTTGATATGTGGTTATATTTAGGATGTTTAGTTTGTGAGTTAATCTTCGTTGCTGCACGACAACATTCGTATTTTAATAATTGTATCCTACGCTTTATTATATTATCAAGTTTATTGTGAATGAATGAAATTAATAATTCTGTTTGATTGTGAGTATTATGAGTCTGTCTGCAAGCTGGCTCCATTGTTTGGAAAGGACTGTGTTGCCTCCTTTCATTTATTGGATTTGCTACTGTCAACGCTTTTAACATTCATTGTTTAATAGATACTTAAATAAATAAACAATAGTAAATAATTAGTCATATTAGTGGATGGTTGATTTAAACTTTAAATGTTTTAAACTTAAACTTGTTTCAATTTAAAATTACATCATGTCAGTGGATA